AATTCTGCACTGACCTGTACTGTGCAACATATTTCTCACATTTATATGGTCTCAGGAGCTGTAGTGATAAAGGAAATGCTTGATATTGTATAGTGAGGCTTTAATAAGAAACGATAACTAATAGGGTTGATGCACACAGACATGGCACAATTAAGAGACAGTAACACAAACACATAGACTACAAACAAAACACACTCGTAGAGAGACATAAAAACATAACACATTCAGTAAGCAGAGAGGTGTGAGCATCAAAACAAATGATCTAAAACGTATTATACTTAGTAAAAGAAAATACACGTGCCTCACACTCCACACAGACACTCAAACACAATATAAAGTATATACATATAAAAATTCTATCTGTACAAAAATGCAATACACTTTACAAAAACCACACAGACACACAAACACAATATAAAGTATATACATATAAAAATTATATCTGTACAAAAATGCAATACACTTTACAAAAACCACACAGACACACAAACACAATATAAAGTATATACATATAAAAATTCTATCGGTACAAAAATGCAATACACTTTACAAAAACCACACAGACACACAAACATAATATAAAGTATATACATATAAAAATTCTATCGGTACAAAAAATACATTTCCCAACGCCAAAATATCAAATGCACAGACACACAAACACAATATCAAGTATATACCGAGAACCATCCTAACTGCGTGAAAATACAAAACAAAACACAACGCCAAAACACCACACACACAGACACACAAACACAATATAAAGTATATACATAGAGACATCCTAACTGAGCGAAAATACAAGACGAATGACAACGTCAAAACACCAAATACACAGACACACAAACATAATATAAAGTATATACACAGAAACATCTTAACTGCAAAAAAATACAATTCACTTCACAAAACACCTAACACACAGATGAACAAACGCAACACAGAGATACGTAGATATACCCCACACTAATGTTTCTACAGCAAAGAATCAGAAGATACAACACAGATGCACCAAACACAATTCAATGATACACAGAAATATTACACAGAATGCATACATAAGAAAATAACTATTTTATTGATGGTTATTTGAGGCGGTATTGTGATGGAAGGCTTGTGCTGGGTCATTGGAAGCAGTGTAATAGGGGGATATTTCTGTCGTCCCTCTCTGGCAAGCAAAGGGTTAACAATAAAAGTTCAAGGGGTATTTTTACTAACATTTTACACCATGTGCCATATAACAAAGTGTGTAATTCAGGGCAGCTTTGAGTTACTGTGACCTGATAGGGAAGATCTTTTATTGCAGCAAACTATAATGCGAATGCCCTGTTATAAATTAATACATACACTAATATGAAGATACTTTTACTGAATTATTTAGCGTCCTCCATTTAATTATTAATTATGAATCAGTCCTGGTTTTTATACTTTTTGCTGCAATCGTTAAACACATCATTGCATGCAAAGTGTGGGGACTGTAGTGCACAATGTACCTGCTCTCTAAATCACTCAATGCTAAAGCTTAATATCGTATTATTTTATTTGTATCTAATTGTATGCACAGTGTGTGTTTACATTAATATAGGTTCCACTTAGTGTATTTATTCTGGAACTTTGCCAACCGTTTTAGCTATGAATTAATTCACTTATTCTAACATCTTGCAAGTATTGGATATTTAGGAAATAAAGCTTAGTATTTTATCTCAGCTACACTAGATTTATGGTTCTAATTATCTATATAAAGAATGATATACTTTAAGAAGGACATGGTGTCCGGCTGCGCTGCCTTTAGTGGGTTCATTGTTTTCGAAACCTGCATTCCAAATGGATCGATATCGCGATCTAAACGAGGATCTGCATGAGAATCAGTTACGTTTTATGTTGCAATTCCGTTTTCAGTTCACAGTTCACTGTTTAATGGGTATCCTGCTAGGAGTGTAACAGGTAAATGAATTTACTTCAATATAGAATACATTTAGACCATGTGACTGCTGGGGTTATGTTTGCAGAATGTTTAGTTGCAGTCTGGCACGGAAAGGGTTAATGCATTGGGTTAGTGAGGCTCCTTTAGTTAAAACTGCTCGCGTTAACGCGTAACGTTGTCTTGAAACGTTGTCTTTAATGTTCAGCCAATCCTAGCGCTGGAACTAGGATAGATAGATAGATAGATAGATATATAGATAGATAGATAGATAGATAGATAGATATTCAGATATAATGACATAAAAATAAACCATTGCTCCACTATAAAATAGATAGATAGGTGATAGATAGATAGATAGATAGATAGATAGATAGATAGATAGATAGATAGATAGATAGATAGATATTCAGATATAATGACATAAAAATAAACCATTGCTCCACTATAAAATAGATAGATAGATGATAGATAGATAGATAGATAGATAGATAGATAGATAGATAGACAGATAGATAATATACAGATGGATAAATAGATAGATAGATAGATAGATAGACAAACAGATAGATAATATATAGATGGATAGATAGATAGATAGATAGATAGATAGATAGATTAGGTCTTTTCATTTTTCGATAGTCTGACAGGTTGTTTGGAAAGTTAAACAGGGGGTTAACTCACAAATTAGAGAAAGAGAGGTGTGTGTGTGTGTGTGTGTGTGTGTGTGTGTGTGTGTGTGTGTGTGTGTGTGTGTGTGTGTGTGTGTGTGTGTGTGTGTGTGTGTGTGTGTGTGTGTGTGTGTGTGTGTGTGTGTGTGTGTGTGTGTGTGTGTGTGTGTGTGTGTGTGTGTGTGTGTGTGTGTGTGTGTGTGTGTGTGTGTTGTTTCAGAGTTTCTCTGACCTTACCAGCTGTCCAATTCAGATTACAATCCCCTGCATATGGCACCGTGATCTTCAACTTGAGCAAAGCCAACGCTATCACAGACCAGGGACCGTTTATATCTTTTACAAACCATTACTGCTGCAGACTGGTGTCTGTCCAAAAATTCAATTTACATCTGGATCGATAATTTTACAATAGCCCAACTAAGTCAATAAAGCCACTATAACAAAATATACCAAGCAAGACTAATATTTACCAACTGTCAAACAATAACAATACTAAAAAAATAGGTAAACATTGCATTCTCAAACATTACACGCATAGTTTTAAATTGAGTATTAAAATGAAACAATGGCACATACAGTTAATAAAATAAAATAAAAAATACACTTTAATATTATGTGGTCAAACACACTGGACATTGTTGAAATATCCCTATAAGGTCCTTATACACAGGTACAGGTGTTGGCTATTTAAAAGCCCAGTTGTATATATTAAAGACAGTGTAGTTTTCTGTACATAATTCTGTACACATCCATGTTCCAGTGTTCCATTTTATAACTGTGTATTTTTGAGCATTCCAATAAATCTATCTTTCTCCTGTTACTTCAATCAGTCTTTTCTCCCCTCCTTTCCAGTCTGACGCTATCCTCTGTGCCCTCCCTTTTTGTGCTCTACTGCTTTATTTGATTAGGTAAAATGGTACATATCAGCTTGATGAGCCTGTTAATAACATGCACCTAGAGCAGGCTGTTGACCCCTATGTGGGTTAGTAAAATACACTCCTTTTTCACACAAAGTCTTCAATTCTAGGCGTGTGCCTTTGTCCATTAGCTTGCAGTGCAGAGTCTGAATGACAGGTTTAAAGACATAGGAAAAACCAACCCTCCTAAATCCTGACCTTTTATATATATATATATATATATATTTTTTTTTTTTGCTCAATGCAAACAAAATCCCTTTCTTTCTTTGCCTGCAGCTAGTTATTAAGACACCTTCCTGGTTTTAACACTTGAAAGTAAAACCATATTAAATACCAATTAAAACAAGTTACTATGGCTGCTGGCTCTAAATACACTTGTGATGAAGAAGAATTAATTTTTTTTTTTTTTAAAGTCTATGATTGCTGCACGGTAGATTCGTTCCTGATAATTATGTGCCCTTCATAGTCGTTGTTCACACGGTTTATCCAATTTATTGACACCCACCTTTCAAACACATCTTCTGCTTGTTATCTTTACACGAATCTCACATGATCTTCAACACGTGTAACTGTGCTAAAGTGCTTTATAACAGCCTGCAGAAAATACAATCAATCATATAATTCTAAAAGGATGCAAGGGTTTAGTAGAGATCTTGGTGTGTTTTTCCTGTGTTATTCAATATATGCATTTGTGTCTATTGCAACTTAAATATAACATTATTCGCTGTGAAGCTTTGGAAATAAAACTGAATTAAACTGGGATCAAACTATGCATGAATATATATTTTATATATGTATTTATATATATGTGTGTGCTTTTATATATATATATATACACATATACAAAAAAGTATATATATATATCTATATTTGTATAGATATCTATAAATAAATATACTAAAAATATATATACACACAAAATAAATAAATATATATATACACTAATATAGAAAATATATATCTATATTAATTGCATCGTTTAGCTCTCTCAGTGCAAATGTAAACAAATCGAAACAAATCCAATGGACACAAATATTGCCCAGGTAAAGAAACTAATAAGAGATTAGAAGAAAATGGATAAAAATGTCGAAAGATCCCACAGTTCCTTATTAGGGGAAGATACAATATTTATTCCTTGTCTCTTGGGATGAATCCCTTCTATCTATTGTCCTCCCATTCCTCTATGCTGATGCTTAATTTTCAAAACTTCTATATTACCAAGGGACCTACGACATCAGATAAAGAATTACCCAGCAAGTACAAAATCTGATTCAGGGAGCTGGTTTTGAGCAGAGGGGAAATTTTATTCCTACAGATTTTTTAAGGAGAGTAGGCGAAAGGAGGTTTATCTGTGCAAGACTATACAAGCTTATATATATATATATATCTATTTTATTTGGAAAATACAAGACGTTGGAAGCTGGGAGAGATTGTCTTATTGACAGAAGGGAGAAGCTCTATCTTCTTTAAAACGAGGAAAATTAAAGAAAAATGTCAACTTCGTTCCCAGGACTCGTCCACGATTCAGAGGTATTTTAAGGCTATTTATGTGGTTCTTGTGTACATATATATCCAGATACATTTTTTTTTAGTTGTCCTCTTAATCCATGCAACCGTTATCATTGTCATCATATCTGCTTCCCAAAACTTACAAAAAAAAAAAAAAGAAAAGAGGGGGAATTCGTTATGACATCTGTCGCCTAGAATGGCATCTTTTTCCTGCACAACAGTTGTTATAACGAAAAGGGTAGAGAGAAGAAAAAAAAATACATAATCCCCCCCTATATAGCAAATGAGTTCAGTAGCATATAATCTAGCAACTAATCATTTCAAAAATCAAACGTGGTGATGCTCTGAGATGACGGTTAGAAGAACTGGGAAAAAGATGGGGTGTGTGTGTGTGGTATTTTGGAGATGAAATTTGTGTAATGTGTGGTCACAGTTAGTTTCCTTTATTTGATGAAGGGGTAGAGATATTACATGAGATATTTTAGCACAATGGAATTGCTGTACTTGTTTGTAGATCTATTAGAACGCTGGAAGAATAGGCACGTCAACAAGACAGTAGAATTCTATTCTAGATTCTGTACCAGTGACGAATGGCACTATTTAATACCTTTTTCTTTCTTTATATGGATCAGGGACAGAGTATAGAAAGTATCCGGAATATGAAGCCTGATGTCCTTACATGCTATTTTAAATGACAAACCTATTTTTTTTCCTCATTTTTCCCCTTCCTTCCTTCTAGATACGTCATGACGGATCAAACAGTTATCGTTTGATGCAACTTGGTTGTCTGGAGTCTGTGGCTAATTCAACTGTCGCCTACTCCTCCACATCCCCTTTAGCTTATTCTACAACTGGTACAGAGTTTGCTTCCCCGTATTTTTCCGCAAATCACCAATACACACCTCTCCACCACCAATCCTTCCATTATGAATTCCAGCACAGCCACCCAGCTGTAAACCCAGATGCCTATTCACTGAACTCTCTGCATCATTCTCAACAATATTACCAGCAAATCCATCATGGGGAGCCCACAGACTTTATCAACCTGCACAATGCCAGGGCACTCAAGTCTTCTTGTTTGGATGACCAGAGGAGAGATTTTGGTTGCCTTGATGCCTACCGGCGGCATGACTTGTCCCTTATGAGTCATGGATCTCAATATGGGATGCATCCTGATCAAAGGCTACTGCCGGGATCAAGTTTGGGTCTTTCAGCTACAGGAGGTGACGAATTTCAGGTAATTTCCTGCCATTCCATTTTGTATCACCCCCCCCAAAAATGCACTTCCTTACCCGAAATCGTAATATTAAAAGAGGCAGGGGGATTCATCAGTGCTGTCCAAATAATATTGGGTGTGGCTGCAATAAAAGACAATCAAGGTCCAAAAAAGAATTCACAAAATAAATGCTTTGTATAAGATAGTAAAACAATTATTTTACAATATATATAATAATGGCAAAAGAGAATTATTTCAAATATTTTAGATTAATTTGATGTATTAAATATGTCGTATGACGTGTTTAGGATCAAAATAATGTATTTTTGCTAACGCTAAAACGTCAAAAAGGAAAAATAAAATGAAAATAAATATGTCTATTATTTTATAGAGAAATACATTTAATTTTTTCTTGTAATTAAATAAGCAGAAAATGTTAAAACGAATATTCTAATATTATTATCATTTAAACAGCGGGGACACGGAATATCCGCACGTGTATGAAATAAAATTATATATTTGTGTTTTTTTTATTTAAATTCAGAATATGTTTACAATGTTTCCGTTATATTATTAAAATATATTATTTATAACATCGATAATATTATTATTATTATTATTGTTATTGTTATAGCAAAAGTAATAATATGAATAATCATATGATAATAAACATTCTTTGTCTGTTGTTTATTTTAACGTAGAACGCAGCTAAGTAAAAAGTTAAGCTGGTAAACCTTGTTTTAATGTAGGTCAATTAAACGTGACTTTTCCTATTTTAATTGATTTAATCATTTTATTCGGTTCGTGTCTGTCAGGACTGCTCCTTAGTCACAGTGTTTAAACGGGACAATAAAAAAAAAATTTCTCCCTTATTTTAAAATCCCCCCCTATTTATGCCCCCTTTCCGTATTCACGTCTGCTGCTGTTTTTTTCGAATCTGTACAAATTTTGTTCCATTGCTGGGCATCAAGCGTTGTATTTTTCAAAAGAGAGGATTAGAGAATTTGCAAGAGGTAGACAAAGCCTAATACCCAAGCAAAGAGTACCGTAGTTTATCCAATTTTCTTCTTAATGCCATTTAGCCAGTTACTTATGCAATGTCATCCGATCAAACAGCATGTTCTATGTTATATTAAAAAAAAAAAATCTGGTAAAAATGCTAACTAATCCGTATAAAATTACCAGCTGTTACATTGACTAAAATATTTAGACACCTACAATTTTTAGATAGACTATATATATTTTTTCTTTTGACCTTTAATTTAAAAAAATATTTTTTTCCTTCCCCAATTTTTTTTCTATATTATTTTTCAATCTTTTCTTAATTCAGATCCTTAGCTGTTGATGTGCAAAAAAAATAAATAAATTGAAACAGTGTTGCATTGTGCGTTCAAAAAATTTAAATGGACTCTCTCCTGCATAGATTTTCAAGTGTTCCTAGTGAACCCCTTAACATTTTACAGGGTGCTTAAATCAGATGAACAGATGCAAACAGTCTGCAGACTGCGAGTTGCATCTTTGAGTCCCCTAAAAAGATTTGTCATGGGTAACAATAAAAACTGTCACACCTTTTCCCCATCATCCTGTTAATTTATACAGTCCTTGGGCTTTTTTTATATATCGATTTCATAATCACTTTAGAGCAGAACTCCAAAGTATGTTCTGTGAAGAGATCTTACAATTCAGCTTTGGAAATGAGGAGGGGAAATAAAATAAAACGCAGACTGTACAAGCTGTGTAAAGAAAGAGGTGTGGGACATGAACTGACTCCTTTTCTCAGTACACATGCTTTGGAGTTTTTCTTTTGAACTTTGCCAGGGCCTCTTCCCTGTTGTATGACATTAAATATAGGGGATTATACAGACTGGTAAATCAGTGTAAATATATAGTATGTATATATTTATAATTTTATTTATTTTTATTATTATTTGTAATTATATTTTCTTATTATTAAATTCGATTTCTTATTTGTAATAAATTATATTTATTGTATTATTATATTTATTTATTTATATATTTTTTTTAATTTATATATATATTTTCAATATTGATCAGACCATTTATACCATATCCACATCTCTTGGATTTAATATAATTTATCCATACACGCCCATTGCACAGGATTCATGACTACAAGTATTAATTTAATATACACACACACCAAATATACATTATAAATACATCCTGGGTGGGTTTAATGTAAAATATATACACATCGATCATACATTATAAATAGCTCCAATATTTAATGTACTGTAACTGTCTGTTATCTTTTATGTAATAGTCATACATTATAAATATTTTTACATTAAATAAATACACATATATACTCGTTCTAAAGCTCTCGCGTTTAATGTATATATGTATTTATATATATTTTACATATTCTAAATATTTTCTGTATTAGGTGTGATACCTGTACACCCTTGCAGTACATTATAAAAATCTATCATATTTAATATAATAAATATTTACACAATAGAAAATATTATTTATTATAAAGAAACATATATTTAAATCTACACAATATTTCGATATGTAGAGTCTAAAATGGGGTGGGGGTTGATTTGACATATTGTATTTAATAATGACTGTAGGATGACCGATTTATGTAAATGTAAGTAAGGCAGTTTTTTAATATTTGCACAGATATAAAGGTGGATGAGTGAGGAGTTTTTAGATATTAAGAACTTGCAGTGATAATGTATAGATATATAATTGTGTATAAAGCATTGTGTAACTATGTAACGTTTTATTTCAAAAGGGGTCAGTGGAGGCCCAGTGTGGGCTGGTTCTAAACAGTCAATCTGGAGTGATAAGAAGGGGTAAGCACAATTTATTACATATCCATATTTATATCATATGATAATTTAATAAAATGCTAATAATGAGGCTTTGTTCTTAAAGACTCTTACTGTGCAAACTTGGGTTTAACTCTGTACCTGGCAATGTATGTGATGTATAAAGAACAATGAAGGTAGGATAAATAGAATGTGTAGAAATTCACAGAATGCCATTTTATTATAATACACTGATCAGCGATGATTTGAGAAGAGATTTACAAAAAAAAATCTATACAGGAATATGTTTTTCTAACTCGAGTATTTTGCCTAAACTTTGCAAATATGTTCTCAGTTCACCAAAAGTGGATAATTAGTGAATATTCCCCCTCACCCCCCTTGATTGGTTGTAGTCTTATGTGTTGTTGGGGGGGGGGGTTAATTTTTTTTAATATATATATATATATATATTTTGAGGGTTGAGTGTTTATTGAGTAGCAGTAAACAGCAAGCCTCTCTGTTTATGTGGCCATTTAAATGGTCACTATTTCTATATTGACCATTTAGATCCAATCTGACTGGTCTTACAGAGATCCCTGCTATAGCCTATACGACTTTATATGAGATGTGAGATGAGCCTAAGTATAAATACATATATAATATACATATATATGTGTGTATACACACACACACACATGAATTTAGCTTATAGGCCTCGATTTTATATTCGGGATACGTTTTTCAAATTATTTAATATTTTTCGATTTTTTTTACTTTGAAAAATATTTTATTATTTTGATATTTTTTGATATATTGATATTGTTTTTATATATGATATATTTTGATATTTTAATATTTAAAAAAAAATGGAAAAGGTCTTATCCAGAACTAGTAAATAATTTGAAAATGATATCCAGAAATATTAAATTAAGGCCATAATGACAAATATAATTGACGTTCTCTGTGTGTTTTAGTGTGTGTCTCTGTGAATGGGTGTGTATATGTACATTTTATCTTTTTATATTTGTGTGTGGGTGGGGGATAGGTGCAGGCACACAGACATATTGAGTACAAGTTACTCAATAAAGGTATAGAATCAACAGGCAGGACCGTTCATTAGTGACACTGTGGTAGTGTCTGAGAGGATACATGTTTCCATACATTGGTTACAGTCAGTGAGAGACGCTCCATGCTGATGACAGACAGCTACTGCTGGTTCTGCCACTCACTGAATGTCTGTCTGGCTTCCTGTCTATGGTGCTGAAAGAACAGCTCCCTCATTACAGGTTGTCATTTCCGACTAGTATAGTGTGTGCAAATTACGCAGCCTGTCATGCAGTGTACACACAGGTATATTGAGTGTCCTCATCACAGGCTGTTATCCTACACTAATATAGTGTGTGTGCAGATTATCTCAAACTTTTATACTATGTGTGCAGATTATCCCAGACTAGTATACCGTGTATGCAGATTATCCCAGACTAGTATACTGTGTGTGTGTAGATTGTCCCAGTCTAGTATATTGTGTGTGCAGTTTATCCCTGACTAGTATACTGTGTGTGCAAATTACACTTTATGCCATTCGGTGCACACACAATATATACTTTTCTTCTAATTACAGACAGTTATCCCAGGCTAGTACGCTATGTGTGCAGAGTATACCGTGTATGCAGATTATCCCAGTCTAGTATATTATGTGTGTGCAGTTTATCCCTGACTAGTATACTGTGTGTGCAAATTACACTGTATGCCATTCGGTGTACACACAGTATGTACTGTTATTCTAATTACAGGCTTTTATCCCAGGCTAGTACGCTATGTGTGCAGAGTATACGGTGTATACGGTGTATGCAGATTTTTCCAAAGTACTATAGTGTGTACAGATTATACAGCCTGCCATGTATTGTACATTCTGCTCCTCTCATCACAAGCCGTTATCACAGACTAGTATGCTGTGTGTGCAGATTACACAGTCTGTCATGCAGTATACACACAGGTATATGCTGTTATCCCAGATTGGTATACTCCGTGTACAGATTATACAGCCTGCCATGTATTGTACATTCTGCTCCTCTCATCAAAAGCCGTTATCACAGACTAGTATGCTGTGTGTGCAGATTACACAGTCTGTCATGCAGTGTACACGCAGGTATATGCTGTTATCCCATATTGGTATACTGTGTGTGCAGTTTATCCCAGGATAGTATATTATGTGTACAGATTATCCAAGGCTAGTATACTGTGTGTGCAAATTACCCTGTATGTCATTCGGTGTACACAAATGTATATAATGTTCTTCTCATTGCAGGCTGTTATCCAAGACTTGTATACTATGTGTACAGATTATTGTAGACCAGTATACTGTGTCTGCAGATTATCCCACAGTATTATACTGTATGTGCAGACTACACAGCCTGTCATGCAGTGTACACACAGGTGTATTCTGCTCCTCTCATTACAGGTCGTTCTCCCAGACTGGTATACTGTGTGTGTACAGGTTATCCCAGACTGGTATACTGTGCAGTGTGCGTGCGTGCGCCCGCATGTGTGTGTGCGCATACCGTCGTGTACATATAGGTATAACTATGTTGACATGTATAGACCGGTAGGAATATACATTATACAGCGTTCAGTTCTCTGCCCTTGTTATTTGGAGCATTTATATATTGTATTATATATGTATGTATATATTTTACTTTATATTTTATATATTGTATTTTATAAACACTTTATACATTGTATTTACTTTTCTTTCTCAGATTCTAAGCGAATATTTCCTTTTCGGTAATAACCTGAACAATACCTAGATTTTACTGATGAGAGAGAGAGAGAGAGAGAGAGAGAGAGAGAGAGAGAGAGAGAGAGAGAGAGAGAGAGAGAGAGAGAGAGAGAGAGAGAGAGAGAGAGAGAGAGAGAGAGAGAGAGAGAGAGAGAGAGAGAGAAAATTACAAATACATTTAGATATACATTTGCCCAGTTGACTCCTTAAGGGCCAAACCAAAGACACGTCAGACAACAGGTTTGGCCTGACTTTCACTCTCTCTGTTTTGCAAATCAATGTAAGTTTGGTCCTGTGATGGGCACGATGAGTTATGGAATTAAATAGATTGATGACACACTGCATTGTTTGTACAGAAGAGTTGAGCTGATGATTCAGCTTCGCTGTAGCATGGATGACTAACATCTTGTAGTCTACACCCCTTGGATGGCTGAGGATAATAAGAAATGTATTTCACAGCAGCTGGACAGCCAGCATTTATCCCTGACTGTCTGATGTCTATGAGCTGACTACACCTGCCAATTATGGGTGTGCACAGGAGCTAGGATGAGAATTCTGATATAATATTTGCAGCAACATTGAAGCACTGATCCCCATGCTATATCTTCTAGTAAATAGAGCTCAGGATGTCCCCCTGCAGTTCCCCCCACTCCAGCAATCACAACCAATAATCTTTATTTTACCTAGTGCTGGGTATCGATGACTATTCCAGCCTGGGGCAAGAGCTTTGATATGCTAATATTTCAGAGTACCAGGCTCTGCAGAGATCATATTAAGGCTGTTCATACAGAGTTGAGCCTTTGCCTTAGTTGAATATTCAGATATGCAATTTCAAAAGAAATTACTGAAGAAATGAAGCAGATATTTACAGAAGCCTTCAGTGTTTTTAATCATTAAAAAAAAAAAATTCAACTTTTTTTCCCTCTTTTCAAGAAATATGATGCTTTGCCTTTTATTTCTCTTTAGTTAAAAGATCAGTGTATTTTTTTTTTTGAAGAATTTTTTTGATACAAGTGTACAGCTGTATACCATTCTAATATATAATAAAATAAAGGAAACCAGCCAGTTGCTGCCTGCATCTCTCAATATTTGGATAGAAAGGTAACAGGATGGCATTTTGACCTATGTCGTTTTATCATGAAAAAAGTCTAGATAGCAAAACTCAAAAAAAGATCCTGTTTGTCTTTGTGATCATTCAGGATGGCTGCCCCAGGCTAATTTCAAAAAGCTTAAATACTGCTATAGCCTGTAGGCCATGAACAGAGGACATGGATATTGCCAATAGTTCTGTTTCGATTGCCCTTGGCAACATAAAATACAAACTACTTTGAATCAAAACATTTTTGGGGAATTAATATGATCTGAACTCTTTTCGTTTTATGAGATCTTGAGATTGTCAAACCGCTTAGAGGTGACTGACATTCGCATAGAGAAACATTTATTACTATCTAGAAACCCTGTCAGATCTTATTTGATTAAAACACTATCTTCCAGAATAGATGAACATAGCACTATATCACTCAGAGCTGCACACACATTGGTGTTTATTTAACCCTAGGATGGGACCTGAGGTTAACTATGGATTCAGCTACATAGGCATCTCTGGCAGAGAGAGGGTTAACTCATTTGGCCTCTTTTCTAAAGATAGCGAATTTAACCCTTTGCTCCATCAAACTGCATGCTGTCTGCCAATTCACTCATTAGGATGGATACTTACTTACTGGCATGGTACCCAGTGCCATAGATGGCATGGCAGAGTTTGCTGTGTATTTTGGTGATTGCAATGGAATAGTGGTTTTGGTGTTGTTTAACATCTAGGGATCTGATTAGAATCTGGAAGTGGAATCCATTCTCAGACATAAAGCTGCTGCCTGCTGTGCCCAGGGCAATGATGCCACCTGTTCCTTGTCCATATGGCAGGGTAGTGATGAGCCTGGCACTCCCTGTCTCTGGATCTGGATTCCATAGTGAACACAGAATTGGCTGCATTGTCTATGGTAACTGCATTGATTAATGGAGGCTGTGATTGGTGTTTAGAACAATAGATAAGCTGGTTGGATGGTGGATGCTGTATATTCCGAGTATTCACACTGAGAGGTGACATAGCATCGTGCATCGTTTATATAGGAATCTAATGCTTGGTGTCTAACACAGTCTGCTGTACAGAGGGTGTCATGATATTGATGTTTTGTACAGACTGATGTATACATTATCTAGCGATGTGTACCTCTTGCAGCTTTGTGTATACTCGACCTAGTGATGACTTATTTGTACAACCTGGTGTATGCTGTGTCAATTGTGTGAAACAGTATAAAGACTGGTGAATACAGGTTTGGAATCAACAACTTGTTTAACCAGGTGTACAAAGGATCCAGTGATTGATATATTGCAAAGCCTGATATGTACAGGATCACGTGATTAATATTATGTACAGCCTGGTGTGTTCATGATCAGTTGATTAATATTATGTACAGCCTGGTGTGTACAGGATCACGTGATTAATATTATGTACAGCCTGACATATACAGGATCAGGTGATTAATATTATGTACAGCCTGGTGTGTACAGGATCAGGTGATTAATATTATGTACAGCCTGGTGTGTACAGGATCACGTGATTAATATTATGTACAGCCTGGTGTGTTCATGATCAGTTGATTAATATTATGTACAGCCTGGTGTGTACAGGATCACGTGATTAATATTATGTACAGCCTGACATATACAGGATCAGGTGATTAATATTATGTACAGCCTGGTGTGTACAGGATCAGGTGATTAATATTATGTACAGCCTGGTGTGTACAGGATCACGTGATTAATATTATGTACAGCCTGGTGTGTTCATGATCAGTTGATTAATATTATGTACAGCCTGGTGTGTACAGGATCACGTGATTAATATTATGTACAGCCTGACATATACAGGATCAGGTGATTAATATTATGTACAGCCTGGTGTGTACAGGATCAGGTGATTAATATTATGTACAGCCTGGTGTGTACAGGATCAGGTGATTAATATTATGTACAGCCTGGTGTGTACAAGATCAGTTGATTAATATTATGTACAGCCTGGTGTGTGCAGGATCAGGTGATTAATATTATGTACAGCCTGGTGTGTATAGTATCTAGTGACTGGTATCATGTACAACCTGATATGTACAGGATAAGGTGATTCAATTATGTACAGCCTGATGCGTACAGGATCAGGTGATTAATATTATGTACAGCCTGATATGTACAGGATCAGGTGATTAATGTTATGTGCAGCCTGATGTGTACAGGATAAGGTGATTAATATTATGTACAGCCTGGTGTGTACAGGATCTAGTTACTGGTATTCTGTACAGCTTTATGTGTCCAGGATCTATTGATTCATATCTTGTAAAGTCTTGTGTACAGAATATCTATTGATTGATATATAGTAGAGATTGGTGTATACAAAACATGATGATTGGTTTAGTGTACAGCTTAGTGTACTGAGGATCAACAGATTGAAATGCTATACAGGATCTAGTGATTTATATTTTATGTAGTTTGGTGTACAGATTATCTGGTGATTTGTTATTTTGTACAGCCTGATGTATACCAGAGTGATTGAAAACTTTTAAAATTAAGTGTAACCGGTGGAATGCTGGACCTAGTAAGTATTACATAACTTAAAATATGGCTATGAAATGCATTTGCTTACTATTTTCAATTACAACATAATTCTGAAAAAATATACCAGATATTTCTATTATATCAGATTGCTGGAGTAGATAAAGTGATCTAGTTCAAATTTAGGCAAGTCCTGATTTCTCTATGACACAAATACTTGTATACACACATATAGAAACCTATCTATCTATCTATCTATCTATCTATCTATCTATCTATCTATCTATCTATCTATCTATCTGTCTGTCTGTCTATCTGTCTGTCTGTCTGTCTGTCTGTCTGTCTGTCTGTCTATCTATCTATCTGTCTGTCTATCTATCTATCTGTCTGTCTGTCTGTCTGTCTGTCTGTCTGTCTATCTATCTATCTGTCTGTCTGTCTGTCTGTCAGTCTGTCTGTCTGTCTGTCTGTCTATCTGTCTATCTATCTGTCTGTCTGTCTGTCTATCTCCAGAGAGAGGGGATACATAATGTTGAATTATGGGAAAACTATTCTACCTTGGGCCTTTTTTCTCATGGTTTGTCATGATGGCAAGACCCATTTATGGCAAATTTTTCCCATAATGCATGGTTCACCATTATGAATCATATTATGTAAATATATATATGTCTTCAAGTTGCATTAGAGCCGGTTACTAATGAGCATAACTCTACAATCCTGGGTACGGATGTGCACACTAAGAATCACCTACATCATTTGGGATGCATGCAATAGGTTATTGTCTGGCAATGTTTAATAAACAGACAAAAATCAACATTCCTTAATTTACACCATTGGAGAAGCTGATCTTTTGTCTCTGACATATAATATTACATTTTAGACCGAGCCTATTATTGATACCCCATCCACAGTAGAGAAAGATTTATATTTACAGTGACATTTTCAGTAACTAAAACAAAGTTAAATAAATCTGTTGTCACTCAAGCAAAAAAAAAAAAAGTTATACATTGTACATAAACTCAGGAGGGTGGAAATAGGTGTAATGTAACAGCCCAAACACATTTTGTGCACAAATACGCTTAACCACGGCTACATTGGTCTCTAATTTGGTGACTTTGTTCTGATATTTTTAAGTAGACAGAGAGAAATAGAGAATTATCTGTGCCTTGCGATTGTCTCTTATCTACTGTCCCTATTTAGATTTGTGCGAGTGAGTTGGTTACTAGTTTGTACTCTATAAATTAAAATTCTATATATGTTGCAGTAAGACAGACTCCTATCCATTGATTAATATTGTATCTTGTATAGTATCTTGTTTTGGGCATGTGCTATGCAAACCTTCAACGCAAAACAGACAGACATATAGACAGTCATATAGACATTGCACAATATACGGATCACAGTTTGCTTTTACCTCTCATTGAAAACAAATTATTTAATTTGTCTTGATTGGAATCTCTGTGTTTCTCGTGTTCTACTTTCTATCCTTTAGTCTTCTCTCTACCCCTCTTAGTCTGGATACACCCTGAATTGTAAATGTGGCTTTCTGCTTCTCTGTATTTCTTTTTTTTTCTTTTAGTAGGCCGCCAATGATCGTACGTGTTCTTTAACTACCTTTTTACAATTACATTGCATTATTTTGATTTTTCTACTTGGTGCAGTTGCTCTGCATGGTATTTGTAAGCAGGGGTAAAGTTACAAACAGATTTTTGGGGAGTTCTTTTGAGCTTGCCAATATTATGTCAAAGTAGCTGAGCTTTACTTAATCTCCAATTTATTTACCGGTAAGTTGGAATTTTTTGTTTTTTTCTATTCTACAAATTGGGCTTACATTTTGTAGTTCAGTTATTATTATTATTATTATTATTATTATTGGTATTGATATTTATATAGCGCCAACTAATACCGCAACGCTTTACAATAATATGAAAGGGGGGGAGGAATTTACAATACATGAGGCACTTACACAGTGACACAGGAACAATAGGTAGATGAGGACCCTGCTCAAACAAGCTTACAGTCTACACAAGGTGGGGTACAAATACACAACAGGGCAGCAAGGGTGACAGCCACCAAACAAGGTGGAGAAGTACCAGAACTGGAGGTGAGAGTGGAGTGTGGCTGTTTACCCCATAGGGTTAATATAATATTTTTTTTTAAATTGCAGAAAGCAGTTTTAACATAGATGCTGAATTCAGATTCATAAAGGGTTAATCATTAAATTCTGAATTATAAGTAATTGAAAATTTAGACTGAAACAACTACAATGTAATGAACTTTTTTAACATTTTGCCATTCTGAGAACAATTCACTACATTTCGAGTTAACTAAACAACCCTATATATTTTTTTTTAATATCAGGTAAAAATCAGTTGGCCGGTCTCAATTTGATTTCATCCAAGACAACAGACAATATATATGGGATTTTTACATTTTGGCATTAAATTTCCCCCAGATCAGGTTCTAAAATAAAATTATACAATAAGTGTTTATTATTAACCAAACTGTGAGTTGACAATTGACTAAGGTGTAGACTATAGGAGCTAAACTAGGAAGGGGAAGGGGGTGATTGACAGTGAATAACCCCTTTTCAAGCAGGTCCATCTGTGCTTACAATAGAAGCACCTGCCCCATGTGATGGGATATTATAAACTGATGGGCTACTTTAGAAGTGACATGGACAGAATGGATTACCATAATGTCCAAAGTTGGACCTCTTAGTATAACTCCAAATTGTAACAGAAACGCATTCATCCTGAATCACATTACTAAATCGTTATGAACCACTTAGCAGAAGAAACCAATGGTATAACATATATTTTTAACACATTTATATTTTCACAACAATAAAAGATATACTCAATTTGTATAAATGATCAAGACTATATTATAATTATCATTATAATTTTATTAGTATTTATATAGGGCCAATATTTATTTTTGGCAGCGCTTTTTATGTTGATCAGCAACAAAATTTAGAAACAGACTTTAAACTCGCCATCAGAGCAATTTCAATTGTATCCAACTGAAACTTCTGAATATTATAATATTAACTAGTATTTATATAGTGCCTTACTCCCAGTGAGACTCAAAGCGCTTGCTCTCGGAATTAACCAAATCAGCAGCTGAATACTAATAGATGTTATTACTATCTAATTGATGGTACTCATTTTATCGACCTCGGAAGGATGAAGGGCTGAGTTGACCCTGCTGGGATTTGAACCTGTGACCTTGCATTTTGAACAGTCTTTGTAGTAAGGGATGTTACATTTCAAGTACCATAACTACTACAGTGAACTGTAGTGGTTATGGAGCCAGGAGTGCACTGCCACTCACCAATTATAAGTAGCCAAACCATTTTAAAATGGTTTGACTTCTTACCTGCCTCCACCAGCCCTGCAAGTGTAATTATTGCAGTTTTCAGAAACTGCAATATTTACCTTGCAGGGTTAACTCCTTCTCTAGTGGCTGTCTACTAGACAGCCACTAGAGGGCACTTCCATGATTATAGCACACGAAAAGTGTGCTATAGCGTCGCTGGACATCCTCACACTATGTGAGGACCTCCAGCGTCTCTGAAATCCCCATAGGAAAGCACTGAAAGCATTCACCTACCTAAACGTAAGAAAGAGACAGGTCTACTGATAGTTTGCTTGGATTTTTGGTAGAATGTAACAGTTTTTTATATTGAGGCAAGCAATATAATTATTAGGTCTCCCCCGCCAGTGGCCATGCATGTGCAATAGGTCTCCCCCGCCAGTGGCCATGCATGTGCATTAGGTCTCCCCCGCCAGTGGCCATGCATGTGCAATAGGTCTCCCCCGCCAGATGACATCGGTGAGGGAGGAGCATGGGTGGACCCTGACCCAGCGCCGAGGGACATCAGCGCTGGATACAGGTAAGTCACTGAAGGGGTTTTAACCCCTTCAGCAACTTGGGATGGGGGGTGGGAGGGAGAGGGGACCTGCAGTGCCAGGAAAACAATTTGTTTTCCTAATACTGGGGAGTCCCTTTAAGAGCCAGGTGCTTTCCTTAGTTCTCCCGAGTTAAGCCCTGCCAGCTCATTGGCTGAGAGCGTCAGCCGATTATTTTAAGCCGATGAGCTAAGACCTGCATTGTTCCATATTCTCTGTTGGAAGTAGTGAAGACCGGAAGCAGTGCTCAGCAGACCCCAAATAGGAAGGCAAACTATTCTAAAATGGTTTGACTACTTATCATTGGGGGTGCCAGGGAGTGCTGTAGTGGTTATGGTGTTTGGAGCGTTACCTTTAGCAAAATCAATGCTATAAATATGGCTCAATCAACATCATGTTGATAACACATTGGTAGAGATGCTTAAAAATTGACTATGAGGAACAATTCTACAAGTTGAGTAATAAAACAATGGAATAATCGTGCTTATTTTATTGGTGTCCATGGTCCCAAACAAATTCACCACTTTTCCATTAAAATAACGTTTATAAATCTCCCACTTTAAATATAAGGAAAATCGAACCATTCTCGGCATGCTCCTGTTTCTGCTACCCAAGTGTTCCGTTCACGGCCTAGATTTCCACAATATTGTACACTGTGTGTAACAGTCATCCAACCCACCACACTGTCTCACTGATATCGATGTAACCGGGGATGGCTATATAGGAAATCCCTAGCATTTCAAGAAATGCAAATCCTGTGATGTTAGCTTTACGACTGCAAAGCATCATGGGAGCTGCAGTTCTAAAACAGCAGGAGAGGTGCCTTTTATGCCTTTTGAAGAATATCAGACATAAAATAAGCATTATGTCTAGAGTAGCACGCAAGCAAATCCATGTGCATTACATTTCACAAACATCAACCATAGAAGATATGGGCAAGTGGTATTAATGGGGTTCTTTTCATTAAGCAACTGCTCTACGATTAACTCATAAAAATAGCTGAAAATAGGCAAGATAGAAATTATCCACCGATTGGCCAAATTCTAGAACTCTTTTTGACTTTTGGGAACTTGTCATTTTCAAAACCCCAATTAACCAAAGGGAATTTGGAGGTATTCTTGTGTTGGCAAAAATTTATTATTTAAAATGGATTTAGGGGATTAATCACTAAACTATGAATTTTAAATTTAAAACTACAATTGTAAAACCAAAAACCTGATTCACTTTGCATTCCTCACAGTTCACATTTTGAACCTTTGTCGATGCAAAATATGCCTTCAGTCCTTGGAATCCGCTATTAATGAATGACTCGTTTAACTGCAACTATTAATTGCTGGGTTGTTTGGTGAAGATTAAATTAAACCTTAGGTTTTATGATTTAACTATGAAAGTTAGACTACAATAGTGGAAAAAATAATAATTATGTTTCTCTTATTGAAAAAAATATATGTATTGATAGCAGTTATTTTAAAGAAAGATGACTTAACAATCACCTACCTAAACGTAAGAAAGAGACAGGTCTACTGATAGTTTGCTTGGATTTTTGGTAGAATGTAACAGTTTTTTATATTGAGGCAAGCTATATAATTATTACTAACCATTACTAGACTACCACATTTCATGACCTTGTGACAAGAAAGAAACTTTAACGAACTTCAATCTTTTTTGTAACATTATAAAACAATACAACTTTGGTTTTATATATATCTCTCTTGTTTACACCACTTTCCCTTTTATTGACAACATTTTTGGACAATCTTGGCTTATAACAGTAATCTTCCTTATTCCTATGTAGAAACACCATCTGGCTCCCAGATCTCTTTATATGAACTGACTTGTATTGTGTGACTTTTTTCTAGTCTAGAAATGATCATCTTAATACACGATTCGAGAGAATTCCCAATCTATGCGTGTGCACAACAATATCATCATTAATATTATTTATAACCTTCTTAAAAAAATATAGCCTTGCTTTGTGCATTTTAATTTTTTGCTAATTCGTTTGTTGTGTTCCAACACAGCTTGAATGCTAACTAAATATATTCTTTTGATTTTAGTTAAATTAATTTAATTGTTAGTGACTGGGCATCACCTTCAATCTCTTAACTGATCTTTTAATGCAAAAAAGCCAAAAACTATAAATTATATTTCTTTCCCAATTAAAGCACCACACCACATTGGTCATAACAGCCTATGTGTTTATTTTCCTCGAATGAATTGTCAATGCCATAGAGATGGTGCATAATGCTGCAGGCCTCATCCCCTTCTTTGCTGTTTACAAGTATTTACTGGTAGTTAAGATGTTAATAATGACTTTCATATTATGTATGTAAACGGTAAAAAGGACTAGTTAAATAGTGATGTAAGACAAAGCCTGGCTTTGCTGTCATTGTAGCAAAAGTGACAAAATATCGAGATCCCTTAATTTTTGTGTAATGGCTCTTAGATGCCTCTTCTTGCTGAGACACAAGCATATTTTTTCATAGAAGTAGTAAATAAATTATTTCTCCGAGAATACAGGCAGCATCGGGCTCAAAAAAAGCCTTTGCCTCCAGCAATGTGATTGTAGTTACCAGCATGATCCTTTTGCGATATTGTTCATGATTTATTTCATACAGCAATTGTCATTCATGTACATTAAATATATATATGGCGTACAGTCAACCTCAAAGTAGACTAGAGAATAAAAAAATGAAATAGAAGCTGTAACTATTTCAAATTTAATATACTCTATATATCACCAAGGTATTCTGGGAATCTAGAATGATAGCTATATATATATGTGACAATACGCCCCAATAGAAGTATTTTACAAACTTGATATACAATTGCAAAGCTTACTGGAACCTATTTACACAAAGCACCTAACATCAAATATTGCACAATCATCGTAGGCATTACAGTAGTATCAAGGATAATTTCTTCAAAACATGACCTTTGCGCTACAATTTCTTGAATTGGATAGCATTAATAAATTGCAAAAATATGTTAAAAAAAATTTAAGTAATAATTGCTATTTTTGTGCTAATTCCTAGCAGTAATTTATGAATTATTTAGTGAGTTGTTAATTAATCCTTATAGTGCCAATATATACATGAAATAGAACTATTTATGCACATGGGCATAATGCTAGAAATATGCAATGTGTTCTTTTAACCGACTATTTTCTTCTAATTATTTTATTCATTTGTTTTCACGATAGCATTACGATAAGCTAGTTGTATTTTGGTACATAATGAAAAGTAAGACAAATTCAAAGGTACAAACATTGTTTTCACTTTTTTCACAACTAGAGCAATACATTTTTCTTTTGCCGTGTGTATGTGTCTCTTATACTTAAAAGATATTTTATAGATTTTTCTATCATCAATTCCTTTCAGTAATGGAGGACATTTTGTGACTTTTATATTACACAGCAAGTCAATGCTTAACTCTATCATATAAATAGCAGCCGTCTTTCAAATATGACATGGTATATAGTATTTATGTTCATCTGTATATTTTGTTGGAAAATTGTTGGCATTTATATTTTCCTTGATGTTATAAGCTATGTATCAATAACATGTCTTCACGGGCCCCCACAATACCAAGCATGTGGCATTGTAGGATAGCGTTAGCGCAAGTTCAGTCTAATGAAAAGGCTAATTTTAAAATGTGATGTAAGAATGACAATTTCACCAGCACAATATATACATTTAGTTGAGTAACATTCATATATGTTCTTGTCATCTGCATATTTAATGAGAACATATTCACTTTGCGGTATAAACATCTAGCCTATCTCAATAATTGACTATGAAATTTATTGAGAATGTAGGCTTGAGTAGAAGGATTTCTGTGAAGAAACAGTATAGTATGGAGATTGTTACTAAAATAATACATTATAATATAAAAACAAAACAAATCGAGCGAGTTAAATAGGAGCATAAAAATATGCAGCCATGCCAATTCTACGTTGATAAGGACTTTATTTCAACTTGTTTCCATCCTGCTGGCATTAAAGCACTATCGGACAGTCCAAATACATCCATACCTAAGAAAAACATGGGCATAAATATGTAAAACTCACACAACTTAATACAAAGGTCCTTAAATAAGCATAAATGTAAATCATGACCAATTCATGGTGCATGGGAACTGGACTCGTCCACTACAACCATGGGGTTACATCACAGAATAGGAGAGACCTTCAGTGTAATGAAATATTTGCTGTGTTGTATTTGAAGGTTTTTCAAGATTTTTTCCAGAATAATGAAAGAATAATCAAATGGGTCTATAAAGAGATAAATGTGTTGCATACTTTTGATTGGGGATTTTGAATAGGTGGGTTCGATATTATTGGAAGTAAAGATATTTACTGTTAGGAGTAGGTTGTGAGACTCTTTGTTTATTTGTACATGAATAATTTAATTCTGTATTCTATATTGAGGATGGCAATGCTTTGCTCTTCTAAATGATAAATTGGCATTTTTGGAACTAGTTTGAGGTTCTGGGGTATTTGTGGCAAGAGGATAGAATTAACTGATTATCAGATACTTTGTTTTACATGTCAAAGGATATGTTTCATTCATACTAGATATTAAAACATATACCTTAATGAATCAATACTATGATTTCAATTGAAATGGCAGATAACTTATATTAGAAGTCATACAGATGTAGTAAGATCATTTAAGACAGTTATAGATATTCAGATTTCCTGGGATGGCATGGTCTCCAATGAGGTTAGTGTGGATGTTGTTCATTGATACCACTGATTATTGCAGTCTATTAACAGCTCCATTTGCAATAATTTTTCAGCAACGAGTCTATAAACCTTTAAGAACCCAATCTGGATACAATGTTTTAACTTTACTACTAAGGGTTGTGTAAAATGGGTTGTGAGTGAAGAATCATTTTTTGATTTATTTACGAGGATCCTCATGTTTTAATAATTTTGTTGAGTTTTATTTGCGCCTGTAGTTTGTGGGGTAATCTAGGAAAGGATGGAGATGGCAACACAGTGGACTAGATTGAATAGCTTAGTGCAGTAGTACTACAAATCATTTGAATGACCCTATAATTGCCTATATTTTACAAGAATTGCATCAGTCATTGTTAGAGTAATGAACTTTAGACCATCTCTCTCTCTCCAGGGCCTGTTCTCTAAATCTTGAATTGGGCTATCTGTTGAGAGTAAACAATACTTGAGTTTCCAACTTAGGCAGTCATTTGACCGACTGAGAGTAACACAAGCCCCTAAATACGTAGTACAATATCTATTTCAAAGTCAATTACAGTTACTTAAAAAGTTTGAAAACTTGCTTAAGTCATAGGTGAAATCACTGGTTGACCTGATCCATGAAAAGTGCCCTGTATCAGTTTATAAAATGAGTGTTTCGGTGTATTAATCACTGTGTCTCCAGTACTATCTAGATAAATGAGCCAGGCATTGAAAAGTCTACTGTAAATATGAAGATAGCTATTTTATCTTTATGAGATCATTTCAAATAGGGAGGTGTAACAATGCATAGATGGAAGGTAACGATAACTTGCCATTCCATCTAAAATGTCTTAGTAAAATATTACTTTTTATAGTTTGCAAATACTATTGTAACTGCCATACATTTCTTGTTCATGTAGGTATTATCTATTTTAGATGTAGTTGTAACTACAAGTCATAATCTCTATGACTTTAATGTTCTAGAAGGGATTACAATTCATTTTGAGGCCTGCTAGAGAAGGACTGAGGTGTCCTAAACAGTTTTATAAATAAAGACAATCAACATTATTGTGCAAGCAAATGGCAACTGGAGTTACGATTGTTGATTATCCACATTGTAGACAAAATATTAAGATCAGATAAGAGTAAGTTTAGTAGGGTATTTTAATGTGAAAAAGGTAAAGTCAAGAAGCCGTACTTGATGGTTAATTTATGCTTAGAGCAGATGGCATGGAAGACAAAATAAATAACTAGCACAAACAAAAATATATAATTGCAGGTTTCACTATACGGTAATCCACTCCAGCATACTGAATATTTTGAAAGATACTGATAAAGAAGCAATCCAAGGAGGTACTAACCAATTAAAGCGCAAGAAAACTCTAGCAGTTATTGACATTCCTACCTAATTGTGGCCAATGGTCAATGGGGGATCTCCCAGAAAGTGCCCGAGGCTCTGTAAATCCACGTAGAATTCTCAATTGATTCTTGGATCAAGCACAAAGTTATTGTTTACTGATAAAGTAGCACATTTCTATCGTACGTAGACGTGAACATTTTTTTTCTGGCTCCTGAGAATATAAAGTTTGCACTTACATATGACTGTTTGGCTTCTGGCTGATACACAAATTTATCACATATTTAACATCATATGTAACACAGATAAAAAGTTAAATTACATGTGATCTATAATGAGAATTTAGTTTTTCAAAATCCAGTAGAAATTAGATGAACTCTAGAGGCCTTTTCCTGTTCAACCAATGGTGAATATATAGAGAGATAGTGTAATTATGATAAATATGTCATTTATATAAAATGGTTAAACCCCCAAAATATACCTATAATGATATAAGCATTAATACAAAATGCTGTTGTAGACAATGTGAAGAAATATTCTCAATAGCCTTCCATGTTCTTGATAACTGGCTTATCTTTGGATTTTGATTCAGATATTATAGAATGTTTTTATATAAAATGCATATTTATTGCTTTATACTATATATAATGTTTGCTGTATTGTTTTATGTTCCCATATATATGTATAATGTATTGTGGATGGAGAATTTGTAACTCCATTTCCTTTTTTATTTCGTTTGTACCCTCCCCAATGTTAGTTTTTCCTTAAAAATGTTTTTTTTAGAAAAAACTTAATAAATACATTTGAAAAGAGTATAGCCCTCCACCTCATTGTAAATGACATTATTTCCTCTGTACAAAAAGTTACGATAAAGCTAAAAGTCCTTATTGTGTTCTTTGAGTCACATTAAGATATCTTTATGCACTATACAAGTACAAAGGCAGAAAGATAACCTGGATCGTGGCTAGTGTTAGAGAAGCGCTATTATCCCTAAAAATTTAGGAGAGCGTGATAGAGTGCATGTTGAGTTGGAAATCATTATGATTGACATGGTATTGAGGGATAGTGCCCTCTCTCGTCTTCACTAAATATCATGGTATTCACACACCGCTTGTATTCATGCCCATGTCTGTAGTATGTATGTTATGAGCCATAACTATTTCCAATAACATTTCTGGTTGTTTTTTTTTTAGGTGGGACCTGTGTTGTGAACCCTACAGATTTGTTCTGTTCTGTTCCTGGGCGATTATCTCTCCTAAGTTCAACTTCTAAATATAAAGTCACCATAGCTGAAGTGAAACGACGTCTCTCTCCACCCGAATGCCTGAATGCTTCTCTACTGGGAGGTATATTAAGAAGGTAAATTACCTGATTGCTCTTATTAAAAAAGAAAAAGTCTTAAGAGAGGAGCTTGTGAGATAGAATTGTGTGTTCCTATTAAATATAAGAAGAGGTGACTGACATTAAATTTCAATACACAATGGATAATCATACTTTGATTCTTTCCCCAAAAAAGATTCCAGCAGTAGTAGTCAAGGCCGATCTCCTGACCTCAATGTTCTCAGCTTAAAAGCAAAATCCCTAATTGGCAGAAGTGAGTATTCTTATGAATCTCTACAAAGTAATTAAATCTATACTGAGAACATTCATGGTGGACTGCTGCAAGCAATATTAAGCCCTGCACTTCAACTCACACTACATTTGGATGGTAGCAATGCCTATAATATTCATCAGCTCAAATAAATAAATGAAAAAATTCCTGCACACAATATGGAATATCTGCATTCATCTAAATAACCAAGCTTTTTGGAAACACTGCAATGATCATTAAAGAGTAAGCTCACCTGTAAATGCAAAATTTAAATCATTAAAATAAATATTCTTAGAATATGAATGTTTAAATAATTTCTAATACATATCAAATCATTTCTGTCATTATCAATATTTATCAGATGAAAACTTGGCACATAGCAATATTCAGGTCACTATATGGTGTCTTTCTCTGTTACCAGCGTGCATGATGTTTGAGGTCCATATATGCTCCATAAATGCTTAGATCATGTTGTGTACATTCTTCCATTTTCATAACCGTGCTATTCCATCTCCACGTGTTTGTGAAAGCAAGCAGAGAATGCTTAATGATGTATATTTTTTACTCTTTTGGCATTGTTATTATTTATAAAGTGTCAGCTCATTCTGCAGTATTGAGCAGTGGATAAACAATACATGCAAGTAATCTAATGACAAACTTGGGTGAAGAAGGGATGAGGGTTTTCTCAAATGAGTTTACAGTCTAGAAGAAGTGGGGTGTAATTACACAGCAGGTCAAAGTGCAGCATACCGTGAAGAGAAAATAGGTTGCCAAGTGTGGTATCCATATCTAACTGATGTATATAATTTATTTGCATGCATGATATGATGTACATGATAACAGTAGAGTTTGAATATAAACTAGGCAAGATCATGATGATAGAGATTTCTTTTCTTTTTTTTCCTATCAATCAAAATAGGCTCTCATGAACACCCAATGCTTTTGTATTCTTTAGGGCAAAATCCAAAAATGGTGGCCGCTGCTTGAGAGAGAAGTTGGACAGACTTGGTTTAAATTTACCTGCCGGGAGAAGAAAAGCTGCAAATGTAACACTTTTGACATCCCTGGTAGAAGGTAAGTTTTTGTTTTAATTTTAATTTACTCAGAAGTAGACTAACTGCATCAGTCTCCAACTTTCTCAAATCACTGAAGATGTTCTGAACCTTCAGATCAAAAGACAGTATCCCAGTTCTCTTTGATCATTTTATAGAAAGTCACAGAGAAAATGTGTGGGACATGCTGTACCTGTACTGGCGATGTGCTTCAGTCATAGCCTGGATAAAAGTATGGCTTCACATACTGGGCCTTACAAAAACCATTTTTCCTCTATTCCCTTGAATATTTTCAAGCACTGATCAGGTTGAGCGTGATTCTTCATCTGAAGGTCTCCCGAGAGCCTTCATTCATCTTCTAATTCTTTCAGTAAATGTATGTTGGTTGTTTCATGCTTTGCAAACAATGCAAATATCCCAGCCCAAGAATATAGCATTTCTAATTTGAATCAGTATTTTAAAATATGTTTTTTAAGATCAAAAACTTTTATCAAGAACAATCATTGTTTATGTTTGGCTCAGTTGGCTCTGACAAAGTAAATGCTCATAAACACACTCAGACCTCTTACCTGTCCCGGTGTTCCTCTTATTTCCTGACTGTTTCTGTATTTGTTTATAAAATGACCCCAACTTCTTGGTATCGGGGCTTCAATTTGCTACAGAAAACAATAATTTTTATGCTTTTCTAAATTGACTTTAAGAGTTTTCTTAATTTTTATGGTATCATTTATAACGATAGGCCTGTTTTATTTGAGCGCGCAAAAAGCTATAGTCGTATAACAATTGAAGAGATAAAAGGAACCAATCCTTATTTATTTACTTATATTTATATATATATATATATATATATATATATATATATGCTGAATTACATGCAGTATTAAAATGGTTATATTTGTCAAATTTTGGGGAGCTGAATCTTTTGCCCATAGAAAAGGATCACACATGAAAATGTGCGGTATATCATTGTAACGGACCGTTTCTCTCACAAGGGGATAAAATCGGTTTAGGCGATAATCCCCTTTCCCATAGACCAGCAGCTACTGCAATCACCAACCTCCTGAACTCCAAACTGCACGTATTCACCAACTCTCGAACAGCAGACACAGGAACCCTGGAAGCAGCCGAACAGGAAAAGCAATACAAACGGCTTACACTCCTGGCAGTCAGCACACAATCCAATTCCCCCAATAACGAGACGACACTTCGTTTTGAGGGTTAAGCAGAATCTCCAGATTTATTCACACAGCCTCCTTTTAAGACATTCTCCCATGCAAGGGAGGGATCCACAACAATTAGTACCCCAGCCAATAATGTACCAGTTACCTCCCACACCTCTCCTCCCCTTAGTGTGACACATAATCCCATTAGTACAGACACAAATTCCCTGGGAGACTGGATGTACCCCTAAACATAGGAATACCCCTTTAAATGTTACATCCCCTGGTAACCCTGATCTGGGTGAGACACATATCCAAAAATCACCCAGATCGGACCAGGGGTTCAGGAATTATAAAGGGTTAAAGTTTTGACCGACTGCATGGCAAAAGTATCTGAAAATAGTTCCATGTACTTTGGCCCTGCAGTCGGTCACAGAAAAGGGAATGAATCACACGAATTGCCTGGGTTATAGAGCTTGGGGAGGATTCGTATGAATCCCCCTGTTCGTGGGAATCCTTTCTACCGAACGGCGGGCCGTTCGGTAGTTTCTGCACGAATTGCTGGAAGTCTGGAGGTCTCAGCGGTGTTTGCTTCGTCGAGTGTCCGATTTTAGTTCCAGACACTCGACGGCCAAACACCGCTGTTCGGGAGTTTAAGATGGCCGCCACCACGTGTTCGTTTCCCGAATGGCGGCCACCCAGAGGATACAACACACATTACACATATTGTCAATTACCCGTTTGCAACATTGTTGCAAACGGTAATTGGAGGCACACTTACTCCCGGGTGGTCTGGTTGTTCGGTAGTTTCACCCAATATAATGAATGAAGTGATTCTACCGAACAATCAGGGGAATGCTGCATTCACATAACACTTTATACCGGACACATAATATTAAATACAGCCTGAATGCAATTTGCTACACAGTCTTAAAAAGGCATTATTCCTAACAGGCCGAATATGTTCACGGATGGCCCTTAAAGGGCCAGTAGCAGCAATATAAGAATGTCACATGCCCAAATATTGCATACAAAAGTACGAATTCACAAGGGGGCCATAGTCAGTTGGCAGGAGGCTGGCAACCAGGCTTCTCCAGTGCACAGTGGCGAGGTTGGTTTCGCCACAATCATATTTATCAATAGTATTAAAAATATTGTGGAAATAGAATGCATTCTTTCTATCTTCTCCTTTTAACTGTTAAAGTTAGTGAATCAAGGGTTCTCTAAAGTAATTTCGTTTTCTAAAATATGATATTGTCTCCCCCACTCACACAGAGCTGAAAAGGAATGTAGGGTGATGTGTTGGACTCTAGAGTGATGGATTTCAGGAACATGTCACAGTATGATTTTAGAATATAAACTACGCTTGGTTTTGTAATTGACTGGAGACATGGACATGTCACAAACCTTTCAGTGCTAGTAATCAAATAATTTGTGGTAAATAGAATTATCAGCAATCATTACTTAATGGGGCTTATTCTTTAAGGAGCAAGTTTTGGAGGTTTAACTGGCAATATAGAGTTTGAGAAAAGAAATAACCAGTTCAACAAATTCACATACTTTTTTTTATCAAACTCTGCATTTTTTTTTGTTTTAATTTTACCGGCTCTAAAGTCAACACATGTCTTCTTTGAAGAACAGCCCCCATATAGATGTGGGAGAAATAAAAACGCATTTTTGGATAGAGTTGTAACAAAATGTCATCTGTGGACTATTTAATTGGGTTTGTCATATCTTCTAATTCATTACTGTATAGTTGGTGATAGTATCCATTCACCATTCTCCATAATGCATGGTTTAACTGCCACCAGGCAGTGTGAGGGCCTTCTTGACATAATTAGTAATTAGTAATATTTATTTAATTATGGACAATAGGGATACCCTGATCAAAGTTCTTGATCACTGTATATAGCTTAATGTTGAATTCCTATAATTTTAGAGAAAGTATTGCAGATAAGTCCTTGTTGAAACACTTCAAACACAAATCAGATGTGTCATTCCCTTTTTTTCCGTAGGAGAGGCATTGCACTTGGCAAGGGATTTCGGCTACACATGTGAAACAGAATTCCCAGCAAAAGCTGTAGGAGAGCACTTGGCAAGACAGCACATGGAGCAGAAAGAACAGACGGCAAGGAAAAAGATGATCCTTGCTACAAAGTAAGCTATTATTTTTGTTTTAATGTGCAAACATTGCACTGCATTGGCAGACTACAGCTACAAATGAACTATGGCAAAGTATATTATACACAATATAAACAATCAACAAACTTGATAAAGGAAGAATGAATCATTCTATCAAAGTGGGTAAATGTAGCAATGTCTTAGTTTTCTACTAGAGATGAAAGTGGTGGAGGGGTGGTGCCACTGAGAAGTATTGTACTTAAAAATTATAATAATATGTAATTTAGCTTCTAATTGGGAACAGCTTTATAGGTGAGATGCTTTTAAATATGAACATTTTATTTTACATAATATCATGGTCTATATTTAAAAAAAAAAAAAGGATAATGTTTTATGTTGTTTGGGTGCAATGTACTATGATTTGTGGTGTTATATTTTCCTATGACTGTTGCATATCTTGAGAATATAAAAAAAAAAAAAATTAACCTGTACTCATCTTTTTTGATAATGCAGACAAATTTGTAAAGAGTTTCAAGACCTTCTCAGCCAAGACCGATCACCGCTGGGATCTTCTAGACCAACTCCAATTTTAGACCTTGACATTCAGAGACATTTAACACATTTCAGGTACGTTTTTAATCTGATGTATGTGCACACGTTCCATAAATTTTATTTGTACTGTGAGATTCATTTCTCTTAAAAAGTACTCAAGTGCTGAGAGTGTGAGTAACAACATTGACTCGTATAATTTGTGAAAATCAGGCTGGTTATTTTTTATTTAAGATTTGAGAACTTTACTGGTATGGAATTTACACTTTGATGCCCTTTATCAGGGTGATTTTTATTTAATTTTACCAAATCATATATTACAATAATAATTACAAAATAATAGTAATGGAAATAATGCATTGAGGTTAAAGTACCTAGAAATTATTTAGGTATATCTGCCTACATATGATCATATTGGTAGGAATTGTCTGCAACTAACCACAAAAAATAATCAAACACATTAACAAATAAGCTGCTCTACTAATACAAGCAGATATTGTTTTCTGTCAATGGATACTAAAACTGAAATATTTGATCAGTTTGGTAAAATATAAAGTGAATTGTACTAAGTATACTTCAGAGCTTTATCTCCTTTTACTACATTTCTTTATTGTTATTTTTATTTACCATTCTTTGTTCATTATGTGTAGCTATATGAAAATTTTCTCTAGATTAAGGATTGGGTGTCCAATAGAATCTCAAAAAGAACATTAAAATGTCCTTTTGTATATTAAAAATAATACAAAATACATTTGCAGGCTGGCACATTTTTTAGCATGGATGGCATCATCAGTCAAATTACTTAGCTAGCATCCAAATAAACATTTCTTATAAATTATCCCAATAAGCCCAAGACGCAAGTGACCGTAACACTTCTCAAAAAAGTATAGTCACTAGAAGAGCCATAGAAAGGATTTAGTCAGTAATAAACACTTTCTAAAAATCTAATTACATCGTATTTTAAACTCCAAAATTACATATTATAAGACTGTGACTATAGTGTCAAAAACAGATAAGCTTTTAGAAGAAAATATTAAAAATTGAAAAAGTTTGTAACATGATAATTTTTTTAATCCACAACCAAACTTGGTAATTAAATTCTTTCTTGTCTTCATAAATAAGCAAAAAAAAAACATTATTTAAGAAGGAAAAAAGCAAATACTTTCCCCCTATAGATTTGCTTGCAGTAATCTTGTGTATTGATTGTTTTAAAGACGATCATTAGGTATAACTGGGAAAGTTATCTAAATCATTCTCTCACATCTAGATTTTGATATTTTGGTAGAGTGAAGTGATTTATTAAAACCTGTGTCCAAAAATATTTATCTACATCACAAATAATAATTTATTTAAAATTTCCAAATTGCAAAATTGTGTTTAGGAAGAATTTCAGCTCAATATGGGAATAATTTAGTAATTAATATAATTATAATACATTTTTGTTTGCAGAGCTATAGACTATGCTACTTAATAGAATATTAACCTTTACTTAAATAAATCAAACGTGTAACACTGGTCAATTATAATAAATGTGATTTGTAAAAATAGTTCAAAGAATAATCCAGGAACTGTATAGTCTATGTTCACTTATTTTTTTTAAACCCCCTTCATAAAAGGGGGTTGAGTAAATTTTATTGTGTAATTACAGTTGTTCGCATGTCTGTCCTGAATAGGTGAAAAATAAGACATATTCTCCATTTACCTTAAATTCCCGGCCCTTGCTCCTTATATACAGTGTTTCAATTTTCTCTACAGTGATACAGCCACATATAACTACAACAAAGCTTTCTATGAGAGCATATAAACTCCATTCACTTACAAAAATATATATGAGCTCAGATGGCAAAAGGAAATTACAAATCTCCCAAAGAAAGTTATAGGAGGACTAACTTTCCCACATTGAGTTATAGGAGAACTAACTTCCCCACAGAACGTTATAGGAGGACTAACTTCCCCACAGAAAGTTATAGGAGGACTAACTTTCCCACAGAAAGTTGTAGGAGGACTAACTTTCCCACAGAAAGTTTTGGGAGGACTAACTCTCCCCCAGAACATTTTGGGAGGATTATCTTTTGGCTAGCAGGTTTCAGCCGCATCTTGTTCTGGTAAGAGCTCAAAGTAAGTCTATGCTCCCAAATCACCACATAGTAAGATAAAGTGCTTGATGCATAGATGTTCTCCTTTTGCTCACACAAAGTAAAACATTGCTGTTTCTCAGAAATGGTACTGTATACATTTTGCCTAAACTCATTTGAAGTAGATAGCCACTTCAGGCACTTCCTCATGAAGACATTCATATGCTAAAAATCATTATGTTCAACATCATTGTATACAGGATGATGGTGCTGAATGATTCTCATATGATTGCCTCACAAGACTGGTAGAGGGTGAAAATTGCAGCACATGCCCCATAGGTCCACAATGCTTCTCTATGGGTAACATCTAATTGGACCAGATATTATCAAGATTGATGATATCAAGGAAGGCAGATTTCTACAAGGTGACTGCCCTTGTGCAGAAAGAGGGGCGTAACTCTAAACCCACTAAAGATAACTCTAATGTTGAAAACAAATATATTTCCTTTTAATGTGTGAGGGGTTCCTCTAAACTGATGTCTCACCTTAAATCCTACATAATTGAGAATACAGTTTAAATAATAAACAATAGACCGTCATAGGTTTTGAAATTATATGAAAAATATAATAATATAGTCTCACACAAGCATGTGCAACTGTTGTAAACCATAAATTGACCACATGGAAAAACAGAGAAACTATCCATTTGTTAATCCCTTCCTGGAGATTGTATATTTAAGAAATCACAAAAAGCACAAATGAAGAGTGTCCCTCACACATTCCTTTTTCGTGCCTTGGTGTTCGTGGAACAATAAAGTTGGATTTTTGCACATGCATCTATAATGCAGCAAACGTTTACATTACAGGACTGTATGAAGCCTAACATTTAAAACCAACATGTACTGAATTACATTTTTTGTGGATTTTAAAATAATTTAAAAAAATTTGTATGCATAACGAAATAATGATTTTTATATTTTTATAATATCACAGCTTGATTCATTTGTTAAATAACAAAAAAAAAATATTTTTCTTATAGTTTGATCACCCACGGATTTGGAACGCCAGCAATCTGTGCTGCTTTAAGCACTTTCCAAACTGTTCTCAGTGAGATGCTGAACTATTTGGAAAAACACACAGCAAATAAATCCAGCGGAATTTCAGAAACTAACCAGGGTAATTCCAATTCGGAGAAAGGACCACTTCGGAAAACATCAGATGTAGTTGTGAAAGATGCCAAAACAGAAAAAACAGACTAACTCCTTCGTGTTCACCAGAGAGATTTGCTGCTGATATTTTTTTTATATATATCATTAGGTTAATATATTTACAAAGGATTGAATTTCACACCTTTGAATTGCATTGTAAAGTATGTAATAATATTTTTCACCTTTCTTTTAATTCCCCAAAAAGACTGTATCGATTGAAAATTATAATGCACATTGGATTCTTTTTTTTTTTCCTTTTTACTATACGTACAACTACAACAACCTCTTACTGAGAAATATGTTACTGACAAAAAAAAGAAAATTCTAAAATTTTAAATGGAATATCACAAACTGGACAAATTTCTTTTTTAATACTTTTTTTTGTACTGAAAATAAAAAACATACAGTGTTATTGAAACACATTATTGAAAATGCTTCTAAATGAGAATAAACTTGAGAAAATGAAATTTTATGATGGTTTTATCTTGTTGTATTAGAAACCAATATTGGATTTCTTTGTAATCAGGATTTGCATGTAAATTACCTCTGCCACATTAGTATAATATGTAATAATTTTATGAGTAAAAATATTGTGAATTGTTTGGTATCCATATATTTTCATTATTACCAAATATAGAAAAGCTGACACAGAAATCAGGTCAGCATGTTAGCTGTATATACATAACACGACTACTTTTTGTACAAATTTTTTTGACGCAGCAAGATTTTTAATAAATAGGTCTTATGAAAGACTGGCTTCCTACGACTAGTAGTATTTTATTATCAATGTAAGAAAATAGTGAAAAAAAATCAAAATGTGAGCTTCTGGTCAATAGCTTTCTAGAATTGGTCAGATGGTTATATTTATTTATATAGTACCTGCTCAAACCTCATGAATGCAGGCGCTATTCCTAAAGGTTGACTCAGCTTTTCTTATTTAAGTGGGCAATAGAATGAGTAGGAAGTATTTTGGTACCCTACATCTAGTACGTGTTTGAAAATGAGAGAAATCTGAATATTTCATTCATTGCATTGTAACAAATGTTTATTGTCAATGAACACAATGGTTTGTCTGTATCGTCCAATAAGGTGTCTTGTACTATGAAAACACAAGTTTAGAGAAGCACTGTGATAAATTATTGGTCATATCTGTGATTGACAAATTATTCTATGCACACAGAAACAAACACGACTAAAAGACATTTATTCAAAGTTTCACATGATCCATGAGGTCCATATGTTTGCAGGCAGTTCATGCAAATCTTCAGCAGCCTTAACTGAATGTATGATTGTGATCTTTCATGTGACTTGGCTCAACAGCCTTTTGCAACCTATTCTGGGCTCAAAAAAATGTCAGGACCAATTACAAAGGATGGTGTGTTAGGGACATGCATGCATGTTCAAGTGGGGCTGAGTATACAACCAAAGATGGGGAGGAGGTAGTAAAAGATTAACTTATAAATATTTACTCATCTATACATTGATTCTAATAATTATAAGAGCCTATATTTAGTGTCCTATCTACCTAGACACCCAGGATAACCTAAACTGAAACATAGAAACAGATGTTGACTGCAGATAAGGCTGTTAACTGCTGATAAAGTGGCTCTATTACTTTTATTTTCTTTAGTAGGCATGTCCAAAATCCAGTGAAAAAGAAGGGAGTATACACACTAAAGACAAGAGTAATATATGTTTAACTTAGAGTGTTCCCAGGTGTACCTCACTGACACCTAACAAACAATGACAAAAAGGAAAGTGGAAATACACCCAGTAAACGTAAAAAAAATCTTAAAACAACCTGGAAAATATAATCCAAGGAAAACGAATCCTTGGCAGATCTACAATAATGATAAACATAACATTGCGTAATACAGTATTGAAATACAAAATTGGTGGTGTAAGGTCGAAAACTCACAAACGAAAGATGAATCAGGCTTCGCACCCCACCAGGGGTTAAATGGATAGAGAGGATGGTGGCTCTCAGATGATAGGAATCCTTACATATGTGGAGTAGGTTACCCCAGATCCACTACGCTGCTATTGAGTTCCACTTGACGTGGAGATATGCTCACGACTTTCATCTTGTCTGTAAGTGCAATCAAATAAAGTGTATTTGTATTTTAATTTTACATCACATGTGTGGCCTTTGTCTTCCACATATTTAAGGATTCCTATCATCATCATCCTCTCTATCCATTTAACCCCTGGTGGGGTGCAAAGCCTGATTCATCTTTCGTTTGTGAGTTTTCTACCTTACACCACCAATTTTGTATTTCAATACTGTATTATGCTATGTTATGTTTATCATTATTGTAGATCTGCCAAGGATCCTTTTTCCCCGGATTATATTTTCCAGGTTGTTTTAAGAATATTTTTACGTTTACTGGGTGTTTTTCCACTGTCCTTTTTGTCATGTCCAAAATCCATCCTTATCTGCCCATTTATTTTTATTTTTCCAAAATTATGCTTATTGATACATAAGGAAAAGTAGTGACTACTTCCTCTCATGTACAGTATAACTTGCAGGTTGACAAAAGTTGACTAAGGATGGAGTTTAGTCAAACACCATGATCTTTGTCAAGATTGTTTGTCTTTCTTGGTGTGTACTCACCTCCCTCCAGCATAGCAGAGAAGCAGCTCATAGCAGTCTTCAGACTTTTTTGTCCCCATTAATGTAATCGATACTTGGCATGTGCATGAAATCATGTGCATGCCCTGGGAAGGGCATAAGATACGATTTCATAGCACCACCATCTTTAAGATGGCGAGGTCAAGGAAAAGACCTAACAGTAATGGAATGACAAAAACAGTAAGTTAAATCAGTTCTGGGGGTATAAATCTTACAAGGGCTCAGGGGGGGTTAGAGGGCTAGACAGAAGAATCTCTCACCTGGGGCATCAATGAAGCGACAGAGCCTATAATATAGCAGATTTGGCTCTGAACAAATCTACTGTCTACCAATAAGCACAGTAATGAGCTTCTAAGATAACTCATTCAGAAGGCACATGGTTGACCATTTGCATTTTTGATCATAACATTATTGTCTGACAATTCCAGATTTCATTCCTCCATCATTGGTCCCATTTTTGGAACAGACAGGCATACTGATGAAAATGAGACAAAAAAGATGTAATCAACCCAAATGGAAGAATATGATAGACACACACAGATATGGCAGAGAAACTGGATGGATGGATGGTTGGATGAGTGAGGAGGTAGGATGATAGAGTGACTGACATAAAGACAGACAAACAAATGGAACATAATAAACAAACTCTGAGATATGTGCTAAAATAATCGAAAAGGGCAGACATGGAATAGATAGAGAGATAGAGAGACAGACAGGCAGGCAGGCAGTACAGACACACACAAAGAAGGTACAATAGGAAGCAGCTCCTTGGAAAGGTCCTCAAGATCTAAAAGATATGTAGTGGAGGTAGGAAGAGAAAAAAAATATAGTGTAGTTTATAAAAAAACATCAAATTGGAAATAAAAAAGGAAAGACACTTACATTGCCTTGCTAATTGTAGTGCTGCAAACTATAAGAAAAAGAAAAAAAATGATATTCAACAAATGAATTAAGCTGTGATATTAAAAAAATTCCCTGCCTGTGGATATATTTTTTTTAACTTTTTTTCTTGCTCCAACAAAGTATAGTGTAGATGTGCAGCATAAACAGAAATAAAATACCAGAATAGTATAGTCAAAAGATTGAATTAGATAATAAGATAATAAATATAATAAAAATGCACATTCACATTTAATGGAGCTTCCAGATGGCTCCTTTTGTGGTGCTTGGAGTGGAATGATCCCCACTCTAGGATATATGTGCAGAAACATTTATCTGGTACAAGTAAGTAAGTTAGGATCCTCTCCATAGACATAAAACAGAAAATAAAATATGGTTCTCATTATATATAAAATTAACAGTTAAAACAATACAGCCATAAATGGAAAGAAACATGATAGACAGAGAGAGGGAGATACCTGTTGTGGTGTATTACCAAAACAGGTATCTCTCTCTCTCTGTCACCAAGACAAGCCAAAAATGTTGTCTTCAATGGCATGTTCCGAATACCCAAACCACGGAAGGCCCCGACTGCAGTGCCCAGGGACCTGGTGGTCCAATTTTAAAACATCAAGGATAAAACGTCAGTACAGGCCGCTCTGCAGGGGACTTCCAATTGCAAATTTGAGAATCTGGAATTATCCTTTCATGCAGAACTGTCCAGCAGCACACTGCAATGGTGGAGACCACTGCAACCTCTTACCATTCTCCTACGGGAACATGATATCCGGTATCTCTGGCATCCCTCTCAGACCCTGTTGGTCCTCCACGCGTACACTTCTTATTCTGCCATGATCGCCAGGGAGCAGCAGCACTATTGGGGCCTCTGGGCCTTCCACAGACCTCCCTACAACAAAAAGGGCAATGCTTGACCAAGCCGGCCATACACACGTGGAACCCAGCAACGGTCACCGTATTCGTCCCTCGGAAGGCCTTCTTGGACACATATGCGGCTGCCAAAACCTAAAAAAAACCTCGCATACATTGGGCCCATCGCATCATGACTTTATATACCACCGCTGACCAGAACTGTATATAATTATATTGTTTATTATGTTTATTGCTTTCCACATTTTCTTTATTTCCCTTGCTCTCGTCACAATGATATACTTCCCCTATTGAAGGTAGTCAAATCAGCTACTAGCCTTAGCTAGGGAATACCATGTTTGGTAAATTACCAAATTAATGTACTTATTACACAATGTTTGTCTACATTAAAAGGTATTTATTAGAAGGCAACAACACAATACTATAAATTTATCACAAACACTCAGCCCAGACCCACGGAGCAAAAACCCTTGTTAATCTAGCTCTCTTTTTATATGTATATAGTAATCCCCTTCCCCACATGTTTGATCTCACCCACGGTTAGGCCATCACATCTAGTAATGGGTCACTGCTGCAAGTTCAACATCACATCCACTAAGGAAGAAAAGGAAGCAACAGACTGTAACAAAGTTCACCATGACAAAAATTAGCCCATGTCTACTCAGTAGCACAGCCAAGAAGGAACAGGAAGGAATGGAGATAGGGGGAAGTGGTTATCTCTCCTGACTTGTAAAGGTATTGAATTAACCAATTAAAATATCAAAGGGTAAAGCTTATCCCCCTGTAAGAAAGGTATACACGAGCTTGGTCACATGACCTCTGGTCACTTGTCACTGTCCTTGTACAGGTATGGCAGTAGAGATGCAGGCAAACGACAACAGGAAAGGTAGATAAAGAATCAATAACTCATAACTCTTCAAGCTGCAACTTACACTGAGGTTGATCAATGTAAGGTAATATGAAGGAACAATAAATATATACATATCCTGTAGATACTGTGGTCTGCTGTAGTTGAGTGCCCTGTCGCCCTTGGTAGAATGCATAATGGTTTGTAAGGAGACAGTGACTTGCATAATTAATACTCAACTTTAATGTTGGCACATGATATAGTGTTACAGCCTGAAATTAAAATGGATTTGATCTAATTCTTTACCACTAGATTTCCACAAGATACATAGCATACACTGGTCTCATAGATTGACACACAACAGGCTTGGAGAAAGTAAAACAGCTGCCTATCATCTTGTTCAGGGATAGGCAACCTTTGGCACTTTAGATGTTATTGGCTGTATCTCCCATAATACTTTTACAGGCATAATGCTGGCAAAGCATCAAGGGAGATGTAGTTCACAACATCTAGAGTGCCAAAAGGTGCCATCCCCTGATCTAGTTTTTAGAGTTAATAGCTAACACACACACTCAGACACACACACAGACACACACACACAGCAAAGCCAAACATGATTCTTGTCTCGATATACAGGAAGTCTTAATAGGTAGAAGGGGACCTAGGAGCATGTAGAAGGGGACCTAGGACCTCACTGTGCATGGCTTTGGGCTCTTTTTCTACCAATCCATGGAATCATGATTTTCTGGCCAACAGCTTAATGTATGATGCCAAATACCCCAACTGGAAGCATAGCTGACTTGGAAATTTTTCATTTATGTGATAAATTTGAAATTCTCTATGATTTTTTTTAGGAATTTCTGGCAATCAACACTTTAGTTAATAACCCTGATTTTTAATTCATGACTAGAATAGGCAAACTGCTAAAATTTGGTCAGAATTCCCAACAATTCTAACCTTCGTGAATAACACTAATTGGTTATCATCGTTACTTATAACCAGATTAAATATATTCTATACAGCCTCTTTGATGTCTATTTGCAATACTGCTAATCTTAGTTGTTTAAACCCTTAAGGACACATGACATGTGTGACATGTTATGATTCCCTTTTATTCCAGAAGTTTGGTCCTTAAGGGGTTAAATAGTTATCCTTTGTCACTGTTATGTGATGCTAGATATCCACACAATTGTATTCTCTTGTGATGTAAAGTGTTTTTTAATAAAAATTCGGTAAGGAAGAAGAGACATAATTTTTTACTATATAGTGTACATTTACAACCTCTTCCTGCGGTTTTAGGTATGATTCTGTGTTCATGAATCTAAATTAGCAAGATCATCTTTGTAGATGGAACGTTTGCTGTAATTGACCATTACTGTATTGTCTATTGGTCAACATTGATGATCCCGTATGTACTAGAGTTGCAAGAAGATTCAATAATTTAGAAAAGAAGAGGCAACTCAATAAATTGAAAAGTCCAGACAAATTAAAACACTAAATGTGTGTAGTATTCACGATGATGTGTATTTGCCTATAAATCTTGGAGTATGCATGCAGGTCTCAGAAGCATTAAATACATAGGCAGTACAGGCTACTCTATGTAAATGAGTATATTTTATTAATTAGACTTATCCAGGCACTCGCTATTAGTTACTAGAGCATCCAAAGCTAGCCATAGAATCGTCACGCAAGCATATGGGCTTTTTAATCCCATGTGCTGTGCTCCACATTGTAGTATACAATAAGACAGAATAAATAAGTGAGTAAAATATACTGTCTTATTTTTCAGACAGCTTCATTGTGGAGCTTTTGTGTGACAATAATTGATGAGATTCTCTGTGCTTATATTGCCAAAGGCAAATGTATGCGTAAGAACAACAGTGTATACAAACTATACATAAAGTCGTGGTCTTTTCAGAAATATGAACTGTCAACCTTTCAGTGAACTAAATGTGGTTCCACCAGCAGATCTGAGTGTGCATATGGCATTTAAAGAGCTTAATTAATATAAATGTCAGACAAAGAGGAGTTTTGTAAAGAAGGTGAGAGAAAGATTAAGATATAGTAACAGAGAAAAGGAGAAAAAGATTAAAAAAAAAAAAAATCTAATAAAAAGTAAGAAAAAAAATATTTTCTACGAAAACTAGTATCATGACAGCTAGGATGGTAATGTCCCTATTGTAGATCTAGAATAACCGTGTCGTGAGTCTAATGAGGAAGACTTGTTAAATAATGCATATATCAATGTTTATGTTGTCTTACATCTCCTAACTGTGACCACAGCTTATCTAGCGATTCCATGGGTAGCTGATCCATTCATCAGTCCTAAATTTAAATTTTAAATGTTCTTAATTTAACTGTTGTAATCTTTGGATAGCAATCACTTTTTTGGATCTTAAATTGAGTCCTATATTTTTCGGGAGGCCAATGTAGGGACTGACAAAGAGGGGAGGCGTGGCAGGTGCGGGCGGACAGGAAGATAAACCTAGCCACCGCATTAATTATAGTCTGTAGCGGGGTAAGTTGGAAACATGCAAACTTCAGCAAAAGTGTGAGTGGCCATTTGTGAATATAACTTCTACAATTTGTCATCATACACAGTTATACGCTAAGTTGTTTTATTTATGATTGGTTCAGCAGATCATCCCCCTTTTTTTGCTTGTGTTGTGTGGAAGACAAGAGGAAGTCTTTTGGGATACTATTGGAAATCTTATCCTATACAGGAAAGTTCCTTTCTGTTGATATAAATTAAGCACTTATTACACTGTGGTGGGTGTTCACACACATTGTTTCTTTCTGTAAGTTGGAAACATGTTAGACCACTGAGAAGTGGATTACAGTAGTCAAGGCAAGAGAGGACAGCGGCATGGACAAGCACCTTTGCTGTATCAGGCGTTAAATAGGGTTGGATGCGCGCAATATTTTTGAGATGGCATAGGCAGGTTTTGGCGATTGTTTGGACATGAGGGGTGAAGGAGAGGTTGGAGTCAAAGAGAACACCTAGGCAGCGAGCTTGAGAGGTAGAGCAAATGATAGTGCCATTGAACCGCAATTGTGGAATGACCTCCCGCACAATTTAAAATCTTCCCTAAGCCTAAAGTCATTTAAGAGATCCCTCTCTACATACCTCAAAACAGAATGCACGTGTCATGGTTGATTATATATTTCCTGCCTGTTCTATGTTAAATTTTGTATATATTGTGTATTAATATTGTTTTTGTATTTTGTTGTACCTAATGTAACAATACAATGATTTGTGGACCCAGGACATACTTGAAAATGAGAGAAATCTCAATGTATCTTTCCTGGTAAATAAGTAAATATTTTATAAATAAAATAAAATAAATAAAATAATTGGAAGGAAAGAGACAAAGGAGTAGCAACACTTGAGGGAGGAAATACCAGAAGTACTGTTTTGGACAGGTTCAGTTTAAGGAAATGAGCAGCCATCCAGTTGGAAATAGCAGAGAGGCAGTCAGAGACACAAGTAAAGAGGGGTCGTGAGAAATCAGGGGGGGACAGATAAATTTATGTGTCATCCACATAGAAATGATACTGGAAGCCGAAGGAGCTGATGAGTTTACAAAGGGAGGCAGTGTATATTGGGAACAATAGGGGACCAAGGACAGACCCCTGGGGAACACCAACATAGAGGGAAAAGAGGCAGAGCCGGAGAAAGAAACACTTAATGAGTACTGGGAGAGGTAGGGAGAGCACCAGGAGAGAGCATTATCCTCGTAGACTGAGATTACGGAGGATGAGAAGAAGCTGTTGATGATCAACAGTGTCTAAAGCAGCAGAAAGGTCGAGGAGAATTAGAATAGAGTAGTGGCCACGGGATTTTGCAGCAATAAGATCATGGTATAAATTGGTCACAGCTATTTCAACAGAGTGACAAGAACATAATCCAGAATGAAGCGGGTCAAGCAGAGAGTTGGATTTGAGGAAGTCTATCAATCTCACATATGCAACTCTCTCAAGGATCTTGGAGGCAAATGGCAGTAGCAAGATAGGGCAGTAGTTGGATGGGGAATTAGGGTCGAAGTTGGGCTTTTTTAGAATCGGGGTTACGGTTGCATATTTGAAGGGTACAGGAAACGTGCCAGAGGAGAGGGAGAGATTGCAAATTTTAGTGAGAGGCAGAGCAAAAGAAGGAGACAAAATGCGGATGAGATACAAGGGAATAGGATCGAGGGAACAGGTGGTGGGGTGGGAGGTACAGAGGAGCTACCTCTGAGAATGCATCTACCTCATGTCATAAACATATCAAGGTGCTGCTCCACCTTCTTATTCCAGCAACTTTTATTGGACCGGAACTGAGAGACTCTGGTTTGGGTGTTTCAGCTGCCTACCTTTTTTCAATCGTATGCACTAGAAACCCAGTTTTTATTTATTCACAGAGTCTCGGTCGCTGGGATCTGACGTCATGGATCCTGGCGACCTTAACTCTATGTATCTTGAGAAGCAATTAGCTGCTGTCAATTCCCCATACTTCCCACCTTTAATGGTAAGTATTAAGAAGTTCCAACCAGTCCCAGTTAATAGTGAACTACCAGGGGATTTCTTAGTACCTTGGTGGGCCAGTCTCTGTGCACCACCTTCCGCTTGTCACCTGAACTATAGGTAAATGCTCATGGGTGGCTAATTACATGTGTGTGAGTGAGTCAAATATGTCTGTGTGGGTTATTACTGCTAAACAGCATTTATAAAAGACTATTACAAGTTAGGTATGTGTGTTAGAACGGTTGATTAGGAATGTTTGTGAGTGCGACTAAGTAGATATGTTTAAGTGTGGGCATGTTCATGAGACACAACACAACAAATTGGGCTAGTTGTTAAGAATGCAAGTGTTGCTGACCAGGTTATTTTGTGTTTTATGTACATACGCTTCAAAACTCCAGTAAGGTGTCCAGCATTTCTCAAGCTTTAATAGGAGAGATTTATCAAGGTGCCATTTTGTGGAAATATGCTAAATAAGGATAAATCACCATGGAAACCAGTAGAATGTATCTTTACATTTAATACTTTTAATCCACTTAGAAGCAACATTTTTGTCCCAGAGAAATATTTTGCTGCTCTAAAAACGCTTGTGCTGTGCTCCTGCACAGCAACAGCATTTCTAGCCAATCAGGTGATCAGGACAGCCATGCAGCTCATGTGTTTCCTTCATTTGAGGTTTTTAAGCAGTTTTCACACAAAAGGGACAAAACTTGTTTGAGTGCTGTTAGTCCCTCACCTTCCTTCTCATGAGCGTTTGCTCATTCATCCTTCCTAAGCCAGTACTGTTCCAGACAGGGATCACCTGAGATTGACTGGGGGTCTGAGTAGATGGCACGCTCTGCAGCTTACACTGAATGAGGGAAGTTGAGCAACATTCAGATGGCCAGGGTGAGCCTTTTAGGTAAAGTGCTCCCTTTAAAATTGTTCCATTCCAGATAGGCCATCGAGCAAGAATCAGAAGTCAGGGATTCTGCCAAACTAGTTTTCAGATCCCCACTAGTTAAAGGGGATGATCTCATGCTTAGAAACCATAATTGTATCCCTGACATTCAGGCACTAATACAAGTGATACTCAAATAATTAGAATATTGTGCAAAACTTAATTTATTTCAGTAATGCAACGTAAAAGGGGAAACTAATAAATTAGATAGTCGCATAACATGCAAAGCAAGGTAGTTCAAGCCGTAATTTGTCATAAGTGTGATGATTATGGCTTACAGCTCATGAAAACCCCAATCCACAATCTCAGTAAATTAGAATATTACATGCAATCAATAAAACAAGGATTGTACATAGAACAATATCGGACCTCTGAAAAGTATAAGCATGCATATTGACTCAGTACTTGGTTGGGGCCCCTTTTGCAGCAATTACTGCCTCAATGCGGCATGGCATGGAAGTTATCAGCCTGTGGCACTGCTGAGGTGTTATGGAAGAACCAGGATGCTTCAATAGCGGCCTTCAGCTCTTCTGCATTGTTCGGTCTCATGTCTCTCATCTTTCTCTTGGCAATACCCCATAGATTCTTTATGGGGTTCAGGTCAGGCACGTTTGATGGCCAATCAAGCACAGTAATCCCACGGTCATTGAACCAGTCTTTGGTGCTTTTATCAGTGTGGGCAGGTGTCAAGTCCTGCTGGAAAATGAAGTCAGCATCCCCATAAAGCTCGTCTGCGGAAGGAAGCATGAAGTGCTCCAAAATCTCTTGGTAGATGGCTGCGTTGACCCTGGACTTAATGAAGCACAGTGGACCAACACCAGCAGATGACATGCCTCCCCAAATCAACACAGACTGTGGAAACTTCACACTGGACTTCAAGCATCTTGCAGTGTGCACCTCTCCATTCTTCCTCCATACTCTGTATACTTGGTTTCCAAATGAGATGCAAATGTGCTCTCATCAGAGAAGAGGAATTTGGACCACTGAGCAACAGACCAGGCCTGTTTTTCTTTAGCTCATCTAAGATGCTTCTGACGTTGTTTGTTGTTCAGGAGCGGCTTGACAAGAGGAATACGACATCTGAAGCCCATGTCCAGGATCCGTCTGTGTGTGGTGGCTTTTGATGCACTGACTCCAGCCTCAGTCCACTCCTTGTGAAAGTCCCCAACATATTTGAATGGCCTTTTCCTGACAATCCTCTCCAGGCTGCGGTCATCCCTGCTGCTTGTGCATTTTTTTCTTCCACACTTTTCCCTTCCACATAGTTTATATTAATGTGCTTTGATACAGCACTTTGCGAACATCCAACTTCCTTCGCAATTACCTTTTGGGGCTTTCCCTCCTTATGGAGGGTGTCAATTATGGTTTTCTGCACAACTGTCAGGTCAGCAGTCTTCCCCATGATTGTGATTCCTACTGAACCAGACTGAGAGACCATGTAAAGGCTCAGAAACCCTTTGCAGGTGTTACGACTTACTTAGCTGATTAAAGTGGGACACTGTGAGCCTAGAAATATTGCACCTTTTCACAATATTCTAATTTACTGAGATTGTGGATTTGGGGTTTTCATGAGCTGTAAGCTACAATCATCACACTTATGACAAATCACGGCTTCAACTATCTTGCTTTGCATGTAATGCATCTATCTCAGATATTAGTTTCCCTTTTTACGTTGCATTACTGATATAAATGAAGTTTTGCACAATATTCTAATTTTTTAAGTATCACCTGTAGGTCCTGAAATTGATCCAGCACTGTTATCCATTACAGGAAGCAGTGTTTCTGTGGATCCCATGGATAAGATGTTTCGCAATGTACAGTTAAAAAATGCGGATGCTCTTGGCTATTATGTTAGATAAGGCAGAGAGGGAGAGATCCTCTCATAACCCTTCTCTACCAGCTTTTGAAAGCTTCCTGCATAGCTGTGCTACAATTATCTTTTCAACATTCGCCGAACCCGCTGCCTTCATGCATCATGGATGTCTGATTTTGCCCCTAAATCCCACAAGTTTCCTAATTTAGAAGACTCCTTTCTGTTTGGCCCTTTTTTTTTACAAGAGGTGAAAGGAAGATATAAGGCTAGGAGATCTTTTTCTGATTTAAAGAATAGCTTTCAAAGTTACAAGATGCCCTTTCGGACTGAGGGCCGTTCCTACAGGACTATGGATTTATCTTGGGGAGAAGTTTCTCAGCAAGCTCACTTTCATCATCATGGGGAAAAGTCAAGACCATCATACAGTAGTAGAAGAGCCCATGCCAGAGGTGGCTCATCAGGAAAATGAAGACCCATACAGTCAACTTAGTGTTGTACCTCACATCCCTCGAAACTGGTCAGATATAACCTAAGACAAATTGGTGCTTCAGATTTTCAAAAAGGGTTTACAACTCACCCTCATTCGGTTTCCTTTCCAGAGGCAAACTCTGTGCAAAGAGGTAAATCCAGTTATAGATACCTCTTTTTTCCTGGGATTAACTCAAGATATAATAGAATTGCCAGATATGTCAATTTTAGGTTGGACCAGTCCCCTGTTCCCCAATCCAAAATCAGACAGAACATGGAGGCCAGTACTGATTGTGAAGGCTTTGAATGCTTTCCTAAGGAGGAAAAGATTCAGAATTGAAGGTTTAAAATTCCTCCCAGGCCTAGTGCAGAAAAAATATTTCTGCATAAAATTAGACCTCAAAGGTGCTTTCCATTCAGTTCCTATGGCTATGAAGCTCAGGCGCTTTCTCAGATTCTGCTGGAAGGAACATATATATACTGGACTGTAATGGTGTTTGGCCTATCCAATGCACCTTTTCAGGATAATGAAAGTTGTTATGTCCTACGTCAGACAAAGAGGCTTCCTATGCCTTTATTATTTAGACGACATTCTGTTGTTGAATCCAGATGTAGATGCTCTTGTTCAGCAGAGAGATTACCTATTTTCCCTTTTGCAGAATCCGAGATTTATAGTAAATCTGCATAAATCTGTCCTGGTCCCAACTCAGAATACCCTATTTCTGGGTTCCATGCTGAACACTATAGATATGACCTTGGGGGTTCCCCAAGACAAATGTGAAAAAATTCTAGCTCACTTAACTTCAGCTCTTTTGAAGCACAGATGGCCTCTAGGAGAACTAGCAAAGACTATTGGGAGTTTGATAGCATTAACCCCGGGTTATGATGCTTCCCCCTTGCTGTGCAGACGGAGTCAGCTGTTTCTAGGAGACTAACTAAGACACGGTGGCCTGTAGGAGTCAAGGGTAGTCTTCCCAAGAGTGTCAGAAAAGAGCTAAATGATATATTGGAGGGGGCAATTCCACTTCCTAGCCCACTTTTGGAACGGCCTTTTGAGTTAACCCTGACCATAGATGCCTTTACCAAGGGATGGGGTGCGTTCCCTGCCCAAAACGTGATAAGAGGTGTTTGGTCAGTTCAAGAAAGGCTTCTTCACATGAATGTGCTAGAGTTGAGAGCAATAAGATTAGTCCTTCAAGGCCTCATTCCGTTGAACCTCCTAGGTGTGTCGGTAATGGTTCTATTGGACAACAGGACAACCCAGAGGTGGCACAAGGTCAAAAGGTCTTTGCCTAGAGGCTATGGCCCTGTGGTCCTGGGCTCTAGTACACAAAGTCCTGATATAGATCCAATTTGATGTTTGTTATATTGAGGGGAACCTAAATTGTTATTTTCAAGCCTGTAGTTTTTTTTTCGAGCCTGTAGCTGTGGGAGGGGATATTGCTCACCACACCACAACCGACTTGTGTACCACTTGTACCACTAACATTGTCCCCGACTACAAAGAAAACAAACTTTTATATATATATATTCTGTTTCTCTTTACAGATTACAACTGGCTTCCCAGACAGGATCAACAAGCCAAGGTCCCTCCTAAATAGTTGTTCTGGAGGTTAAGAAAATCCTTTCAGAACTTCTTTTTTTTTATGAGTTATCCTAATATTTCTCTCAGAGACTGTTTGCCTTTTCACCTTTATGATCTAGGATTGTTTTGTTACATTTTCACATGTTACTATTAACTGTCAGTACTTGAGTAATGTTTCTTTTCTATTGTTACTTTATTATACTGTCCATTCACTGTGTTTCTATAACCTTTACATAGGTGTAATTTAGTGTTTGGTTGAGAAAATAAAACATAGTTATCCCCTTATATTGGCAGTGGTGAATCTTTTCCTTTTTTTTATTAAATATAGTATTTTGTGTGTTTTTTATACATTGAATCCTAGCCTACATTAGAGGATTCTTTGTCTCTGGATGAGTTAACCATCCGCAGTGTCCTGATTTTAAAATCTGAGGTGATCAGGGCTGCCGCGAGCTGCACGGCTGTCCTAATCGGCTAGAAATGCTGTTGCTGTGTAAGAGCACAGCCCGAGCATTTTAAGCGCGGCAAAAAAATTCTCTGGGAGGCTGCCACATACCCACTAGCTTTGCTAGGTGGTTATGCTCGTCCCTAAGACAAAGAAAGTTTGCAGGTCATAGATTCCTGCCAACTCTTTTTACCAACATTGTGATCATCATCAAGCATTTACAATGACCACAGTGTTACGGAAACATCACTGATATCATCTAAGGAATATGCCACATTTTCCTGGAGTTACATTGAGGTTTGGCAGAACTGAGAGCCTTCTGCACCCTCTTCATATATCAAATATTCAACCTGTAGTATATGTGGAATTACATACTAATGTGTATGCACATTCTACACACGTTAATGTCACACAAGCATAAAAACAAAGTCACCCATATGTTTATATATTCTTTCTTACAAACTGCACATATACATATGGTTTGACACACAAGGCACATTTTAATTTATTTTTACTTTAGGAGCATGATAAATTGCAGAGGAAATACGTAAATGCCTAGTAGGGATATGTTTATAGTTAAAGTATACAACAAAATTCAAGATGCTGTTATCTCAAAATTTAAATAATTTTCAGCACACGTCATGCCCATCATAAGATTTCCGTGGCTCCTTGTTCTCTTGAATCTGGAGAATCACCATCTCACACACTGTGGTACAGTTTTAGGCTTTCTTACTGAGATTGGAGAGATTTGATTGCCTTGCTGACAGATAGCTTTGATTGGCTCCCTTCCCTAATGAATGAGATCCCACAGCCTTTACACTTTAATTTGCAGATCTGCAGATGGGACATTGTTTTCTGAGGTATCATAAGTCAGCTATTTAAAACCTTAAGGAATATAACAGTGCAAGAATGGAGAAAGCTAGCATTTTTCAAAATAACCCAATGTCCAAATATTACAAACAGCAGGTGTGTTGTTTGAATGTAGTGAGCCAGCACACACCAGGTGGGTCACTTTAATATGTAATCTACAGCAGGTGGAGTATACAAATAAAGATAATACACTTTAAATGGACCTACTTTCAAATATAGTACATAGTATGTGAATGCAAGCTGGAGCATGCTAGCATATGCAGATACAATGAATTGCCATCTTACTCAACCTGGCCAAGTTTAACCCCTTCAGGACGGAGTCAATAGTGCACGTTCTGATCAAAACAAAACGTAAGCAAAAACTGGAATTTGCGCTATATGTCTGTTCAACCGTAATTCACCGCTGTCACATTAAGTGCACCCACACGTATTATATATCATTTTGTTCAGGAGAAACAGGGCTTTAATTTATCATTAACTATTCATATATGGAACATGATTTATTATGAATAACATTTAAAAAAATGTGAGAAAATAAGATTTTTTTTTTTACATTTGTATTTCCGTCTGACATTTTAGCTGTGAATGTCATAATACTGTTAGGTTTTACTGCAACAAAATGCACATATTTGTATTCAGCAATGTCTCACGAGTACAACAGTACCCCCCATTAACAGGTTTTATGGTGTTTTGGAAAGTTACAGGGTCAAATATAGAACGTTCAATTTTTAAATTGAAATTTGCCAGATTAGTAATGTTACCTTTGAGACGGTGTGGTAGCCCAGGAATGAGAATTACCCCCATAATGGCATCCCATTTGAAAAAGTAGACAACCCACGGTATTGAAAGTGGGGTATGTTTAGTCTTTTTTAGTAGCCACTTAGTCACAAACACTGGCCAAAGTGAGCGTTCATATTTGTTTTTGTGTGAACAGTGTTTGTGACTAAGTCGCTACTAAGAAAGACTGAACATACCCCACTTGAAATACCTTGGGTTGTCTACTTTTGCAAATGGTATGCCATCATGGGGGTAATTCTCATTCCTGGGCTACCATACGCTCTCAAAGGCAACATAACCAATCTGGCAAATTTCAATGTCAAAAAAATGAAATGCAAGCCTTATATGTGACTCTCTAACTTTCCAAAACACATAAAACCTGTACATGGGGGGTACTGTTATTCTCGGGAGACTTCACTAAACACAAATATTAGTGTTTTAAAACAGTAAAACATATTACAACAATAATATAGTCCATAAAAGTGCCATTCATTTGTAAAAAATGCAAAAAACTTCACTTTTGCTTAAAATATCATCGTTGTAATACAAATTACCAGTTTGAAACACTAATATTGAGTTCAGCGAAGTCTCCCGAGTAAAACAGTACCTCCTATGTACAGGTTTTATGGTGTCTTGGAGAGTTACAGGGTCAAATATAGTGCTTGCGAATTAAATTCTCTGCACTTTCTCCCTGTGTTGTCAGGCATGTCAATCAAATTTTAATTAATCAAATCACATAATCATGTTAAAAGATTACTTAAATAAACATGTAGAATTTTAATATATATGCATTTATAGGTATTTAAATTCTACGTGTATACTAATATAATCTTTTATGTAATTATATGTATTTATCTATATATTTGCGGTTACGCTCACAATGTAGGTATTTTGCAACACTATACTGCCAGCAGTCACGTCTAAAAACGATTTTCACTCTATGGGTAAACTTATTTTTGCTCACTCGATACATTACAGGTCTTCTTATGACCACTCATTAAAAACGCTGTTACTTAAAGTCATACACGGGTATAGGCACTAGAGCGACCTCTGGTGTCTAATTATGATTAGAGTTTTTCTTGTACATGTATTCTCAACCTGCTATTCAAATATGTTTCATTAGGGGTTTTGCTATTTGTTTAAAAAGCACGAGTTATGACATAGGTTAAAAATCAGTCCAGAGGGGTCTTTTATGCGGGGCACATATTTAGTGGGTAGAATATAAGTAGGATATGCGGCTTAAAGCAGGGTCTCCCATAATTAAACTCTGACTACGGTATTATGGTGGAGGTAAATTACATACATAAGATGATTAGCACTTAGGATGTTTATGGACCTCTTTTTCAGTATTTCTCAGCTGTACCACGGTGGGCAGCTATTCTACCAACTTTCACTGGACTTAGGTCAGTTATCTTGAGTTATTTACTACTTAAACGGTCACGCAACACCAGGGTCCTTATATGTGTTTTCTGTATTTTTAGATATAGGCATCCTTGCTCTATTGTGTAAATTGGTTCCCAGTCCCCTGCTAGTGAAATACTACTGGTAGGTATCAGAATAGCAGGGGAGTTAGGGGTCATATTTATTTGCCCGTACAAACGTATATTACTCTCATAGGTTACTACAGATCGCCTGTACCCCCTTTTTTCTCCTCATAATATCTGGCAACTCGCTCATCAGGTACGTCATATCTTCTCGACTATTATTCCTCCCTACCTACCCTTTCGGGTTTAGTACAGATATACTGGCATACAATAAATAGGACCCACTAGCTATGTTTTTCTGGCCTTTTACGCCTTACGTTAGTGGTCCCGCGAGGCCAACATCCATCCTCATTTCGGAGGTACGGCATCCCCTCGGGCCCATTCATAGCTAGCCGCCTCGCTTGGTTGCATAGAGAGGGCCTCACTTGTCACCCCCATTCTGTCTTATGCTGTTACAAATCACGGAGAGGCCTTCACCCCGCCATAATGCCAATGGCCACGTACCCCACACGAGCCAATCATACATAGTGCCTCTCACAGCCGCTTGGCTACTAGCAGGGCCTCACCTGTCACGTTGCTTAATAATTCTTCGCCGCTTGGCATTAGTTATCATAAGCCAGTTGGGTAGCACCCAAGGTAACATGTCTAAAACAAAAAAGGACATTTTGGAAGGGAAAGATATCAATCTGGTATCACTTCTGATAGCCTCACAAGATGTCCTTGAGAATAAGACCTATGCATACGGGGATGTGTCAGTAGTATTGAAGTCCAGAGACCCCAGGTTGAATCAGAAGCTATCGATTCCAGAATTTGTACTAGCTTTCGGGATATACAGAGATGTGATATGCTCTGTATACCCGGATAGGAGGGAGGAATTGGACCTGTACCTCCACAAGCTGGTGGATTTGGGGCATAAGTATGGTGGTACGTCTTTTTACAACTACCACCGTGCCTTTTCCATGAAGGCGTCGGCCGCCCTTTCACAGTTCAATTATCAAGCTGATTGGGGCGTGCTGGATACAGAGCTTTTTTGCCGGCACTTTGCAGGCCTTAAGACCCCAGCTTGTGTCATTTGCTCGTCCAACTCCCACACGGCTAATCTGTGCCCTAATTCTCCAGAGTTAAACGCTGTTTTTTCACCTCCTAATATAGTACCCACAGGGAGACCTGGCAGGGTGCTTAAAGATAAACTAGGCCGTGACATAGTGTTCTTGGGTAAATCGCAGGTCTGTAACAATTTCAACACCGGCACTTGCGGTTACAGTGCCTGCAAACTTCTACATGTTTGCTCACAATGTTTCAGAGCTCACTCCAAGGCGATGTGCCCCAATAAATAATATCCTAAGCAGTACTTATCGTCTCTTCATGTCTCCCTACTGAAACAGCTTTTATGTGATCACCCTTCACAACATCTCGTTGATTTTTTGGTGTCAGGGTTTACGATGGGGTTTCACACGGGTATTATTCACATGCCTACGGGGATCCTGGAATGTAATAACTTGCAGACAGCCCTAGCAGTGCCCGACACTATTGACCTACTCCTACAGAAGGAAATTGACCAAGGTTTCTTGTTAGGCCCTTTCGACTCCCCGCCTTTCGCGGTCTGGAGGACGAACCCCATAGGACTGGTCAATAATAAATCCTCCAATAAACAAAGATTAATTCTCGACCTGTCAGCCCCCCATGAATCTCATACCCCAAGTCTAAACTCACTAATTCCGTCTGAGGAGTTTTCCCTCCAGTATGCCAACATAGATAATGCAAAAAAACTAGTTATGGCGCACTCAGACTTGTAAATTAATAACTAAGAAGGCTAACGCCTATCTAAGAATAAATATGGGGATTTAGTTCCACCATATGGCCATATGATGTTAAGCCCACTACTACTTCAAAGTACCCCAATATCAGTGGGTCCTACGCTAATAACAAAAATGTGGGAGATAAATTAAATAGTACTAGTGCTAAACATAAGCTACAGTGTATTGAATTCATTTCTTTGTAAGAGCAAAGTGAGTATACAATAGTGATAAAAGCAATTAAAAACAGTGTAACAACTAAACAATTAAAGTGTTGGTGCTTGAATGAGTATACTCACATTTGCAGATAATATCTGTGCTGCATAAAGAAAATAATAAAAGTGACATGACTATAAAACTCCTCCTATTTATACACACCTGTGGCCATCTCTAAAGAGGTCTCTGAAGCTGGGGGGCCTGGGCGGGGTGCTTAACCCCAAAGGAATCTGGTCTGGATTCCAAATATAATTGCACAAAGAAGAGATTGGGGGCACACCCGTATACATGAAAGGTGCTGCCGCAGTGACCAAAATTCATACAAAAAAACTAGTTACGGCGCACTCAGACTTGTAAATTAATAACTAAGAAGGCTAACGCCTATCTAAGAATAAATATGGGGATTTAGTTCCACCATATGGCCATATGATGTTAAGCCCACTACTACTTCAAAGTACCCCAATATCAGTGGGTCCTACGCTAATAACAAAAATGTGGGAGATAAACTGAATTTTGGTCACTGCGGCAGCACCTTTCATGTATACGGGTGTGCCCCCAATCTCTTCTTTGTGCAATTATATTTGGAATCCAGACCAGATTCCTTTGGGGTTAAGCACCCCGCCCAGGCCCCCCAGCTTCAGAGACCTCTTTAGAGATGGCCACAGGTGTGTATAAATAGGAGGAGTTTTATAGTCATGTCACTTTTATTATTTTCTTTATGCAGCACAGATATTATCTGCAAATGTGAGTATACTCATTCAAGCACCAACACTTTAATTGTTTAGTTGTTACACTGTTTTTAATTGCTTTTATCACTATTGTATACTCACTTTGCTCTTACAAAGTAATGAATTCAATACACTGTAGCTTATGTTTAGCACTAGTACTATTTAATTTATCTCCCGCATTTTTGTTATTAGCGTAGGACCCACTGATATTGGGGTACTTTGAAGTAGTAGTGGGCTTAACATCATATGGCCATATGGTGGAACTAAATCCCCATATTTATTCTTAGATAGGCGTTAGCCTTCTTAGTTATTAATTTACAAGTCTGAGTGCGCCGTAACTAGTTTTTTTGTATGAATTTTGGTCACTGCGGCAGCACCTTTCATGTATACGGGTGTGCCCCCAATCTCTTCTTTGTGCAACATAGATAATGCAGTCACGGCCATCCTCTCAGCAGGGGTAGGGGCATGGCTGAGTAAAACTGATATTGTCAACGCTTTTAAGCTGCTCCCTATCCATCCATCCCTATGGCATTTACATGGTGTTAAGTGGCGAAGTTCATATTACTTTTTCACACGTCTCACGTTTGGTTCTAAAAGCAGCCCCAGGATTTTTGATATTTTCGCTGAGATGTTGTGCTGGATGCTGCTTAACATCTATAAATGCCCCACAGTTATCCATTACCTGGACGATTTCCTGACCATAGAAAGTAACCTAGTACCTCCCAGTAGCCTCCAGTCAATCACACAGCTATTTACACAATTAGGAGTTCCTATTTCACCTACTAAGACTGAAGGTCCAGATACTATCATCAACTTCTTGGGGGTGGTGCTGGACTCTGTGCACATGCAGGCTAGCCTCCCCAGGGAGAAGATTGAGCGCATCCTGGCAGCCATCAACCTTTACCTAGGAGGAGGCTCAGGTAATAGGAAGGAGTTGCAATCCTTGTTGGGTTCATTAAATTTCGCTATGAAAATTATTCCACAAGGTAAAGCATTCATTTCAAGGTTACTTAGCCTGTTTCCAATGTTGCAATCTGACACATCCCGCATTACTTTAGACGTACATGCCACCGCTGACCTACATATGTGGAGAGAGTTTTTGCGAAATTGGAACGGGAAAAGCATTTTTATCCCGGTTTGGTCAGAGAAGTCGGTATCAGTCTGGACGGATGCCGCAGCCACATCAGGATTTGCCGCAATTTGGGGCAATGAATGGATGTGGGGAGAATGGCCTGGGGAAATTGCTGAGATCCCCAGGTTTAAGGACACTTCAGCCTTATTTGAGCTCTATCCAATCTTAGTGGCAGCAGTTAAGTGGGGAGCAAGCTGGTCTGGGAATACGGTTCGTTGCTTCTCGGACAATATGGCAACATGCCATATTGTAAACAAGGGGCGTTCCTCTTCCCTCACCATCATGCGTTTCATGAGGACTCTCACATGGCTTGCTGCAAAACACAGTTTTCTTTTAACTTGCGTTCATGTGCCTGGGGTTCTCAATGTTGCAGCTGATCACTTATCACGATCTCGGTTTCAGGAGTTCCGAGAGGCTCTGCCAACAGCTACCCTGATACCAACTCCAGTTCCAAAGTGGCAGGAGATGGTCTGGGACTAAAAGTACTGCTATGTCAAGGGCGACAACTCTCACAGCTCGGTCTCTCCGATAATACCAGGAAGGCATATGGCAGGGCTTTCCATGTTTTCAATAAATTCTTGTTGGACTTTAATGTCACTGACCAGTTTTCCATAGAAACCATTATTGCTTTCATTTCTTTCTGCCACTTTCATCTAACATTATCATTCCATACCATTAAATTGTATATCACAGGCATTCAGCATCACATCCTCACCACTTGGCCTAACAAACAACGCTTTCTGTCGTCCTACCAAGTTAAGGCTATACTTAAAGGCATCAAAGACTCCACCCCTATACCCTCACCAGCTAGACTACCCATACACGATCTATTGTTTCAGTCACTGTCAAATCTACTAGACACCTCACCATTCGTAGCCCATACTAATCGTGTAATTAAAGACGCCATCTATTTAGCATTTTACGGTTTTCTACGGCCCAGATAGTTCACCACTACTAGCTATAACTCACCCATCTTCCTCACAAGGTCCGATCTGGTAAAGGTCCAAGATCACTATCTACTATCCCTGCACCATACCAAAACGAGCGCCACAGGTCAGACGGTCACTATTCCCTATTACCCCACTAGTAATACCTGGTGTCCGGTGAAAGTTTTCGACACTCTTCTTGCCTTTGGCCATATGGCTCCAACACAACCACTCCTGTCCTTACACGGTAATAAGCTCACTACGAGCCAATTCATGATGTATGTTAGGAGATTGTTAGTCCGGTTAGGACTGAACCCGGCCAGCTACTCTGGTCACTCTTTCAGAATAGGAGCCGCAACTACCGCTTCTAAAAAGAATATCCCGGTTCACATTATTAAGATATTAGGACGTTGGAAATCCACAGCGTACACCAGATACATCCCTGAGCCCATACAAGAAGTACGCCTGGCTTTCAAAACTATGAATATGTAATATGTTATGTCAGGTTGTAGGACGAATAAATGGTTATCTCTTTTTGCCCTCTTTTATTTCAGGCCTACTTCCTCGTCAGTTCCGGCACACCACAACTGACATTTCCTTTCATTGTTTGTCCTATATATAAGTTGTACTACGGCTTATGCCATGACCACAAATGGAAGGCGTGGCCTGAAGTTGTGGGAGGGGCTTGGTTACCCTTCTTAAGGGGCTCCAAACCCTTCCCTCATTACCTGTTAGGTCTGACGAATTGTCCCACCCACCACAGCGCTTTCATAAGAATTTTATAAGGTAGGCCCTCTTTTATTTCAGGCCTACTTCCTCGTCAGTTCCGGCACATCACAACTGACATTTCCTTTCATTGTTTGTCCTATATATAAGTTGTACTACGGCTTATGCCATGACCACAAATATATATATATATATATATAATATGTGTATATATCTATTATATATATATATATATATAATATATATACATATTATATATATGTAATGTCATTCTAAGTGTATTTCAATACTAATATATGTACTTATATTAATATTAAAATACACTTTGTATGATGTTACATATATATAATAGATATACATATATTATATATATATATATAAAAATACATTTAATTTAATTTTACACATTTACTTTATTTTTTTTTTATATATCCCACCAGCAGGGGGACTGTCTGATATTTCAGACAGTCCCCCTGCTGGCAGATCCACAGCCAGCTATAGGGGGCCATGTGATCGCTCTTTGGCCGGGGGAGGGCTGCCTGGGCTGTCAGGCAGCCCTCCAGAAGAGGTTCGCGGCGGAGGTAAGTACGCCGGACCTCCAGGGGCTCAAAGTCGTTACAGTGTTCTATGCCGCCACAACGGCTTTAAAGCCCACTTAATGCGGGACGGCGTAGAACGCCGTAACAGCATTAACGGGTTAATAAGATTTGCAGTACCATTTGAAGAGAGCATAAAAATTGAGTCACATTCAAAGAACCACAATGCTATTTAAAGCTCGAAATTTCAAAAGCACTCTATTATACGTGTCAATGGAAATATTATAATTTATTTATTTTTTAATGATCCACTAAACCTTTCAATTCCTTCATAGCCATGTCTATATCATTTTTAATATCTACATTATCTATGCTATGACAGAATAGTCCCAGTGGGGTTTATTTGCTAAACAGTGGACTAATGTGAGCTGTAATCTAATTGTTAAAATTTAGGCCAAAATAGTTGATATGGAAAAATTGTTAAACATCACACACAGTTTGACTATTTTAGCCTGAATGTTGTATATGTGTTGTTTTTTTCTGCAATTCATGATTTATTGAACAACCTGAACGTGCGAATGAAAATTAGTGATAAAATGACTGCAAAATGGAACATTGCAGGTTTAATAAAACCTCATATAAATCCATTCAGAAATATTTACACGTTGTAAAAAGTTGAGGAACAAACGTAGGATTTGCTGCAGTTTAACATTATAAATAACATTTCCCTTTGTGCCTGTCTGCAAATATCAATTTGGCTCACATTTCCTAATCCTCCGACTTCCTTTAATATAGAACTGACAAATATATGACAGCTTGTAAAATAAACTATAAGAATAATAAATATATGAACTAAATGCATCACAACAGCTTTAGCTATTCACAGCACAGTTATTTCATACTGTATTTACCATGCATGTTTGTGATGCGTAGGCGCCCCCTGGTGGAAGATATTGGCAATACAGGGGCAGCAATAAATAAGACATGTTATGTGAGGCATGGAACTTTGTACACATATGTTGGGGTTTTTTAAACTACCATACAGAGAATGGGTACATTTTTAATTAATATTTATTGTATGTACTCTATATTTTTTTCTGTAAAAAAACAAAACATTATGTATTTCAATAAACAAAGTGTAACTACATAATTTAACATATTTTTTGCTTGATTTTTGCATTTTTATGCATTTGCAATTACGTACAAATTAATATACGTAAACATTAGGATACAGAAAGCAAAATGGTGAACAAAGGTGAATTTAAAGTGAATTTAAAATGTTATACCAAAAGGAAGAGAAAATGTGCAAATTTCAAGAATAACAATTTTTTTAAAAGTTCTGAATTCTCTTCAGTTGATACTAATATGACACTAATAAAAATAACTGGTTTTCTTGTACCTACAAGTGGGTCTTCTGCACAGCCTTCTGCGTGTGGATCTTCTCAAGAACATTCTAGTACATCTTCTTGGGAAGAGATTCCAGATTGATTATAAAATGCAACAGCAAATTGAAGAGCTGACCGCCTATGGACAAAACCTCGTAACAAGTTTGCTTAGTGTCATCCCTTTTCTTGCTGAGAGAGGAATGGGTTTTAGAGGTGATGATCAGATTATTGGATCCCCACACAAAGGCAACTATCTCTGCATTTTGGAATTACTGTCAGAGTATGATGCTTTACTCGCACAATACATCCAAACAAAGGCGAACAAAGGCAAAGGGTGTACAAGTTATTTATCAGCAAATGTCTGTGAGGAACTCATTACTGGGGATAAGATCTTAAAAGTTGTCATCAACCATATTAAAACGGCAAAGTACCGAGTGTGCAGCCTGATCCTCCATCTGTGTAACCCTCCAAAAGCAATCATTCAAAACCATGTTCCGGTGGTATACCACCCCAGTAAAACAGTTTCACATGAAACTGACCCCCACAGACACCTGTTGGCACTCCTGTGGGGAGAAAGGAAACTATATCTATATGTGGTGGTCCTGCTTCTCTGTACAGGCCTATTGGACCCAAATAACACGACTTAGCTCTAAAATAATGCAGAGTAGCCACTTATGTTTAGTCTTTTTCAGAGTAGCCACTTAGTCACAAACACTGGCCAAAGTTAGCGTTCATATTTGGTTTTGTGTGAAAAAAGCAAAAAACTAATATTTGGCCAGTGTTACAATTAGACCCCTGGGCCTGTCTCCTTTCCAGACCTTTTTTAAGGGCCTCACTTGACCCGAACAGCAGTTACTCAATATGATATACCTAGCAGCCCACAGGGCTTTAGCTAAAAAATGGTCATGCCCGGAGTTACCATCTCTCACACTGTTAACCGCCAAAATAAAGAATAATTACCTTATGGACAAGCTCACTTCCATGGTCCGAAACATTGTAAAACAGTTTGGCAAGGTTTGGGAGCTATGGGAGCAGTACATAGAAGAGGAGGGAGCCTGATTTGGGAAGAGGACTAAAGACAGGGGTCAAGGGGTGAGTGTGCCTCACCTGAGCCGTGGGTTGTTAGCTTGTGGTTATCTTATCTTGATTATTAGTTATCTTTAGTTTTTTTATTTTTACTTACTTTTCTGTAACTACAGTTTAAACTAAAGTAAAATGTCGATAGAATGTGACATGTCAACAGTCAAGCTCTTACTGTGTGGGTGGGTGGGGTGGACTAGATACACGACCAAACAGCGTACATTGAATGCTGTAAAGCTACCACTCACTGAGAAAACAGCCAACCTGGTAGATGGGTCAATGAACAGAATATCTTGTCCTTACAAGTCCACTAATGTGATTGGCCTGTACCAGCTTGTTTGATCATTGATTCAGACTCTATATGTATTATGAGCGTTATGACTAGGTAAACATCTGGTGACGGGAACATGTACGGTATAACATTCAGCTATTTTGGTACACACTAACCAACTATGTTTCCTTTCTGTAACACAAACTAAACATGCATTGTGATTTGGCTTCTGCGAAAGCCTTTACTGTCGTCTAACCGCATCTCTGTTTATGCAAAAATAGATTTTTTTTTTTTTTAAATGGCAACGTACTACTTGGTTTCTGTGGATTCAGTGGAAGATTCTACTCAAATTGACCAACTTATAGTGATTTTTTGATACTTAGAAGGAAATCAACCTGTGGAGCGTTTTGTAACGTTTTTACCCTCAACAGGGCATAAAGGAAAAGAAAGGGCAGATGCGCTTCTAGCATTTCTTAATAGTGTTGCACTTACCATACAAGAATACCGTGGACAAAGTTACGACAATGCAAGCAACATGTCTGGCCACTACAAGGGTATAAAAGCAAGAATTGTTAACCTGAATAAATATACCAAGTACATACCTTGTTTTGGACACTCATTAAACCTTGATGGAAAGGATGCTGCAAATTCGTGTAGTGAGGCTGTAAGGTTTTTTAATTTTGTACAAGCTCTTTATACATTCTTTAGTGGTTCATCTCAGCGCTACAAGAAGCTTAAAGATAAGCTTGACGAGAAAGGCCTCTCTGTGTCCATGCCAAAAAAGCTCAGTGACACACGCTGGTGCAGATGTCGTGCAGATGCTTGTCAAGCATTAGTCCATGGCTATAAAAATATAATGGACATTTTGTTTGAATTTTCAACTGACATTGAAGAAAAATCTGAGTGCTGTTATACTGCAAAAGGACTATTTGATCAGATGAGAAAACTTGAGTCAGGGATTTTTTGCAGAATTCTGGAACACTGTTTTGCAGCGTTTCAACAGCAGCAGCAAAACTCTGCAGTCTGTTCAGCTGAAACTAAATGCTGCAGTTGGCGCTTTGAAATCGTTTGAAAGATTTTATTAATGAACAGCATACTAAATTTGATGCGTTTGAAGAAGCTGGTGAGCTTCTAACAGATACTGAAGAGTATATTGTGGAATACTGCCGACTTCAACACCGGAATGTCCGTCAGCAGCCACTTGACTATGGACACAGTGAAGAAGCACAATTAACACCAAAGGAGGCCATTTATGCTAAGAACTTTCTCCCATGTGTTGACAAACTTTTAAAGTGTCTGGAACATCGCCTAGGACCCTACAGTGAAGTGTTTCATTTATGTATTTTCTTTATAAACTTTCCAGCGATGGACTCTGGATCCTTTAAAATTGCAGCAGAAAAGTTGTCTGCTTTCTACAAGCATAATCCGGGCACAAAATTTGATGATGAGCTAATTCAATTTCAGTCATTCATTTCTCTTTTCCTAAATGAAAAACCAGATAATTGCAGCATAGAACAATTCATGTGGGGGCGAGGCTGGGTGGCCATGCCAGCAGGCTGCATATCACACGGGCTCCCGAGCAAACAACGGAAAATAGGGTATATACCCACCTTACCCGGCTTATACAGACCCGGGGGGTCCATGGCACGAGGCTCTGGAGTGTCCCGGTGTAGCTGGGGCGCCCGCAGCAGGGTGGCTCTAGGTCCCGGTGAGAGACTCTGGGGCTCGGAGATTGAGGCCTACCCGGGAGGGGAGTCTGGCGGACACTCGCTGCCTCACTCTCCACCACGACTACAGTGAACCACCATCTACCTGGCACCTTCCTTGTCCCGTTTCCCCCCCCCTCTGGGCTGGGGGGGGCCATCCCGGTCCCCACCAGGCAGGCTACTGCCTAAGCATCTCACCTGGATGGCCCGAAGCCGGAGGAGTGAGGCTCCCATGCGGTCTCATCAAAATGGCCGATGGCTTCACAGCAACTGCATCAACTGAGACGGTGATCCTTCTGTGCTCACAACCTGAGCTGCAATCACGGGAGGTCCCTGAGGGCTCTCGAGCCCGCACGTAACAACCCTGGAACACAGAAGCTGACAGACAAGAACCATCACAGCTAGCACTTCCTCCACATGCCCATGTCAAAGCGGCAACCCCAGAAATGCACTCTGGGCCACCTTAGACCGAGCAGGCTCCACTAACGACCAGGGCTGGAAGAACAAACAGGAGAATCAGCTTCACCCACTGACCGCATGGTGCTACAGCCCTCGACAGCACATCAAGGCTTACAAGGCAAGGCAAACTTACCCAGCAACCGGGAAGACATAGCGGGACATTAGGACCCAGTGGAACTCATGGGCCCAGGTCCGTGTACTATTCCCCGTGGTCTGGCCAGGATGCAAGGATGTGCACAAAAAAGGTCATTCTGGCCAGCGCAGATGACGCAGATGGACCGGCTGATGATTACGTTATAGCGACTGCAGATGATGAATGCGGAAATGGAAGCTGGAGAAGGCGGGTGCAAGTGCCAAAAAGGCAGGAAAATTCAAAATAAAAGAGAAACTCTTGAAGCTTGGAAATACTGAACCACTTTTGAGAAAGGCTGTTTTAGTTGAAATGCAAGGTGGACTTTTGTTTTTTATTGGGAGCTTTGCTTTTATCAATTTTGTTTCCAATTCAATGTTTTTTTAATAATAAAAAAAAAACAATTCATGTACAGTACAATTCATGACAAAGATGTAAGTAATACCTTTCCCAACACGGAAACTGCTTTAAAAATCTACCTTACTTTAATGATCACTAACAGTTCAGGTGAACGATCTTTTTAAAAAAAAAATTGATTAAAAAAACCTACAACGCACAACCATGAGCCAAAGCCATCTCACCAAACTATCTATAATTTCTGCTGAATCCGATATACTCAGACCTTTGCTGCTCAGAAAGCACATAGACTCATTGTTTAAGTTAAAATTATTAAAATATTTCTTTACTTTTTTTATGTAAAAGTTCTCTGCACTTTACGTTAATCGTTGTCAAACTACGTATTCTTTTATAATAGTCTGCTACTGCAGCAGTTGGTACCTAACAGGAATTATAATAATAAGGTTGACCATGTAACATTGGTACTTGATTGCCTATTTTCCATATTGGAATGGGGAAAGTGCACTTGAATTCTACAAATTGTAAGGTTTAATATTGTTTCTTTAATTGCATTGTTTAGTTGCATTGTTAATTGTTGTATTTTATTTATTAATTATTTTTGTGATATTACTAGCCAACATGGTTATTTGTTTTAAAATGTAAACATAATAATGCTGATTTGCACTATTACAGAAAGTTATTGTTATTAAGATATTAGCATGCTTGTTCTTCCAACAACATATAACTTTTAATAAAAATATACTATAAGACCGACCTTAAAAGAAGCTACAGGTGGCAAGTAGGTCATACTAAGGACTTATTTGTGAACCAGTTCTTTATGTTTAAAGATGACCCTGATTTTATTGATGACATTTTGAATGCACAGAGATACCGTGACGAGATCCTGAGGCCCATTGATGTGCCATTCATCCACGACCATCACCTCATGTTGCAGCATGATAATGCACAGCTCTATGTTGCAAGGATCTGTACACAATTCCTGGAAGCAGAAAACATCCCAGTTCTTGCATGGCCAGCATCCTCACTGGACATGTCCCCCATTGAGCATGTTTGGGATGCTCTGGATCGGCGTATACGACAGCGTGTTCCAGGTCCTGCCAATATCCAGCAACTTCACAAAGCCATTGAAGAGGAGTGGACCAACATTCCACAGGCCACAATCAACAACCTGATCAACTCTATGCGAAGGAGATGTGTTGCACTGCATGAGGCAAATGGTGGTCACACTAGATACTGACTGGTTTTCGGACCCCCCCCCTCCACCCCCGGAACCTCCAATACAGTAAAACTGCACATTTTAGAATGGCCTTTTATTGTGGCCAGCCTAAGGCACACCAGTGCAATAACCATGCTGTCTAATCAGCATCTTGATATGCCACACCTGTGAGGTGGATGGATTATCTCAGCAAAAGAGAAGTGCTCACTAACACAGATTTAGAAAGATTTGTGAACAATATTTGAGAGAAATAGGTCTTTTGTGTAAATAGAAAAAGTATTTGAGTTTAGCTCATGAAAAATGGGGGCAAAAAAAAGTGTTGCATTTATAATTTTGTTCAGTGTATATCTCAAAGGAAGAAATTGCTAATGCCATCAAAATGTTTAAATTTAGTAAAGCCCCCCAGGCCAGATAGGTACACTAATGCCTATTTCAAAATATTCACTGACATTTAGTTCCACGTCTGACAACTCTATGCCAAGCTCTAATTGTTGAATGCAGGATGATGGATCAAAAGCAGATAGCTATAATTTCACTTATTTCTAACTCAGACAAGCTAACGGATAACCCAGCTCTGTCGTGTGTTTTTTCTTTCTTTCAGTTTTTGTTTTCTTATTTCATTATGTTCTTAATGATTATGCTCCTCTTTTTGACACCTCCCTTTATATATATATATTTATTATTCTCTTTTCTTCCATATGCTTCCTAGTCTTATCTTACCTTGGCGCCCCCCATTTTGTTATCCTCTGTCCATGATGGCTGCAATTTGCCCTTCTGTGTGATTCTTTTTAACTGATGTGTTGTGAGTAAATCAGTTTAACTACTAAAATGGAACTTTGCTTCTGCCAATTGCAAAAATTTACCAAAAATCACACTCCCCATGAGAAAATGTAGTCCCTACTTGTTCTTATGTACAACTTAAAAAACTGATGTGAGTTAAAAAATAAATAAAAACAAGGAGACCTAGCGGGACAAAAGATGATTAATTTAAAAGCAAAACTTGTAAAGGGACAGAGCTTGTTTAATTATTGACTAACCTCACTTCACTAATTATGTTTTACTAATTTTCTAGTCAAAAACTGAATTTTCTCCTCTTATATATTTTTGACTATGACCTGGGCAGCATGTTTCCCCTGTAATACAGGAGAGATTGTTTGGACCTCCTTTGAGTAGCTCAAGCCCAATTAATTAATTCACCTGTACTCTCAATTAATGCCAAAAAGGCTTTACATTGATTCACCTGGATTTTTATCTACCTTAGTTAGGACATTTGATTTTTACAGCTACCTTTCTGAATACTCCGTCTGTTATTTACCATAAACCCATGGCTGAAATATATATTCCATGAACAAGCCTACACAGTATTGACATATTTATTGGCACACACCGGGGTTGCCCACTTTCACCACTCCTATTTGCCCAAGAATTTAAGACTTTAAAGAAGTGGTATCTCTCCCCTTCCCATTCATATCACATGAAACAGATAACTTGAATTTGTGTTGGAGTATATAAAGCCATATAGCCAATATCTTTCATCAGTTGTGGCCTGTCCAATGATAATTCCCCTTTGGAAACTTTGCATCACTTAGAAGACAGATTTGTTAAGATCACTGGAGGTTTCTTCTTTCAAAGCCTATTGGAGATAAGCTGAGAATAAATTTGCCTTTGTAAAGAGGTGTGCTGTAGCAATGCACTGAAAACCACCCTTACTCCCAACTCTGGTAGAAGAAATAACTAATTGCAGAAGGCATGAACATGAAAAAGATGCAAACTGTTTCCTGGATTGCATGACCAAATATTTCCAAGAAAACTGAAGACAAAAATCTAATGAATGGATTGTTTTCATTAATTTTATAAACCAAATCTTTGTCTTTCTTTTCCTTGAACCTCTCTATTCACTCTTCTCTTTTTTTTGTTCCAATGATATAGTGTTTATAATATTTTGTGATGTGGTTATCTATATAAGCGTGCTGTGAGATGTTGTAGTGCCATGCTTTTTCAATTTGATTAGATGAAATGTTGTAATTTCTAAATTGTAAATTAATATATATATATATTTTTAAAATACATAAAAATACAAATTCTTTGTCAGTTCTACAGAATATCAATTAGTGGGAAAAAAAAAACCTGTGTTTCTTTGTATGTCTGTATACTGAACTTTAGGGGGTACCAGGCCTGAAGAATACCAGGGGGAGACTATCCCTGAACAACAACATTGTGTTTCAACCAATTAATATTTCCATCCATACATTACACCAGCTAAACAACTAACAATTATACAGGTTAATATTTTAAAACAACTTGTTATCCTTTGCTGGATTTCCAGCTATAGCCACAAGGTGGGCATATGGAAGCTTCTCATAAACATGAGTTCCACTAAGCCACCATCACAGAAAATTATTCAAATGATACCGCAACCCCATCAGCACTAGCAGCACCATTGATGTGCTGGTTGTGGTATCCCTGTAAGGACCATGGACCAGAAATATCAACCAGGGACATAAAAGTCACCCAGATTATTTCATTGCAATGAATTGGTCTGGGTGCAGTTGCCCTGTCCTTTTCACACTACAATGTATAACAATGCAATTTTTTGGGAAATTCAAAGTTTACATTGTAGAGTTAAGTCCACCTCTAGTGTTTGTCTTCCCGACAGCAACAAGAGGCACTTCCACTGTACTGACTAAGTAAAATGTGGTCATGTGATGCAGAAGCTCATAGAAAGGCATTGAATACAATGCTTTTATATGGGGAAGCTTGGATACGTGCGTGGCACTTGCCAAGCATGCTTATCAGCCACCTGATGGTTCTCTATGAGAAGCTTTGAATTGGACCATCAAAATAGAAGGCCACGCCTCTTTGATTATATCCCAGGATGCGAAGAGTTAAGCAGTGCTAAAGGAGCCTCGGCAGTGGAAAAGGTAAGTAAAACTTTTATATTATTAACATTTTGTCAAACGGGGGACACTACTAATGATAGGAACAGTGAAAATATTTTGTATTCCTAACATTACGGTGTTCCTTTACGTGAAATTGAATTGATATTTTGTTATATTTACCAATGTATTTACAAATAGTTTGTTTATCATTATGCTATATTTGATTTTTCTAAAATGCACACAGTTTAACATACATGTTGCCAAAATTCTACCACATAATACATCTCCAGATTAGGAGTACTACTGTCCTCGTGTGGTATGGATGAATTCTGAATCATAAGGATTTTTATATTGCTCTACTACATTATGCTATACAGTATTCAAATACGTTACTGCCAATGCTATTTAACACATGTTTTTAATTTTAAATAAATGTTTAAGTAAACTGTTAGTTTAATTGCAATATTCATAATGTATAAAATGAATGTACATAATTAAATTTACAATTTACTGGGACTTAATTTAGCATTTTAATTAGCTACTATTTTAATGAGTTCCAAAAATATTTCATTTAAAATAGTTTGAATTAAAGTTGGGCAGTAAACAGTAAACTTTGCTTATAAAACAAGTCAGGCATATTTGAGGGTGAACGTACAGCCAACTCATACCTGTTGCAAATAATACTGTAAATGCTTGCATTAAAGCAGTTTTGTAAAATTGTAATTGCAACTTAATACATAAATGTAAAACACATTATACTCTTAGAGATATGCATTTCTTAACCACAGTCTTGCATGAAGATGTAATGGTTAAAGGGATATTATAAGCAATGTAAGCACCAAAACAACTTTAGCATAAAGAAGAAATGACGGTGTATATCTTGTGCCCCTACAGTCTCACTGCTCAATTATTTTGGTACTTAGGAGTTAAATTACATTTGTTTCTGCAGTTTAAGAAGTCCTGGTCACACTCCCCATGGTTGTAGACTGACATGACCTCCATGATAAAAAAAAAAAAAAAAAGGTTTACTTTTAAATCAACACAGGGTATGGTTACTTTAGACATTCCTATCTCCTGCTCTCTTATTTGAACATTAATCACACAAGAGGCTATTAAAGACTGAAAGATTAGGCCTCTTCTTCAAGGGGTGTGTAGGAAGTCTGTGTGAGTCTCAGCCTCAGAATGTGTGGCTAGGGCTCTTGAAAAAAAAACCAAGATTAAACTTCTAAATGGCAGAGAATTGAGCAGTGATAGTGCATGGGTGTGATCTACATACCAAAACTACTTAATGAAGCTAAAATGGTTTGGGTGCTTAGAGTGTCCCTTTAATGTCAGGATTAAAAAAATATAAACATCTCAATTATGAAATTCAGAAGGTTTTGTCACAAAACAAATGAATGCTGGTTGTGGACATTTATTGGCCACTAAAAATTATACCAATAGAAAGCTATGCAAAGACATATGTAAATCCTATTCCAGTAACTCTCTTGAGGTCCAGTTAACGTTAATTCATTAAGCATTTCAAAGTTATTCCTGTGCTATAATGCACTAATAAGACACACAAATCCCAAACAAACGCAAATGAAAAGCAAATGAACAGGTTGGAGTATTCATATTTTCTCTCACTTCTGGGAATTTGGTTGGGGAGGGTGACCTTATGCTTATGCCAGTGGTAGAACGCCTTCAGCACTCTACATGTTGGGGACTACATATCCCATAATTCTCTTACAACCATACCATTGGAGATGTAGTTCACAATATATGGAGTGCCAATGGTTGCCTAAACCTAAATTACAGGTGATACTCGAAAAATTAGAATATCGTGCAAAAGTTCATTTATTTCAGTAATGCAACGTAAAGGGAAAAACTAATATATGAGATAGACGCATTACATGCAAAGCAGTATAGTTCAAGCCGTGATTTGTCATAAGTGCGATGATAATGGCTTACAGCTCATGAAAACCCCAAATCCACAATCTCAGTAAATTAGAATATTGTGAAAATGTGCGATATTCTAGGCTCACAGTGTCCCACTCTAATCAGCTAAATAAGCCATAACACCTGCAGAGGGTTTCTAAACCTTTAAATGGTCTCTCAGTCTGGTTCAGTAGGAATCACAATCATGGGGAAGACTGCTGACCTGACAGTTTTGCAGAAAACCATCATTGACACCCTCCATAAGGAGGGAAAGCCTCAAAAGGTAATTGCGAAGGAAGTTGGATGTTCCCAAAGTGCTGTATCAAAGCACATTAATAGAAGGTTATGTGGAAGGGAAAAGTGTGGAAGAAAAAGGTGCACAAGCAGCAGGGATGACCGCAGCCTAGAAAGGATTGTCAGGAAAAGGCCATTCAAAAGTGTTGGGGACTTTCAAAAGGTTGGACTGAGGCTGGAGTCAGTGCATCAAAAGCCACCACACACCGACGGATCCTGGACATGGGCTTCCGATGTCATATTCCTCTTGTCAAGCCACTCCTGAACAACAAACAACGTCAGAAGCGTCTTACCTGGGCTACAGAAAAGAACACCTGGTCTGTTGCTCAGTGGTCCAAAGTCCTCTTTTCTGATGAGAGCAACTTTTGCATCTCATTTGGAAAACAAGGACCCAGAGTCTGGAGGAAGAATGGAGAGGCACACACTGCAAGATGCTTGAAGTCCAGTGTGAAGTTTCCACAGTCTGTGTTGATTTGGGGAGCCATGTCATCTGCTGGTGTTGGTCCACTGTGCTTCATTAAGTCCAGGGTCAACACAGCCATCTACCAAGAGATTTTGGGGCACTTCATGCTTCCTTCCACAGATGAGCTTTATGGGGATGCTGACTTCATTTTCCAGCAGTACTTGGCACCTGCCCACACTGCCAAAACACCAAAGCCTGGTTCAATGACTGTGGGATTACTGTGTTTAATTGGCCAGCAAACTCGCCTGACCTGAACTCCATAGAGAATCTATGAGGCATTGCCAAGAGGAAGATGAGAGACATGACACTTGAACAATGCATAAGAGCTGAAGGCTGCTATTGAAGCATCCTGGTCTTCCATAACACCTCAGCAGTGCCACAGGCTGATAACTTCCATGCCATGCCGCATTGAGGCAGTAATTGCTGCAAAAGGGGTCCAAACCAAGTACTGAGTCCATATGCATGCTTATACTTTTCAGAGGTTCGATATTGTTCTATGTACACTCCTTGTTTCATTGATTGCATGTAATATTCTAATTTACTGAGATTGTGGATTTGAGGTTTTCATGAGCTGTAAGCCATAATCATCGCACTTATGACAAATCACGGCTTGAACTATCTTGCTTTGCATGTAATGCATCTACCTCATATATTAGTTTCCCATTTTACATTGCATTACTGAAATAAATGAACTTTTGCACGATATTCAAATTTTTCGAGTAACACCAGTATATATATTTGATGATGTTTGAAAAACTGGTAAATATGGGGGGCGCAGAGGGGGCACTTTTGAAAGTTGGATTTAAGCTTTTATGTTGTTTTATATTTTGGGCCCACTAACTCTGGGAGAAAATGAGAACTCAAATGATATGGTCGAAAGTTGTTTATTGTAAATATTTAATTATTTTTACATGTTTTTAAATGTGGTGGTAGATTTTTCCTTCTTCTTAATAACAGGCAAGGTTGTAGACAAATATATATGATTGGTGAGGGCTTAGTTATTTATTTATTGATTTGGTAAGTCATACTGTTTGGTATTTAGGAACTCTGGTTAAAAAGGTTTAATGGATAGAGAACAGCACTGGTCTTAGAAAGTCGAAGGAAGCAATTGTAAGAACCCCAGAAGACAGCTCATCATATTCTTAAAAAAAACACCATTGGCTAAGCACATATAAGGCCCCTAAAGTGTGCGTTCAAACCAAAAAATAAGGAAATGCTATGAGAGAAAAAAATCCACGATCATATTCTTGTAATAGCAGCATCACAACCATCAGAATCATATAAGGAATTATCTCATCAAAAAAAGAGTTTAGACCCCATAGGTGACATTGAGTACTACGTTATATTAGTAGACCCTAGAAGCAGAGGCTGCTCTCTAATTAGGAGATTTAGGCAGCTGTCTAAGGCCTTGCACTGTCTGGTGCAGACTGAACTGTTGTGTTCTCAGTCTATGACCAAGGGCCTGACGATTGAGGGGGTCTGGCGGCTTGCCTTGTGTGTCGCCAGGTGCGAGGTCCCTCCTTTTGGTCTGCCCTGTCATCCCACTCTTACTCTGTCACCCCCCTCTCACCCACACACTATGTAACCCCCCTCATACCTCCCGCTCACCCTGTCATCCCCTCTCACCCTGTCACCCCTTTCTCACACTATGTAACTCCTCTCACACTATCTAACCCCCTTTAACCTCCCTCTCACACTGTCACCCCCCTCACACTATGTAACCCCTCTCACACTATCTAACCCCCTATAACCTCCCTCTCACACTGTCACCCCCTCTCACTATATGCCAACTCCTCACACTCCATCACTCCCTACACTACTTCACCTCCGCTGTCATTCTGTCAACCCCCTCTTACTCTGTCACCCTCTCACACTAGGTAATCCTCCTTCTCACACTGTCATGGGTGGTGGTCTGAAGACCGGGACCCCTGTATGCCTGATGAAGTTGATAGGAGTCTCAACGTTAAAATGGACAATCAGGGTCTGGTAAAGGGTAACCACGTGCCCCGTGGTGTTAAGCACCAGGGTTTGTGAGGCCACATACCAGAGCCCTGATGCAGCTTAGCGGATGCCAGGAGCTGAGAATAAGCAGATATGTATCCAGTACAGAAAATAAGGCAAGACTAGAATAGGCTGTTAGAAAACCAGCGTTTCCTAAACTTTGTTTGGACAATATTTCGGTTATTTCTCCATTTTTGTTTATTTGTTCAGTAGTTTCCAAACTTCCGAACCACCGACCACCCCTCTGGCTCATTATTACAAAAGGAAATCATCAATTAAGTGTTCTCTCTGTGTGGTTGCCATACGTATAGCCAAACGCCACGTGGAAGAGAAAATGGCGGCAATCTTGTTTGTAGGAAAGGAGGCAGCGAGACTTGGTCGTCAAGTGTCTAGAACTAAAATCGGACACTCGAATTCCAGAACACCAGTCAAACTAACGAACGCCTGCTTCCTTTTACCGAACAGCTAGGAGAGCGCTGTTTGGTAGCTTGGTTCCCACGAACCAGGGGAATAATCGCTACTATGAGCTAGAGGGTTCCATTCGTCCATTTGTTCGGTTTTGTGACTTGACAAAATAGACCGACCGCACAACCTAAACACATGGAACTGTTTCTGGGCAGGAGCCTCGTGTGTAGTCGGTCAAATGGGACTTCCATGAAATTCAAAAAACCCTGAACTGATCTGGGTGATTTTTGGATATGTTGGTCACCCAGACCAGTTCTATCATGGGATGTGACATTTATGGGGGTCCTGTATGTTTTGGGGTGTTTTCTAAGTTTTGGAGAAATTATGTTCCCTCTGCCTGGAGATAATTGAGTTATTACTTTATCTGACCCAATTATCTCCAGGCAGAGAGGAGGGAATTAACTGTTTGTACTGGGAGCGTCACTGTTTGTCTCTGTACTGCCATTGGCTGTAATAAGTTATGTCCCTGTTTTCCATCAGGTCCAGAGGGTGTTCCTCTGGCCTGGAGAATTGTATAAAAGCCAGTGTGGCACAACAAAAATTCATTCCTGTTACACCCTTCATCGAGTTTCGGCTGATGTTTGGGTACCTGTTCATTACTTTGGGAGATTCTGCTGAGAAAGCTGTACCTACTCTGGAGAAAGAAACGAATGGAAACCCGAATAGCTATAATCAGTCGTGCTCTTAGCAGTTCGGGTAAAAACAGACGAACCCCTAGCTACCACACAAGGGTTCATTACTTAGGCATCAAACAAGATAAGACAAGACTGGAAGAACCCAGAACCCAAGCAGGACAGAAAGCAGAACCAGTACACAATACATGAGGGAAACATAAACAGGACATGGACCAGGCAGGACAGGCATAGAATAGAAAACCAGAAAAACTAAACAAGGATTGTAAAAGAAGTACTGGATACCAGAAGCCAAGGCCAAATATATCCGCAGAATGGAACAGGACGTGACATACACTATGTCACCCCCCTCTCACTCTGTCATCCACCTACACAATGTTACCCTCCCTCTCACACTATGTAATCCCCTCTCACACTTGGTCACCCCCTTTCACTCTGTCACCCCCTGTAACGAACCCTGAAGTGGTAGCTATGTGTTCATCTGATTTGAGCTGAACGGCTGAGAGCTTGGGTGATTATAGCTCGCTGTTCGGTTCTTCTAGTCGGTAGTTAAAGTCCATAGAAACAAAATCCTCTAGTACAGCTTTCCCCAAGTAGTAATCAGGTACCCAAACACCAGCCGAAACATGATGAAGGGTGTAACAAGACTGATGTTTATTGAGACCACACCGGCTTTTATGGAGGTCCCCTTGCATGAGGACCTCCCACAGTACACAAACTAAATAGCCAATCATAAGGTACAGTTACACTTAAACACTCCCTGTCTCCGCCTGTGAGATAATGAGATAAGTTAGGGAATAACCCAATTATCTCCAGGTGAAGTGCACACATTTTCCCCAAAACTCAGAACAGCCATTTATGCTTAAGGTATCCCCACAAATGTCACATCCCCTGATAACCCCGATCTGGGGGAACAACATATTCAAATTTCACCCAGATCGGTTCAGGGGTTTTTAAAAAGTGTGGAAGTCTTAAGTTACCGACCGCACACGAAGCTCTTACCCAAAATAGTTCCACGAATTCAGCGTGTGCGGTCGGTCAGTTCTGAAAATGTTAAATAACTCCATAATCCACAAACTGAGCATCCTGGCTCATAGGAGCGATTGTTCCCCTCATACGAATACATCAAAGTACCGAAAAGCTGTTCGGAAAATACAGTTCCATCTTATGTTTGAGATTCGTTCGTATTTTAGTTCCAGACACTCGATGACCAAGTCCCGCTGCCTTTGTCCCGAACAAACAAGATGGCCGCCGTTTTCTCCGCCACGTGGCGACCACCCTGAGAGAGTGCTTAATTGATGGCCTCCTTTGAAGTCAATGAGCCAGGAGGGTGGTCTGTGTTCGGTAGTTTCAATCTACCGAACAAATGTGGCATAAACTAGCCGAATAAACTAAACAGATGAATGCTCAGAGAAAACCCCGAACTCCCGGTGGGTTTTCTCACACCCCCCTCTCACTCTGTCACCCCCGCACACACTAATGTCATCCCCCTTTCACACTGTCACAGCCCTCTCATTATGTCACCCCTCTCACGCTATGTCACCCTCCCTCACACACTATGTCACTCACCCTCTCACACTATGTCACCCTCCCTCTTACACTTATGTCACCCACTCTCATACACTGATGTTACCCACCCTCACACTCTGATGTCACCCACCACTCACACACTATGTCACCCCCTCCAAACACACTGTCACCTCTCACCCCACACATTGTCACCTATCTCCGCACACACTGTCTCCACTCTTTGCACACACTGTGACCACTTTCTGCACACACGGGCACCACTCTTGCACTCTGGCACCCCCCTCCATACACACTGACACCCCTCCACACTCTGGCACCCTTCTCCATACACTCTGGCACCCTCCTCCACACTCTGGCACCCCCCTCTATACACATTGTCATCCCCTCCACATTCTGGCACCCCCATCCATACACTCTGTTACCCCTAACACAAATGGACACCCCCCAAACACTGCCACCACCCACACACACTGTCACCCTCCCACACTTATATTAACTTCTCCTAATTCAGTCACACTCACCCCTCCAATCATGCAGCACTTACCCTATAACATGAATCCCCCTAATCCTGTCACACTCACCTTTTCTCACATTCACCTCCCAGCCCTATCACACTCACCCTGTCACCGTCACCATGTCAAATAAACCCCTCCAATCCTGTCACGCCCACCTCCCCTCATCATGACACACTCCCTCCTTCAACCTTGCCACACTCATCCCCACCTCTGTCACCCCCCCAACCTTTCCACACTTACCCTGTCACATTAACACCTCAAAATCTGTCACAGTACCCCAACCCTTCCACACTCAACCTGTCACAATAACACCTCTAATCCTGTCGCACTTGCCCTCTCAATTAACCTCTCTTAATCCTGTCACATTCATCTCCCTTTACCCTGTCACACTCACTCCTCCAACCATGCCACATTCATCCCAACCCTGTGGTACTCATGCTACATTCACCCTATCACATTAACCCCTTAATCCTGTCATACATACCTCCTCTCACCCTGTAACACTCTCTCTTGAAACCATATCACACTCACCCTCCCTCATTCTGTCACACCCACGCCCCAACCCTGTCTTATTCACCCCCTTTCTCTTTTACACTCATCCTGCCAAAGTTACCCCTTTATTCACCCTGTCACCCCCTGAAGGCAATCATTATACACACTGTCATGAAACATAGCTTTGCCAAAGGCCACAGGCAGTAGACAAACATACACATGCTCAGAGAAACATTCATACAGATACAAGGATACTCACTGTCAGACATGCACTCTCAGGCACACAAACAGGTAGACAATGCAGGACACACTCAGAAATACACACAGCCAGATAAATACACATTTTGACTGATTTTTTTAAAAGCCCAACCAAAATAAAAATTTCTGTTTTTAATAACCCCTTCACACCAGCACTTATATATACACAACTGCCAGGCTATGCAACCATACCTCGTAATCATGTATAAACAATTAGCATAATTGCACATTTAAATTTGCTTGTTGCACTTTCTGCCATAGCTACAGTCAGAGAGCTCACAATGCAGCGGCACAGTAAACCACAACAATGTAAGCCTCTGAGCGATGTATACAGAGACTAGCTCTCTATATCCAATGCTACAAGCCCCCCCTTCAATATATCTACAGCTTCTTATACACACTCAAGTCAACTGCTATTTTTCTCACTAATGGTGTTAGTGGGGGTCTCATGTTTGAATTTCGCCTAAGGCCTTGCCAAGTCTAGAGCTGCCACTGCCTAGAAGAACATCCCTTTGCTCAAACAGCTATTCAGTGAAGTCAATATAGTTGTGGAATGCATTTGTACTGCTCAGAGAATAGTACTGTAAAATATTCTTCAAAGCAGTGATAAATTCCTGTAAATAAGGTGACTTTGGACCATACAAAAACTAAGGTAAAAATAAGCCCAATCACTAATAGAGCCCAATCACCAATATAGCCCAATCACTAGTTCAAGAACCCTCTACAACAGAAAACAAAGTGAGTCCCAATATCCTGGCTAGGACCCAGAATAGGAGTGCTAGCATAGCACATCTGCCAAGGAGTCCTCTATTGGGTATTTCATCTGAAGATGACATTAAAAATAGTCTTGAAGATAGTGAGATCAGATTTCTGCCTTTTGTTCTACTGTGAAACCATTATAAATGGCGTTATTAACCCTTTCATGATTTATGACTTGTCAGGACTGCCAAATAGGAAAAGTCTCTTCTCCTTAAATAAAGGATTAAATTGAATTTATACATCCGTGTCAATTGTGCATCTTTTCTGAATACATTATTTGGATAATGACCGTGAATAAACACAGCTCCATTTATTCTTTATTGACCTTTCTCCCCAAGTTGAGGTTCCTACATTGTTGGAAATGTATCAACATTGTCTCTGTTTTAAAAACAGATTATACAATTCAAACACAAATACAAGTAACAGTACCAATATAAACGCTATATGTCTCTCTAGGCAATGGTTTACAGCTCATAAATATATACATGTATATAACAAACATCAAGTAATAGCAACATCGTAAAAATTATCAGAAAGGTTCTGTTAACATTCTCCAGTCCATGGTGATAGGGATGGGATACTAGCTCTCCAGCTCCATCTAGTGGTGGACATAACATTTGCATTAATTTGAAGGTCTGCATAAATTTGAAGATCTGAATCAATGGCATTCTAATCAATTGTTCATAATTTCAAATAGATATACATACAGAGTTTTATACTGTTTGCCACTCGGTCACTGACACACAACTACAGTGGAATTAACTTTCCAGAAAGTATAAAATGATTCACACATTAAAACCCTCTAAGCCAATCTGTTTATGCATGACTCACTGCTAATGTTTGATATTTTGTAGACCATAATCTTGCTTTAAAATGTTCTTTTGTAACTGTATCATGTTTGTATACACCTTAAAATCAAACATTTCTAAGTATATTTCTTTCAAAAACATGTTTGACCCCATTGTGACAGCAGTCTCCTTTATGTCCCATCATTTATACACATTATGATTGTCGATTACTGTGTACATCTGTTATAAAAATGCCATCCTCCCCAAATTCCAGGTTTCCCAGATAACAGAGAGACAACTCATGAGGATGACTAGCAAAATCCCCCCTAAGGATGTCACAGGCCTCAAACACTTTGGCACCATGCCAAAGTGGTCAGATGTAAATTTCCTATATTCCACTAATCATTGGTATTAGTGGTAGTCCCACTACATGCCAATTGTGGCAGTTTGACAGTCCAGCTATAGAACTAAAACGGATCCTGGGGTTGTGATTGATGCAAAAACTAATACCTAAGGCAACTGATTCATTGTGATTGGCACTCACAGAGAGCACTCAAAGACTAGGTTAGGGTTATGGTTAGCTAGGGTGAGGGACAGGGATAGGGTTAAGTAGGGTTAGTGAGGCTTGGCTAAGGTTAGTTAGGGTTTGTTAAAGTGGGTTTGTTAGAGTTAGTTAGGTTTTGTTAGGGTTAACTTGGGTTATGTTGGGTTATGTTGTGTTTGTCAGGATATGCTGGAACCTGAACACACACAAAGAATCACTAAAAGAGAATCCATATACCGGACCTTAGAATGGCCGGGTTAACAAACAAGCAGAATCAGTAACAAGCCGAGGTCAAATGGAATAGAGAAGATAGGAATACCATATAATTAAGCCGAGTTCAAAAGGAGCATAGAAGACAGGATAAACGTATGACAAGAGCCAGAAATATAGCACCAGAATATCACGAAAGGAACGGGCTATTGGGCTACCAAAAACCACAACAGGGCAACAAGGAATGGGAGAGGTAAGTATAAATAGGCTACACTTAATTTTGATTGGTCCAATTCCAGTTGGAATTGACTATACTTGGAAGTTACTTGACCTTCCTAATCTGACCTCTGACGTCAATTATGTGCGCCGAATTCGGCCTACCGAATTTCGCGTTCTGTTTGGCGAACTCCAAATTCAGTAGTTTGGTCGCACATAAATTCTGATATCAGATGGAATGTTGGAGGGGATCGCGGCACACGGAGCCGTGCCGACAGGTAAGTAGGCAGTATGCTTGAAAGAGGTTAGGGTGGCTAGTAATGAGGTTAGGACTGAGGTTGTACAATTAGGACTAGATTCCATATTAGAGTAATAATTAGGGTTACAATTGCATTTAAAGGATCACTATAGTGTCCCTCCCACCCTCAGGGCCCCCCTACCGTGACAACTAATATTGCTGGACAGGAAGGATGTAATCAGACTGGCTTGTGGATATCCCAACGTGGCAGCGATACACAAAAAATAGTATGTGTTTCAGGACTTAAATAGTTTTGAAAAGAAAGACTGCTGGGATAAGATCATTGCCCCATAACTACTCCAGTAAGATGAAGTGGTTATGGTGCTTAGAGGGAGATGATATTTACGGGTAGAATTTTTAAATAGCGGGGTAATAACTTCTTGATCCAAGGAAAGATCTGACTGCCATTCTGGGGTCAAGTAGGAATTTTTCCTAGTTTGTTAAAAAATTGAAAGAGCTTCAAACTGTTTTTTGCCTTCTTTTGGATCAATAGCAAAAACAAAGAAAGGCTGAACTTGATAGACGCAGGTCTCTTTTCGGTTATCTAACTATGACACTATGCAAAATGATGTAACATTATGTTACAGAAGAAAAAAACAGCAAAAGTGACAAAACAGCCTCAGTAATAAAAGAACAGATATCAAACTGCAACTCTCCTCGGATGCAAAATTGCAAAACACTCATAGTTCTAATTTTGTTCACAATTATTACATAGTGCCAAAAATACAATCATTGTGAAAATAAATTTGTAAATTTACTAAATTATTACATCCTGGAGTAATGTGAGAAAAAAGTTGGGCTAATTCAGTGCCTCATACCAGTTGCCATTCAGTGGCCCTAAATGAGTGCTGTGCCATATTGATCCAAGCTGTCTCTGTATGCCCTCAACATAACCACTAGATGGAGCAAATCTGCTCAGGAATTACTGTAGAACTAAGTACTGTACTGAACAACTTTCTGAATTATAGTCAGTTGTAGCTAAATTGGCAGTGTGGCTCCTTCTACAGTCAGCTTTCTAGTGGTTAAAATAAATGCAACTAAATTATGGTTCCTTGGACCTGTGAATCATGGGGGCCCAGGCAGAATGGTCATCTATTCCTCTTTATCATTAGCTGATTTAATGCAAAGTAAATCACTTTACTCCTCTGTATATTATTATTATTATTATTATTATTATTATTAATATTATTATTCATTCATTATAGACTTTAATAAGGCAAGCTGGAAATGCGTAAAACCACTGAGAAGGGGATTGCAGAAGTTATGAGATGATAGCAGCATGGACTAGAACCTTCACCATATCCGGTGTTAGATATTGGTGGATTTGAGCAATGTTTTTGTGATGGAAGCGGCAGGATTTGGCAAGTGGTTGGACGTGACTTAGAGACAGACAAACACTGGAGTAGCGACACTTGAAGGGGGTAAGAAAATAAGTTCTGTTTTCAGGTTAAATTTTAAAAAGTGAGCATCCAACCAGTTAGTTTACCAAGGCTTTTAGTACAGATCAAGAATACTAGGGGACTAAGGACAGGACCTTGGGAAACACTGGCAGGGAGGGGTTGCAGAGAAGTGGAAGAGCCAGAAAAAGGAGGTAATGGGTCAGCTTAGTGTGCCAAGGTAATAACCAGGGTAGTTTACAATGTTCACATGTAGGAACTGCCATGATATCTAGTTCAGAGGAGAGTTCAGAGGAGAGTGTGTAGTTGTAGAGGGAGGTTGCAGAGCTTGGGCAGGTGAGGTTTGAGATGGTAAAAAGAGAGTTTGGAGGTTGGTGGGAAAATGCTGTATTCAAGACAGTGGAGGTTTCTACAAGATTGATGTTCTAAGTGTGGTATAATAATTTGCATATTCTCTTTTGCTAAGTATACTAATTATTTAAAAGCTCTTACATTTATATTAATTGTATTTGCGAAATTTTCCTTGAGTTTATATTTGCTACAAGTAGCAAGTTTCCAAATGGAGAGAGTCTTTTTAACAGTCTTAATGGTTGGTATTAATTTATATTGTATAATGGCAATTTTATTAAAGACACGGAGGCTCATATTATGCATAACTCTTTCTTTATTTCCTCAGCAGCAAAGATAGAGGAATATAAATATTGTCAAAAATGAAAGAAAAAACTGTATAGATACACAGGCAACCAATCACATAACAGAGGAAGTGACTATAAAAGGCCTGTGTCTCCCACAATCCCCCTCTTTCTTTGCTGCTTCCTCAGACAGCTAAGTACTTTACTTGGTCCACTGTATTTATATGCCTATTTGCATGTGATGCTGTACTGTTATGGTACTTTTTTCTGATGTTTGTTTGGGTTTACTGTTTGTTTACTACCCTTGTTTATTAGGCGTTTTTATCTCTTTGCCTTCTTTCTGTAGCTGCTTCTGCAGCTCCTGTTCTATCCCCTGCGCTGGTGCCCCCCGCCCACCCCTCCCTCTCTCCGCCCGCCGCGACCGCTTTCGGCCAGGTGGCGCCTTCTGTCCCAGGTCGGCTGTCAGCCGCGGCTCTCCCTAGTACTGCCGCGGCTGCCAGCGTGTTTCTCCGGCTCGCTCGCTGCTGCCCGCGCGGGGAGGGGTGCGCGCCCCTTCCCCCGCCGGGTTTCAGACCACGAGCGTTCCCTACACGTGCGGCGGCCATCTTGGGGGCGGGACTTATTCCCGGTCGCTCCACTCTGCTGCCGTGCGCTCTGCCTTGCTCCTGGGTCCCTGGGGTGCACCAGTGCTCAGGTTTTTTCCTTCTTACCTTCCTCTGCAGGGTTAATCAACCCTTTAATCTCTGTTTACTGTCTGTTTAGTTTTATAAGCTATTTCTGTTGGGTTTTTACCTGATATATTATTTTCAATATGCAGGAGAGAGAGGATGGGCCTGAGGGCCTCCCCACTGATTTTAACCCAGATAATCCTGTGGGGGCTACTGCTTCCCAGGAATTCCAAGCCCTGCTGGATGCCACTATGGCCTCTTCCCTGCAGAAAGCTTTTGCCTCAGCCATGGGGGCTGTATTATCCTCATTTTCTCAATCACTACATTCTCTCCTGCTGCCTTCCATGGCGACTCCCGCCCTCCTGGGCATGGGACTGCCCTCTCCTACCCCGACTGTGCCGGGAGCCCGTAAGGCTAAGGAGAAGTCTAAACACGTCGACTCCCACTCCTCGATGCAGGTTCTACCTGCCATGATTGACACGCTTGAGGCGGTCACAGACAGCGCGCCTCCCACGCGCAAAAGAGCCCCTGGCCGGGCTAAAAAGGCTAGGTTGTGGAAACGGGCTAAAGCCCTGGATGATGGGTCGGATTCCGACCGGAGTGTGGAGGATGACTCAGACGTTCTGGAGTATGACTCCTTTGATGAGGGTGAGTCGGGTGAGGACTTACCGCTTGCGGGTGTTACCCCTTCTGGGGCACCCGCTACTGCCCGTAGTCAATCATTAAACCCCACTGGGGATACCAAGGCACTGGTTGACCCTCAGGGCAACCCATTATTTGACCCTGACGATCTTCGTCACCCTAGGTCCGCGGAGTGGGTTCCCCCGGACCATATCGCCCAGTATGTGGCACGGCGCATGCACACCCCCCTTTCCAAGGAGGGTCGTAATAAGTTGCGGGCGGAATGCCCCAGACCCTCTCTGCCAGGGGCAGCCTGCAAAACCCCTGACATTGACCCCCAGATTGCTCAATTCATGAACAAGTCGGGCTGGAAGCCCAAGAAGGGATTGGACTATTCGCTCAAAGGGTGCCAGGACAAGCTCTTGGACACCCTGGGCCCTCTGTCCAAGTTATACGAGCTCCTGGACGGCGCTCGGGCAGGTACTTCCATGCTTGATGTGGATGTTGCCATAGGATGGGTCCAGAGAGCTATCTGTCTTTTGGGGAATGCTAACACTGCCATGTCCTCTGAGAGGCGTAAGGCGATTCTCCTCAAGCTCGATCCGAAATTGGCTGCCATGACTGTGGCGGAGCCTGGCCCTTCCGAAGAGGGAATGCTGTTCGGTGCCTCCTTTGTGAAGGACTTGGGGTTGTATGTCAAGACCTTTACGGCCATTGACAAGGCGCAGGCAAATATGAAACGCATGTTCGCGCCCAAGGTTTTTGGAGGGGCCGGGCGTAGCAGGAACCGTCCACCCGGCCGTGGTTTCCGTGGCTCCTCACGTGCCCAAAGAGGTTCCTTCTTTCCATCCCGGGGATTCCAGGATCCGAGGACACCTCCTTTCTTCCCAGCCAGAGGGAGGCCTTGGGGCTCCAGATACCCCCGCGGTGCCGCTTCGGGAAGACGCCCGTATGGTAAGTACCCCTTCTTCCCGTATTACTCGGGTGCGGGTAGCGGGCAGGCTGGCTCTATTCCACCTAGAGTGGGCAAATATTACTTCGGACGCTTGGGTTCTACAGTGTGTAAAGGGCTATCGCCTGGAGTTTGTTTCTCCCCCTGTCCAATTTCATGTCCCCAGGGAATTGTCTCTCCCGCTAGACCAGGACGAGATGATCTCGGCGGAGGTCGAGGAGATGCTGTCGAAAGGCGCTATAGAAGAGTTGCCGTTCGCCGCGCAAGGCTTTACAAGCAACCTCTTCCTAGTCCCCAAGAAAGGGGGCGGTGTCCGCCCGGTGATAAATCTCCGTCCCCTCAACGCGTTCCTTCAGTACCAGCACTTTCAGATGGAGGGTATACACTGCCTCAGGGACCTCCTCCGTCAGTCAGACTGGATGGCCAAGTTGGATCTGAAGGACGCGTATTTCACGGTCCCGATAGCGATGGAGTACAGGGATTACCTGCACTTCACCTGGCATGGGAGACGCTGGCGCTTTACCTGTCTGCCTTTCGGCCTTTCCTCGGCGCCATGGTGCTTCACCAAGGTCATGAAGCCTCCAGTGGAGTTCCTCCGGACCCGCGGGGTGCGTTTAATCATTTACCTGGACGACATCTTAATCATGTCCCAGTCCAGAGACCAGCTTCTCATACATTTGGGATGGACGATCGATCTTCTACAAGACCTGGAGTTCTTGATCAACTGGGACAAGTCGATCCTGGACCCCTCACAGTCGATGGAGTTCCTAGGTTTCCAGGTGGATTCCATCCGCCAATTCCTATACTTGCCGGATTCAAAGATCAGAGCCATCCGAAAGGAGCTTCGAAGGGCTCTGCGTGTACAAGATCTATCCATCAGGCAATTGGCACGCATTATCGGTCTCCTTGCGGCCTCCATTCAGGCAATATTCCCGGGCCCACTCCATTATCGTGCCCTCCAAAGGCTCAAGGGTTCTCACCTCCGATCAGGTCATTCCTACGAATCCCGTGTACAGCTGGACGTGGAGTCCAGAGACGAACTGGTGTGGTGGTTAGCCCACATGGAAGCCTGGAACGGGAGGGCCATCTTCGGTTCCATCCCGGACGTGGTAATAGAATCAGATGCCAGCTTACACGGCTGGGGGGCTCGTTGTGGCAACGTTTCCACAGGAGGCAGATGGTCCGAGACGGAGAGATCCCTGCACATCAATTGCCTGGAGCTCCTGGCAGGGGCATTCGCGATTCGCAGCCTTACCCCAGGGCGGGCGAACTGCTGCGTTCTTCTCAAGATGGACAACGTGTCGGCCGTACGTTATATCAACCACCTTGGAGGCACCAAGTCCAGGATGTTGGCCCTGTTAGCGAAAGATTTTTGGCAATTTTGCCTTTTCAACAATGTGTCCGTGACAGCGGAACACATTCCGGGGCTGGACAATTCGGACGCGGATTGGAATTCCAGACATTTGAGAGACTCGGGAGACTGGCGTTTGCACGTTTCGGTGTTCCAAGGCCTGGACAGACTATGGGGGCGGTTCAGGATGGATCTGTTCGCGTCCCGTCTGAACGCTCAACTACCGGAATTTTACAGCTGGAGGCCGGACCCGGCAGCGGTCGCGACGGACGCCTTTCTCCAGGAATGGCCACCGGGCTGCCTTTATGCCTTTCCCCCGTTCAACATGATCGCCCGCACGATATCGAAGATGACTCGTCACGAGTGCCGCCTGGTTTTGATCACCCCCCTGTGGAGATCCAGACCATGGTTCCCTCGTCTGTTGGAGTTGTCAATAGACTATCCCCGGTTGATCCCGTGCTTCCAGGACCTCCTTCTGGATCCGGATGGGAACTCTCACGATCTGGTGCGTCAACGACAGTTGCCTCTTGTGGCGTGGCTCCTTTCAGGGGAACCTGGGCTGTCCCAAATGTTCCGCGATCAACTCTCCTGCTCCTCGATAACGCCTGGGCCCCCGGTACGAGATCAGCCTACCGTGCTTCATGGAATTCATGGTCTGATTGGTGCATGGGACGGTCTGTGGATCCCGTATCTGCCCCTCTCCATCTGATCCTAGAGTTTCTCACGACACTGTTCGAGGCGGGCAAGGCATACCGCACCGTCAACCTTTACCGCTCGTCGATTTCGGCCGGGCATAATGGTTTGGATGGATCACCGGTCGGCAGACACCCTTTTGTGTGCCGCCTTCTCAAAGGCATCCGCCTCGCTCGCCCTCCTAGACCTCGTTTCTCTGCCTTCTGGGACGTCAACGTCATGCTACGATTCCTATCATCTTGGTATCCTAACCACGAACTGAGCCTCAAACAGTTATCCTCCAAACTAGTGATGCTACTCTGTTTGATTTCATGTAAGCGGGTGTCTGATGTTAGGGCCCTTGACTGGGACGCCATTGTATTCACCCCGGAGGGTGTTACTTTCAACATATCCAGAAGGACAAAGTCGGCATCCAAGTCGTTCACGTATCCTAGGTTCCCAGGCTCTCCAGCATTGTGTCCGGTTGAATGTCTGAAGACTTATCTGGATGCTACTCGACCTTTTCGTTCCTTGGACTTACATCCTCTGTTCGTGTCTTTTAGGACACCTCATAGACCTGTTTCAACTCCGACTCTGGCACGTTGGGTGCGCTGGCTATTAGCCTCAGCGGGTATTGACACTTCGGTCTTTACACCTCACTCGGTTCGGGGTGCTATGGCTTCGAAGGCATCCACGGTCGGCTGTCGACTAGAGGACATCATGCGAGCTGCGGACTGGTCTAGAGAATCGACCTTCCGTGACTTCTATTTCAGACCTATTGAGCATATCGCATCTCAGGTGATCACACAGCTTTAAACTTGCATAATATGAGCCTCCGTGTCTTTAATAAAATTCCCAGATTTTACTATTAACATGACGTAAAGTCATGATTTTATTAAAGACACGGAGGCGAGTATTATTCCCTCCCACCCTCCCATGAGGGTATGGGGATGAGATGCTATTGGGCTCTTCAGGTACGTTTTTTTTTTTTCATGTCGGTATGTTTTCTGATGACGCTTTGGGTATGTGACTCACTTATTGTATCACGTCAACTAATTATTTCTTTTATGTTTTTCAGATTTCGGTTTTTCATGGAACTGCTAATACTTGCTTTGCTCCCTATATTATCTGTCGTTGAGTAACCAACAGTTTGTTTTGGTAAGTCTACAGTTTGGAGTCTGGGTATTACCATATTTCTCTCTCTCTTTTAGCTTGAAGTTTTCGGTTCATTGCCTTTTCCTGTTATGGACAAGTTGGATTTCGTTTGTCTTATCTGGTCTTCGGTTTCCGCAAGAAAGAGGGGGATTGTGGGAGACACAGGCCTTTTATAGTCACTTCCACTGTTATGTGATTGGTTGCCTGTGTATCTATACAGTTTTTTCTTTCATTTTTGACAATATTTATATTCCTCTATCTTTGCTGCTGAGGAAATAAAGAAAGAGTTATGCATAATACTCGCCTCCGTGTCTTTAATAAAATCATGACTTTACGTCATGTTAATAGTAAAATCTGGGAATTTTTGTTTTCCCTTTCTTGTTTAACTCTTTCTCTGCTAAATCTAATTTTGTCCTATATTGCACTATTTCTCCCTTTTCCTTTTCCAAGTTTTTCCCCTGACAAATTCATTGCCAACATTTTAGTCTCTATTTTAGTTCTATTTAAAAGATACTTTTCTCAATACTCCTTCACAGTCTCTGTTTTTCCCTTTATTTAAATGTTAGCATTAGTTTTTATCTTTTATTTCCGTTATCATTTTTATCTTACATTTAAACGTTTAACTCCGTTATCTGCTTACTTTCTTCTTACTTCTTTCTTACTCCTTGGCAACATCCTGTTAATCTAAACCAGGGGTAGGTAAACTTCACCACTACAGATGTTGCAGACAACATCTCCCATAATTCTCTTACAACATGCATCATGGGAAATGAAGTCCACAACATTTTAAATACTAAACAGTGGCTGCAGTAGGGCCGGAACACTTAGGTGGCCCATCGTGTGGCCCATGCAGTTAAGAACACCCATGGGCAAAATTATTGTATGGGGCCCAGACAGCACTGTGGCCCTTTAATAACGTGACTAGGCCCCTATAATCTCGGAAGTCTGGGAGGAAGTGACAGACGGTCACTTCCTCCCAGCTAACACTGAGCCGCAAGCAAGGATTGCCGAGAAAAGGGGGACTAAAGTGAGAAATTTTCTGACTCCCAACAGCCTGAGCAAACCACCTGGAACCCAGGGAAGCCACCCTACTGCACCCAAAATATAGGAAACAGGAGGGTGGCTTAAAATGTGTAAATTTTGCCTTTAAATGTGCCTGTGTGTCTCTATGTGTGTATGTCTGTATGTGTGTTTGTGGCAGGACCACTGCCTTTTCGTGAATTGCTAGGAAATGTTCCCAGTGTTTTCCCCTGTATTATGTTGTATTCGTGTGTTTTACCTGCTCCCCGTTCGGGAAAGCTCAATGCAAACGAGTTCCGTTCACCTCCCGAACGGGAACCACCAAAGAAACCTCATTTAGAATGTTGTTATAGAATGTTGTTATAGAATGTTCACACCTTGTAACTGGGTTGCGGCCCATTCATTAGACGAACACCATCTAGGGGAAGCATTCGTGGATTGCTTCCCACCCTGTTCGGTTCCCGAACGGGGACCTCCCCAGTTCCCTTGGAGTGTTCACACCAATTAATTAGAACGCTAGCAACTTGCAACAAAAGTGTGAAACCGCAAGGGAAGTAATTAATGAGTGCGACATTGTATAAGCGGACGGCGGCCAGGGGGAGCATTCGTGCCTCGAACGGAGATGCTCCACTTGCGTGGGCTCACCCAGGGACCCCGCAAGTGGAAGCAGTTAAAATTCAGGGGGATCCCTAAGATTGGTGGGGACACTCTCTTAGGGACAATGGCGGTTTGGCGGGCTTTCCCGCGCTGGGACTCTCAGGTACAGAGCCTCAATGGATCGTGGGAAATGGGAGGTGGGAAAGCCTGAAGATGGGTGGCAGGAACTGGGGACAAAGGGACTGGAGTTCCTGTCACACGCACAGACCCCTCGGAGGGGGAGGACCCTGGGAGGTGGGCATAGAGTGGTGGGAACAAGGGACAAAGAGATTGAGGTTCTGGTTCCGTTATGTGGCCCCCGGGAGGAGGGAGGACCATGGGAGGGGACATTGTCGCTGTGTGTGATCCACCCCTTGCATGGGGAAAGTGTGGCCAAAAAGTGGTTGTTGTACCCCTGGAACTGTGTGTCATCCAGTTACTGGGGAAGATGGGTCTCTTAATTCATTTATAGCAGGGGTATCTAGCCGGGCTACCCATGGCCCGCTACAACATCTGTATGTCTTTCTATGTGTGTGTCTGTGTATAAGTGTGTTTGTATGTGTCTGTGTATCTATCTGTGTGTCTGTATGTGTATAAATCTCTGTATGTGTGTCTGTCTGTGTGGATATGTGTCTGTATGTGTGTCTGTGTGTTTTTATGTGTCTGTATATTTGTGTGTTAATGTGTGCTATGTGTATCTGTGTGTGACTGTGTATCTGTAAGTGTATCTGCATGTGTGTCATTGTGTGTGACTGTGTATCTACATGTGTCATGTGTGTCATTGTGTGTGACTGTGTATCTGCATGTGTATCAGTGTGTGTCTGTGTATCTGCTTTTCTGTACCTGTGTATCTGTTTGTGTGTCAGCGTGTGTATCTGTGTATCAGTGTATCTGCATGTGTGTGTATCTGCGTGTTTTGATGTGTGTATATGTGTGTGTATATGCGGCAGTGTATATGTATATATGCATACTTCTAAACATTTAAATTCCAACACTACACACAATTTCAAATGTCAACACTGCATACAAACACAACCCTATATTCAAAGGCAAACACTGCACACAAGTAAACCACTGCTTTCAAATAACAACAGTACATAAAAACAAGCAACTCAACACTACAAACAAATACACCCCTACATTCACACACACACTCACACACATATAAACTCCATACAAAAACATGCATGCATTCAAACATACAAAAATACTCCTAAATGTTTAATACAACCCTGCAAGGATCGGCAAATAGTAGATCCCCAGCTGGCAAACCATTGTTGGGGCTGTGAAACAGATGGGGATCTACATTTTTGCCATCCTTGTGAGAGGAGGGACCCAAAAAAAGTCTTGCACCAGGGCCCTCTCTGCTTTCGTGCTCCCTACCCCTGGTCTAGACCTACTAACTGGGTTATTTACTAAAATGAGAATGCTCTGGAATTCAGTGTGAATTTCACATTTAGAGGTATTCTCTAGTGCCAGAAAAACAGACCTGTTCAGACACTTACCTGAAGCCAGCACGGATGTCCCTCGGCGCTGGGTCAGGCTCCTCCGACACTCCTCCTCCGTCAACGTCCGCCGACGGGGAAGACCTAATGCTCATGCACGGTATGACCACATATATTTTCTTACTAAAGGAATGTTATTTCTGAGCATACACAATTTGTATGCATTTATGCACTTTACCATGCTTTTCTGTGGGGATTCCTGCGATGCTGGAGGTCCTCATGCATAGCGTGAGGACGTCCAGCGTTGTTTAGACGACCAAAAGATGTCTAAGAAGCCAGAAGTCCCTCTAGTGGCTGTCTGCTAGACAGCCACTTGAGAAGGACTTAGGCCTGCAAGGTAATTATTACAGTAATTATTACAGTTTATAAAAACATTCCTTTAGTAAGAAAATATATGTGGTCAATTGGTATCACTTGCAGGGTTAATGGTGATGGGAGTTGGCACCCAGACCACTTCAATGAGCTGAAGTGGTCTGGGTGTCACTTTAAGGTCAAAGTAGCTAAACTGGAAGAATTCTCCAAGTCAGCTATGCTTCCAATTGTCTATTTTTGCTTCAAATTTGAAATTCGCTTTAAATTACCCACAATTCTCACTTTAGCAATTATTACGTAAATATTAAATATGTAAATATTACGTAAAGAGGCACTTTCCAACAGGCATCTGTTTCCACCACTCAAATTAATAACACCGAGCTGATGCATTTAAAGTGACAGCCAGTCAGATACCAGTTGACCACATATATTTTCGTACTAAAGGAATGTTACATTGCTACCTGCAGTCACATTGCTACCTGCAGTCACATTGCTACCTGCAGTCACATTGTTACCGGTTGTCACATTGCTACCTGTTGCCACATTGCTACCTGCTTGGTGGCAAGCGAGATAGAAGCAATAGGAGCATCTGCACAATGCACAAGGTCAGCATTACGTTTACAGTTTGATGGCAAGCCAGTCAGCAATAGGTTTATTAATCTGTTTCCTCCCAAATTCCCACATTCTGTTTCTTCCGAACTTTGTAACAAAAAAGATCATGGAGGTTCTCCCTAGTTTAGGGTTACTTTGGATCAATTCTTAAATTATAATTTTTTTTAAATAATTCTTTATTTTTTCTGTGCGTGTGATAATAACAACACGCTTGTAGAGCCACGACAGCTGAAACAATCCTCATAGTAACAATGTAAAACATCGGAGTGTCAGCACAATTTTAGTTAAAATAAGAATAAGGGTCAGGCTAGAACATCATATTTTTAGGGTATAAAGAAAGTGTTATAAAGTACGTGAGGGTAGTGAGAGTAAGACTCAACTAGAGATTGAACGGATTAAACTTCTCTTAGTACCTGATTGCACATTGTGACAAAATGCTGTATCTTATTATCCCATTTAATCAGGGCCGGCCTAAGGCATTGTGCTGCCTGGATCAAAGGATGAAATGCTTCCCTCGTGGATTCAGTGTCTGTGTATGGTAGATGTAATGTGTATGTGTGTGTATAGTGGATGCAATGTGTGTGTGTGTGTGTGTGTGTATAGTGGATGAAGGAGGGAGGGGTGATACAGTGAGGGAGGGGGGTGACAGGTGGCAGAGTGACTGAGGGAGGGAGGGGGTGACACAGTGAGGGAGGTGGTGACAGGTGGCAGAGTGACTGAGAGGGTGACAGAGTGAGTGACAGGTGGCAGAGTGACTGAGGGAGGGACAGGGTGACACAGGTGACAGAGTGGGTTACAGGTGGCAGAGTGACTGAGGGAGGGGGTGACAAGTGGCACAGTGACTGAGGGAGGGGTTGATACAGTGAGGGGGAGATAGGTGGCAGAGTGAGGGAGGGGGTGACAGGTGGCAGAGTGACTGAGAGAGGGGGTGACACCGTGGGTGACAGGTGGTAGAGTGACTGAGGGAGAGAAGGGGGGACACAGTAAGGGAGGGGGTGACACAGTAAAGTGGGGTGGTGGCAGAGTGACTGAGGAAGGGAGGGGGTGACACAGTGGGGTGGGTGACAGTGAGGGAGGGGATTGTAATTTAAAAAATACCTTTATTTTTTCCCTGATGGTCCAGTGTCTTTGATCCCTGGTGGTCCGGTGGGCTGTCTCTCCAATTTGCCCTGAGAGAATGCAGTGTGTGTGCAGCTCCACCAGGTGTGAGCTGCAGACTGTGCAGTGTCTCATAATATCCAGAAGTCAGAGCGTTGCCATGGTAACCCGCAGCAATGCTCTGATTGGCCAGAGATCGCAAGACACTGCACAGTCTGCAGCTCACACCTGGCGGTGCTGGCTCTCTGCCTCTGTCTCTCAGGGCAGATTGGAGAGGCTTTGCACCCGGCGGCGTACAGGGCAAGCCACCGGGCCCCCTCCTGGTGTCGCCTAACTCGCCTAATTAGAGAGCCGCAGGCCTGCCACTGACAGGGGCAGCAAAATGCTTCCCCTGTCAGAGTGCCACCTGGAGCCATGGCTCCACCATGGGCTACGGACGGGCCAGTCCTGCAGTAAATTTCCCCGTGTTCGATAGACGAATCTACCAAACACCGACCACCTCCTGGCTCATTGATCTTCAAAGAAACCACAGACCAAAGTGCTCACCCTGTGTGGCCGCCGTTCCTATAACCGAACAACACGTGCTGGAGAAAATGGTGGCCATCTTGTCGCACAAATGCAGGCAGTGGGATTTGATCATTAAGTGTCTGGGACTATAAGTCAGACACTCGAACTCGCGAACACCGGTGATTTTATACGAACGCCTGCTTCTTTTCCCGACAAGACAGGAGAGCGCTGTTGGGTAGGATTGTTTGCACGAACTAGGTGAACAATCGCTACCCATGAGCCAGGGGAACCATTCAACATTTTATTAGTTTCTGAACTCCCGAAAGTGACCGACTGCTACCACTATTTCTCTGGAACTAATTTGGGCAGGCGCTACGTGTGCGGTCGGTAAAAACTTTATCCCGGTTGTGATTCGGCTGTGTTGGTGGGATCCAAGCACTATTTGGATGTGTTAGGCACTCAGATCCAGGCTATCCGGGGATATAATGCTTGTGGGGGTTCAGATAAATATTATGTGTATTTTTAATATTTTATGTTTTTATACTTTGTGCCTGGGAGATAATTAGTTTAAGCAAAGTACTCTAAATTATCTCCCAGACACAGAGACTCCGGGGCATGTTGTGGGAGTGTTATGGGCGTGTTTTACCATGTCTTTGCTTAAGATCCCATGTTGGGGCTCTGTGTATATAAGCGGGCCATTTGGCCAGAATAAAACATTGCAGTTGTACCCTTCATCAAGTCTCGACTGATGTTTTGGTATGCAAACGGCGAACCGATTGATTTTTTCCCACGACTTACGTACTATGCGAACGTGCTATAATCATTTAAGCCTCTAGCATTTCGGGAGTATACGAACTAACAGATTATACAAAATACAAGGAGTTTGTTACACGCATGCATATGTACTCAAGAGTAAATAAAACAGGTTATGTTGCTTTAAAGGGAGTGAACTACTAGTGGGCAGAATTCCCTAGGAGGCTTTCTCATGCTTATGTAGTAAATATATAAGAGGGCTCAAGAATAAACTGTACAAAAGGGGCATCAGGTTCACCAGAAAGAGGTTTGTCGACTTGCAGTATCTGCCCACTCGTGCTCAGTCCGGGAGCTCAATCAGCCAACACCCGCAGAGGGTACATGATAGTCCTGCAGCGTTGTGAGGTGCTGCAAGTCTCTTGATCCAGGTGCCGTCAGAAGGGATAAGTCAGCCAGCTGGGCCAGGATCTGAATCAGAACAAGGTGTTGCAGACTGCTGGTCCTGGAACCCGTCTGGTGGGGTAAGTAAGCTTGTTGGGTCTGGTAGCCTTGAGGAGCTTGATATCTTCAGCGTTGTCTTGCATTAAGCCCCAGCAGTTTCTGTGTCTGTGGCAAGTTGTGCTGAGTTGGAGTGCACATCTTGAACCATCGCCAGGATGAGGCCTGTTTCGTAGGCAAGGCCAGTGTTGCCTTGCTCCACAAGTCGGTGAAGATAACGTCCAATCTGGTCATCACTCCAGAGTCAGTAGGACGGGGGAGACACATGGCGTCTGTCATATTGGGTATGTCGCTGTGTGGTAGGCTTGTCTGCATGGCGTCGTCCTGTGCCCCCTCTAGCTAAGGTTTGTCTCCCAGGGGTGGACCATGATCACCCCCAGCAGTCCGGGAGGGGGATATGGGGCTCTCATTCTAAGTGAGTGTTAGCCATGCGGCACTAGGCCAGGAGATCGGTCGCCTCTTCCGCCCGGCACACACTAGGCCTCATGTTGCCAAAAGTTCCACTAATAGGCTCCAATAAGGTCACAAACCGCTGAGTCAGTTCCCAGTCAGATCGTGGGTCTGGTAGGTCGGTAGCTGTCTCCTAGTTTGAGCTCTATGGGGCTGGAGAGATCGTCAATTACTTTGATTAATGAGGAGCTCAGAAAAAACACATCTTTCCTCCATTTAAATCAGGCTCCGACCCAATTCTTCAGTTTTGATCTAATAGTATGATGTATTTCATCTGAATTTTATTAGTGACACGGCAGCTCCTATTATGCTATCTCTTTCTTACTTTATTCCTCAGCAGCAAAGAGAAAAATTAACTTGAAAGAGAAAATATGAATAATATGAATAATATAACAGATACAACCAACTCTGCCTGGTAACAGGGCAGCCAATCAGCTTATAGGAACAGTCCATAGAAAGCCTTGCTGTATCTTTCCACTTTCTTTGCTGCTTCCTCAGACCAGCTAAGTATAATTTTATCTCCATGATCTTTCTTCTGTTATTAAGGATAATTTGTGGTTATTATTATCTATATTGGATTGTTTTTGGTTGTTATATTTATGATGTTCTATTTGTGTTTTCTTTGATTATATGTTATTTTCGTTTTCCTTGTGTGTTTTTACTTTCCCACTTGTTTGTAGCCGGTTTCCCCTGCCTGTGTTGAGTTGTGTTGTTAGTGTATTTCCATTTGCTCCTCTCCCACTCCTACCTGTCGTGCCAATCAGCCTCCCTCTCCTCGCACCCGGTGGTGCAAGGGCGTGTGTTCCACGCGCTCCCCAGCCATTGGCGGATGAGGGACTCTGTGTTGCCCGCGGCGCGCTCTGTACTTGCACGCATCAGCATTCCACACTGCCAGTACACACACATGGCTGGAGGCTCTCTACGGCACGGCTCCCTGTACCTCTCCCATTCTGTTTTTGTTTCCTTATAAGGTACTGTCTGTGGGGTTATTTAGCTTTCTCCTTCTAGCTTAGATTGTTTTGGGACTTTATTGGCACACTTTGTCCCTGGGATTAACCCTTTCTCTCTGGGCCTACTGCCCTATTTGTTTGTATACATTTTATATACTTTTCCCTGCCCTGGTTATGCAGGCTAGAGGAGAGGGGTCTGACAGTCCCATTTACCCCATTATGGACCCTATGCTACCCCCTGTTACTGGGTAAGCTAGCCACACTCCCTCTCAGGAGTTCCAGGCCCTCATAGACTCCACCATGCAGAGGGCCCTGGCCTTGGCTATGGGGACCGTATCATTCTCCCTGTTCCATACACTGCAACAAGTGCTTGTACAGCCCCTAAGGCCTCCTGTTGTGCCCAACCCCCAACCTGCGCTGCAGGCTCAGACAAGCAGCAAGGCACGTCTCTCCCACCAATATGACGTGGGTGCCACCTGCCCTGACTGACACGCCTCGGGCCGTCCAAGATGGCGCTTGCCGCGCAAAAGTGCCGCTGGCCTGGCAATATTGGCCAGAACCTGGAAAAGGGTGCGTGCCCATGACATTGAAGGATCGGATTCCAATCAGAGTGGGGAGATTAGTTTGCATGTTCCTGACTATGCCTCCTATGAGGAAGGGGACTCCGACGCTGCAGTGGGTTCCGACGCCTCGACGTTACCTCCGAGTGGGGGGCAGGGTATCTGTGATCCACAGGGTTACCCCCTGTTTGATCCAGATGACCTCCGCCATCCTCGCTCGACGGAATGGGACCCACCCGAACACATCGCTAATTACCTGGCATTGCATATGCCCACCCCGCTGTCCAAAGAGGGGTGCAGCAAGTTATGGGCTGAATGCCCAAGGCCCTCAGTGCCTGATGCGGTGTGTAAAACGCTAGAGGTTGATCTTCAGATTTCCCAGTTCCTGGCCAAAACGGGCGGGAAACCCAGAAAAGGACTGGAGTTTTCACTCCACAATTGCCAAGATAAAATATTGGACACTCTGGGCCCCACTGCCAAACTCTACGAGCTCCTAGAGGCAGATGAGGCTATTGGCTGGGTCCAACAACTGATATGCCTTTTTCGGCAATACAAATACCGCCATGTCGGCAGAACGCCGCAAAGCCATTTTGCTTAAGATTGAACCTAAATTGGTCAACCTGGCGGTCAAGGAGCCGGGACCTGCCGCTAAGGGCATGCTTTTTGTGGAATCCTTTGTTAAGGACTTAGGTTCGTTTGTACGTACCTTCACGACCCTAGATAAAGCCCAGTCCAACCTGAAACGGGTCCTCGGCCCAAAGGTTTTCCACGGAGCCGTCCGACCGGCCGTGCTGCTCGAGGTCCCTCGCAGACTTACAGAGGTTCCTTCACTGCCCCTCAGGAGACCGTGGCAGACTCGGGGAGGTCGTGGACAACCCTCATACAGACATCCATATGGTGAGTACCCTAAACCCCCTTTTTTCCCGTCTAAACGTGGGAGCAGACTGGTCTTATTTGTCGATATGTGGGGCAAGATTACCACAGATGCGTGGGTTCTGAGTACGGTCAGGGGTTTCTGTCTAGATCTTTTGTGTCCCCCTTTCCAGATTCGAACACCCCAGGAACTAAGGTTGCCGGATGATCAGGCTGGATTAATCACCACAGAGATTGCGTAACTTCATGACAAGCAGGCAATACACATAATCCCGTAGGAGGCTCCGAGTTTCTTAAGCAATCTGTTCCTCGTGGCCAAGAAGGTCGGAGGTGTTCGCCCAGTCATAAATCTCAAACACGGCTTCCTCCGTTACCAACACTTCAAGATGCAGGACACTGCCTCGGGGACCTGCTCCACCAGGGGGATTGGATGGTCAATCTAGACCTCAAAGATGCCTATCTGATCGTACCCATGGTGAAGGAACATTGGGACTTGTTGCACTTTACGTGGCAAGGACGTCGATGGAGGTTTATCTGTTTGCCCTTCGGTCTATCTTCAGCACCATGGTGCTTCACAAAAGTGATGAAGCCGGTAGTGGCGTTTCTCAGAGCTCGAGGCGTCCATATGATTATATATCTGGACGACATCCGGATCATGTCCTCGTCACACCGAACAACTCCTACGCCACCTGGATTGGACGGTATGTTTATTGGAAGATTTGGGTCCCAGTGCAGAAAATCGAATTTCTGGAATTCAAAGTCAATTCGGTCACCCAATTTTTGTTCCTTCCGGACACCAAATTAAAGGATTTAAGAAAGAAGGAAATAAGACGTGCACTTTGGGCCACCTCTCTCTCCATCCGTCAACTGGCACGAGTAATTGGCCTCCTGGCCTCATCGATTCAAGCGATATTTCCAGAACCCCTACATTACCGGGCGTTGCAACGACTGAAAGGATCTCATCTTCGGTCGGGGCAGTTCGTACGAAAGCAAACTGAGACTAGACAGGGATTTCCAAGAGGAACTGGTATGGTGGCTGAACCACATGGAGGCGTGGAACGGTCGAGCGATATTCGGACCCGCTCCGGATGTAGTAATAGAATCGGATGCCAGCCTACATGGTTGGGGTGCTCGTTGCAGAAATATTTCCACAGGTGGCAGATGGTCCAAGGACGAATCAGAGCTCCACATAAATTGTCTAGAATTACTGGTGGGATCCTTCGCCATACGCAGTCTGTCTCCGACGATGGGGAATTGTTGCATACTGCTCCACATGGACAATGTATCCGCGATCTGGTACATCAATCATCTGGGTGGCATGAAATCGAAGCAACTAGCGAACCTAGCAAAGGATTTCTGGCAGTTTTGCCTCTATAGCGAAGTGTCGGTGACTGCTGAACACATCCCGGGGTTGGACAATGAATGGGCCGATTGAAATTCGCGTTACCTGAAGGATTCAGGGGATTGTCATCTGCTTCACTCGACCTTTCGGCAGTTGAATCTGTTATGGGGCCATACTCTCAAAAATTGAACACAAGTTGGTAAATCTGGTGGTCAGGAAGCCGGGCCTTGCTGCTAAGGGTATGCTATTTGAAGACTCCTTTGTGAAAGATCTGGGGTCTTTCATGCGCACATTCACTGCACTGGACAAAGCCCAATCTAATCTGAAAAGGGTCCTCGGCCCTAAGGTTTTCTCTGGGGCAGGGAGGTATAGGAGCCGTCCAGGGCCGGACTGGCCCACCGGGATACCGGGAAATTTCCCGGTGGGCCGCGGCACCTGGGGGCCGGCCGCGTTCCTGGGCCGGCCCTTTAAAATACTGCAGCCGCCCGAGCGCTCTGTTAAGAGCCTCAGGCGGCTGCAGCTTCTCCCCTCCCTCCCCTGCCGCGGTGGCCGGCCGGCCGGAGTGATAGGAAGGTGCACACTGAGTGTGCACTTCCTGTCAGTCCGGCTGGTGACAGGAAACAGAAACTCCGCGCGGAACAGGAGTGCACCGGCCACCGGCCACCGCGGACCGGAGTGCAGCTCGGCCACGCTACAGGGGAGGGGGTAAGAAGAGAGGGAGGGGGGGTTAAGAAGAGAGGGAGGAGGGGGGGTAAGAAGAGAGGGAGGGTTAAGAAGAGAGGGAGGAGGGGGGGTAAGAAGAGAGGGAGGGGTTAAGAAGAGAGGGGAGAGGTCAAGAAGAGAGGGAGGAGGGGGGAATAAGATGAGGGGGGGAACAAAAGAAGGGAGGTGGGGAACAAGATGTGAGGGAAGGGGGGAATAAAAAGAGGGGAATAAGAAGAGGGAAGGGGGGGAATAAAAAGAGGGAAGGGGGGGAATAAAAAGAGGGAAGGGGGAATAAAAAGAGGGGAGGAGGGGAATAAAAAGAGGGGAGGGGGGTAAGAAGAAGAAGGGGTTAGTAAGAAAAAGATGGAATAAGAAGAGGAGGGAGTAAGAAAAAGAGGGGGAATAAGAAAAGGGGGAGGGGGGAGTAAGAAGGAGGGGAGATAAGAAAAAGAGGAGGGTAAGAAGAGGGGAGGGGAATAAGAAGAGGGGAGGGAGGGGAATAAGAAGGGGGGGAATAAGAAGGGGAATAAAAAAGAGGGGGGAATAAGACAGGGAATAAGAAGAGGGGAGGAATGAAGAGGGAGGGGGGGAATAAGAAGAAGGGGCAGCTCTATAGGACAGGGGCCAAGACAGGGAGCTCTTTCACACTACGCGCGCACACACACACACAATGCATCCCTATACATACACAGAAACACAACATGCTTCCCTTACACACAGAGAAACACACAATGCATCCATTACACACACACACACACAATGCAACCCTTACACACAAAGACAATGCATCCTTTGCACACATACACAGAAACAGACAATGCAAACCCGTACACACGCATGCAAACACACACACACTTCTTTTCTTACATACACACAGAAACACAATGCATCTCATGCACACACATACAGACACACACCTTGCATCCCTTATGCATACAAACACAGATTCACACAAAGCATCCCTTACACACACTGCTTCCACTACACACAAACACACTGCATCACTTGCACAAACTGGTAACCCTAAACACTACATACCATAAGCACACATATTAGATCCTCTACAATAACACATAACACATCCCCTACACACTCCACTCCCTGTGAGCGAACTCATGGGTGGGTGGAACATATAAGTGGACTTTATGGGCCTTATGGGCACACTCACCGTCAGGCACTGGGGCCCAGACCTTGAGCTGTGTAAGGGGCCCCAAAAAAATTGAGCTGCTTCCAATTCTCCCAGAACATTGAATTTTGTGACCACAGTTGCAATCAGCCTCCAGAGATCCTGTTCTACACCAGACCAGTGGAGCCAAACTGCAGCCCATCATCATCCTCATCTGCTTGTAAGTAGGCAATCTAGTATATTATTAGTGACACTAATCTATAATTTACCTCACATTAAAGGGACACTATAGCTTAATGAAGTGGTTCTGGTGTCTATAGCTGGTCCCTGCAGGCTTTTTAATGTAAACACACACTGTGTGCAGCACTGGCGTTAGTTCATATGGCAGATCATATGGGTGGGGCATTGTGATGTGACATGTGGGGGCAGCAAATTTTTATTTTGTCTAGGGCGGCAAAAATCCTTGCACCGGCTCTGATCCTGGGCAGGTGCACCAGTCTACTTGACTGGTTTTGCCCCCCAGGCCTAAGGCTGCCAGCCCTCCCCTGGCCGCTGGGGAGGTCTTTTGGCGGCCGCTGGCGGACTTGTCCTGGCGGCCGCTGAGGGAGCTGCGCGAGCTGCGCTGGCTCTGCTCCCCAGCACGCAGCTGAATGAGACCGGCGCCGGAATATGACGTCATATTCCGGCGCCAGTCTCATTCAGCAGCGCGCGAGGGCGGGAGGGCACTAACACAGGAAGCACCTCTAGTGACCGTCTGAGTGACTGTCACTAGCAATGTCACTTTGAAGCAATGTAAACACTGCCTTTTCTCTGAAAAGTCAGTGTTTACGTTGAAAAGCCTGTAGCGACATGCTATAGACACCAGTACCACCACATTAAGCTGTGTGTGCGTCTGCTAGTGAGTGAGCTTGCTTGCATGCGTGTGCCTGCTAGTGAGTGAGCTTGTGTTTTTATGTCAATGAGCTGATGTATATCAGTAAGATTGTTTGTCTATGAGGCTGTGTATCAATGAGCTTGTGTGTGTCACTGAAATGTCAGTGAAATTGCCTGTGTCTGCATGTGCGTATGCTTACTGTATAATTAAACGTTTTACCCTGAAAGGACCAATATTTTATATTAGAAAAAGCAATATATATATATATATATATATATATATATATATATTACTCAATTATCTGTCCTGGCAAGACATAGCCTTACATATTACACGCGACAATATATGGCGCAGTGACTTATGGGGCTGGCACAAATTTTTTTTCCAGGGCTGCTTTGTATCCCCAGTCCGGCCCTGGAGCCGTCCACCTGGTCGTGGAGCTTGAGGTCCTTCGCGGAACCACAGAGCATTCTTCACTGCTCCTCGGGCATACCAGGAGTTCAAATTAACCCCTTTCTTCCTGTCCCGTGGAAGGCTGTGGCAAAGTCGCAACCCTCCCACAGACGTCTGTACGGTGTGTACTCTAAAACCCCCTTTTTCCCGTGTAAACGTAGGGGGCAGACCGGCTTTATTTGTCAATACGTGGGGCATGATTACCACAGATGCTTGGATACTAAGTACTGTCAGAGGTTTTCACCACGACCTTTTGTCTCCTCCTTTCCAAACTCGAATATCCCAGGAACTAGACGATCGGGCCAATTTAATCTCCGCAGAAATCTCAGAGCTTCACTTGAAACAGGCCATACAGGAGATCCTGTACGACACTCCGGGTTTCATAAGCAATTTGTTCCAAATGGCCAAGAAGGGCCAGTCATAAACCAGTCATAAACTTCAAAAACTTCAACGCCTTCCTTTGTTATCAACATTTCAAGATAGAAGGAATTAATTGCCTCAGGGACCTTCTCCGTCCAGGAGATTGGATGGTCAAACTAGACCTCAAAGACTATTTGACTGTACCCATGGCAGAAGAACATTGGGACTTGTTGCACTTCACGTGGTGGGGATGACGATGGCGGTTTACCTGTCTACCCTGCGGACTATCTTCGGCACCCTGGTGCTTCACCAAGGTAATGAAGCCGGTGGTAGCGTTTCTCAGGGCTCGAGGAGTTCTGATGATAATATGTCTGGACAACAT